GGAGGTGGAGGACCACAAGCTGGAGGTTGGCCAACCCACGTCCTGCACACTTGCGCAGTGTACCTGTAGACAAGAAGCAGGTCTGGTCAGAAAGCCATCTCGCCTGTCCCACTATTCGTCCGAGACACAAAAGGTCTCCCTAGCACCCACCAATTAGCATGGCACTAGAAGTCTGAGCGGCTTAGCATCACGGAAGCGATCTACAGGGACATCAGACACCCGCCTTGCAGATTCCACCGCTTACTTTACCATGGTACTGGCCCCTGTGCCTCTCAATTGGCGCCGGGGTGTCGCAGCGCCATCGTGGCTTGCAACGATTCCAAAGGTGTCTCTGTCTTACCCAGAGGCTACAGCGCTTGTCATTCCGTGAACAACCGGGAGCAACAGCTCATCAGGGACGTCAACACGGGTTCAGTCTTTGCAGACACAGAAAAAGCATCTGATAGACAGACGCCATGGTGACCAAGTATCCCTCTGCAGCTGGCAAAAATAACTGCATCATTTCTCTGCCTCGCCGGTAGATCCGGCACCCATCCGTCGCCAACCGATACCGCCACGATATTCTCCCAGAACCCCTTAAGCAGGCTGGGGGCCTGTCTTCCCGCAGACGTTAGACATTCCCAGGGCAGAAAGACGCCGGTCCAGGCAGAAGGCATGCAGCCTGCAGGTAGCCGTCTCGAGGGACGCAATCTAATCATGTGGTCGTCGTTCCCGCTCTCCGTCTGGAATCGGTTACTGACCTTCACCGAACTGCCTCGCTGGGTAACCTTACCCTACGAGTCGGCTACTGGTTATTTATGTAACAGGGGAGGACAGGATAGTAACGCTCATTGAGATCTGGGATTCCGGACCTGATCACAGCATTGTGCCAGCCAGGTGGTTCATCTCGGGCCTGCATATGCTGCATAGGAATTTTACTCGGCGCTCAATTGAATGCAGTGTTCGTGATTCGCAAGAAGACAGGGCAGATGGAGCCGACGACAGCCACGCTATGTTTGGTCGGAAGCCATGGCTAATACCGGAACACCTTGAGTTGCGAGCATTGTTCATAGGTCCAATGAGTATCGCTGCAATGGATGGAGTCGGTATCCCTCCGTCTAGCGATTAAAGCGAGGGGTTCTGGTTGAAGTGCAATTTCACCTAGAGTTTCTCTGGGGGTTCGGGCTCTTGAGACGCGTCAAGGTTGCCATTGTTTTCAACTCTTGAGGCTCTGCAAGCTGCGCTTCGTCTAATTTTCTGACAACACCACCGATCAATCATCCAAGCCCACCGCCATGGCTTTGGGCCCGAGTGAAGCTTCAAGCAACACAGTTCAAGGCCCTAGGGATCTTTTAGCGCAGTAGACCCTCTGGTCGTCCACAACGGTCAGCCAACGGTTGACATCGCTTAGGCCAGACGGAGCTGGGAGGAAACAAACCGTTTCCGCCCACTCCACCAATACTCCCAAAGCATATCACCACGAACCAGTACCTTAGTCGTATGTATTTCAACGTCTCCAGTTGGAAGACTCCGCAATTCGGGCTCACGTCTCTCACCAGAACTCCTGTATGCATGCGTGTTTTGTCGGGCAGATAAGCCACCAGCTGGAATTAGGTTTGCAAAGAAGAGACACTGTTTCATGGACCTGCAACTGAGGACGTTCGGCCACTATCTCACTGCTCGATGTATCAGTCTCCTTTGCTGTCCTGCTTCCCAACCATAGTCGCTTCTAGAGGGGTTATGGAAACTGTTGGGATTTTCGGGGTTTCCGTTATGAAGGATATCCTCGTTCTACCAATGCATATCCGAAGTGGTTAGATCCAGTCCCAGGTCGCGTCTGGAACAGCTTCATGCCAAAATGGTGCGATAGTGTACGATATGACGAAGACAAGACGTTTCCCCTGCAGCAATTTCACCGGTTGTATCTTCTGTGCTACATCCCGAAATGGTACAGTCAGCAATTCGACGCGGAAGCCTTCGTCGAGTTTGAGCTGCGTCTTCGCCCGGCTTCCTTCGATAATGACTCCGTCTCCGGGTGCTGCAGCTCCAGCATTAGTGGCTTCGGCCCGCTCACAGCTAAGCTCAAGAGCTCGGAATCAAACTTGGACGCCTTGGTAATGACCTGGAGCACGATCTAGGCTTCACCAAGAATCGGACGCACGACGTCCTCAAAGACATTGACAATATACTTTGACCAGGACAAGAGGGCGGTGGTCCCAAGTTCTGAAAACCAGGGAGGCGCAACAGCCATCTCGCTGGTATCGCTGTTGGACCAGCGGACGAGGATATGCTTATGTGCGTACTCGTCTCCCAGTGATCCCATATCTTCTAAGCGTGGTCGATTGTTTCCTTGACGCCGAATCCTGGTCCACGCTGACGCTCTTGCATGAAGGATTCATAAGAGCATCATTGGCGGGTTGCACAAGCGGCTGGAGCCTACAGATGGTAGCTTGGCAGTGGTTTCACAGATTGTCACAATACGCTGCGGTTGTCGTACGATTTACATGTATTCACGCTGATCGTCTCCTCAAGACACCTACCGGAGGAAGCCATCAGAACATTCTATTAGCACTGATCTCATACAGTTCTTGAGATTGTCTTCCCAGTTCTCTAGGCTGTATTGTCAGCTGCTGCACGCTGAAGAACCGGGTATAGAGATCACGGGCCTTGCTCCCGACAAGAAGATCGAAAGTTATCCATGTGGCGTTCTCGAGAAATAGAAATAGTCGGTAACAGCAGCACTATGCACTTTCAAGTCTCCGCGATCGAAACCATTGAACGTCAGAGGCTTCTGTGGTAATGTCTCTGTTTGATCTACAAGTGACGATAAAGCGTTGAAGAGGTATTGGCCAAGCCATCCCAAGCCATTCCCGCAAGACGTCGGCGGCAGTCATATGGTATTCGGCGCCAAGCTACGCAGGGGGCACGGCAGTGTTTTGAAGGCGCAATCCCGCCTTCCGCGGTCAGGGTCCAGCTAGGTCCCGGAACCCCGTGTCATAGGAGAAAGGGATATGATAGTTAGTCGACGGCTCACTTTCGCGGCTTGCCTGTAGCAGGTGCCGAAGATTAGTGGCGTAGAAACCATTCAGCTACCTGCGTCAGGCCAAAGCTATTCATGTGTTGGTTAGCATGTGGTTTCTAAACCCAGCAGAAATGCGACTCGCACCCGAACGACTATCGGACACTCAGAAGGTCACCAAAGATCACGGCCCTACAAACCGCTGAGACAACCCTCGGAATCGTTCCGAGTTGGCAGGTGCTTCACCATCTCTCCCCTCGCCAGTTCTTTATTGGAGTCAACGGAACGGGCTCCCGGCCTGGATGTTTCGATGATCACGACAGAGGTCAGCCGTGATATGCCAGAACTTTTGCAACAGCTATTAGTAATGCCTAGCTAAACCGACATCGGCCATCATCTCGATATCAGGCGTCAATCTAATGAGCCTTGTGTTGTTATGGCTGTCCTTGTTCGCAGCACTGGAAGCAAGCCGTCAGTGTTTATGGTGTCAATTTTAGTATGGAGAGTTTGCTTGAGGTTGATTTGGGACGGGGCTGACACTTCCTAACATCTTATGTTCACAAGACATTACTCGGTCTATTATTGGGCCGTGCTTATTAAAAATGAAGAACAGGTACGCGCAGGATCTATGCGGGACTGTCCCGGAATGGACGAAGACTCTTCCAATAATTGCGGTACCAATGCAGCATCGTTTTAAGAATCCGCGGCAACAGGGCATGAGACGAACCTGATGGCATCTGATCTCCACAAACATTCAACACGTTTCTCGCCATGGGATCAATGGAAAGTCTTGATTTTGCTCGGCGTTGGGCTTTCTCGCCGACGTGGCCGTCAGGGCCGTTCCCTGCAGACTTCGTAAGGAAGAACACCTACAAGAGCATCATCCACACACTCGGCCGAGCATAAACGGTTCAGCTGACTGCACAATGGCGCGCAGAGGTTGCCTAAACTGCCCTACCTCATGGACACATTCCGCCCGAATTCTCCGGTTTCCGCAGTGGATGCTCGAGACCCTGGGTTCACACACAAAGGCGGGGCGCGGCGGGAGCGTTTGACAACTTGCAAGGCTTCCCGCACCTAGCACGCTCTTGGCCTGGGTTGTCGGCAGGAAACAACGCGGGATCGTCAGTCAAGCTCGCTGCATGCATTTTCAGCTGGCCCACGTCTGATTGGGCGGGTTTGGCGAGTTCGACCGGGGGCAGGGCTGAAGCCTGCCTTCAGCTGCAAGCCACATTCTCCGGTTCAGGTTAATGACATGATAGTCTTGTTTTGGGCACCGCTATACTCCACCACACACCGCCATCACGGAAAACGTTCAGCACCAGCGATGAGTTGTCGTGGGAGAGGAGCTAGAGGTTGGTTAGTTGTCTGCGGCTGGGTCTGCGGCTGGGTAGAAGCTGTGAAGACTTCAATGGGTCTCTGAACGCCATGGGAACCGCCTGCGCTTTTGTTGTCTGACCTGATCGCGAAGCAGCAGACGTTGAAAACGAAGTCAGATAGCAACAACTCCCTTGACTCAAATCGATAAACATGGTATGTGGTCGGGTCTCATGCGAGATCAACGGCCTGAGAATAACCTTCTGCCAGTCTGCCTTGTCAGGCTGCTTGTGTCAACGCCATGGCAACACACCAGTCCATATTCGCACCTTACGAGGCGGATCTTCCACCCCGTCCAGCCATCCATGCCCCGGACCTTGACACCAACCACGAATTGCAGGAAGCCTTGGAACTGGAACCTTTTGGTGTGCAATGCCTCTGAACATCATTGGCGTTGAGGAGTGCCATGGCCCGCCGGTTCCCCCGCAGGGCGTGCTCGATTCGGTGACTTTCATCTCAGCCCGAGCTGGGGTAGTTGTTATCAGGCAGGCTGTCTCCGTCTCCCTTTTCTCCTGCGACCTCCTCTCGGATCCTTCTCTTTTTATTAAACTCTTCTTCTCTACTCCTTTTCCCGTTTCCATATTCTCCCTGTTAATATTCACCAGGAACAACAAGGACTATCAACATGGGACGACTCGTTCAACTAGGAGCTCTCGCCTACTTGTATCTCGGCGCGGAGTCCAAGGCATTGAGATGGCAGGACGACACCCCGAGCTGGGTCCCTCCCAGGCAAACCATTGCCGTGATGAACATGGAGGAGCTCGGCATCAGTCCCAAACCCACGGCAGCACCTGACCCAGCCAATGTTGAACTGAAGCTGGCTAAGCGTGTGAGAGGCGACGACACTTGTGGTTACATCTCTGGTATATCCAGTGAGTTGCCCCCTGAAGACATACTGAATGGCTGGTGCTAACCTTGTTACAGCCGACTCCATCTACTGCGAAGTTGGAAGTTGTGTCATCAACAGCTTCCTCTCTGTGGCTGGGTGCTGCGCGTCCAGCGCGGTATCAGACTGCAAGATTGCAAGCAGCTGTTTGCCGGCATCGTCCTCGAGGTTCTACACCAGCAGTGATACGCTCATGCTGTTCTGGTACGTCGCACTTATTCATTACATCCACTTGAGAACCCCGTCTCACAGGCCAACAGCTCCTCTTTAGCAAGCCCTGAGTGCATGACCTACGTCTACACTGGCTCTGCGTTCAATCGGTACACCGCCTTCGGATGCGCCGTCAGCGAAGAGAGAGTCACCGTCTACGCCAACCCTACAGATGTCTCCGTCACGGATGAATCGACGATATTTGACACATCTACAAGCACCACCTCGCCCACAATCTCTACCCCGACACCGGGATCTACAACTCCCGCCTCTGGGGGTTCTGGCGGTGGCGGCGGATCATCTACCCCGGTAGGCGCCATCGTGGGTGGCGTCGTCGGAGGTGTAGCGGCCATCGCACTCATCGTCTTCGGCGTCATCTTCCTTCTCCGCAAGAAGAAGAGGGATACAGCCGCGAACAACGCCAACGACCAACCAACTCCCGTCACTTACAACGGCCCTCCACCGCCTCAGCAGGGGCAGCCGCAAATGTACCAGCAACCCACAGCCCCACCGACGCAGCAGCCGTCGCCTGGAGGTTATGGCCCCCCGCAGGGTGGAAACTATCCGCAGGGCTTCGCTCCTGTGGATAACAGGCAGAGCATGCTTAAGCAGCCGTACGAAGTCACAACGGGCTCGTACGAGCAGACTGGTGTCAGCCCGCCCGCGAGCCCGCCGCCTATGAGCCCCGCGCCGACGTACCAGTCAGGAATACCACAGTACCCGGCCAATCAGAACGTGGTTAGCCCGGTGTACCCTCCACAGCAGCAGCAGCAGCAGCAGCAACCGCCGCAGCAAGGAGGTTTCTACAACGCGCAACCGCCCCCGCAGCAAAATCACCAGCAGCCTGGGTTCTCGTCTGAGCTGCCTGCTCATAGGGGCGATGGCGAGCTGCGGGAGCTGGCTTAGATGACGGAAGAGTGGAAGTGGAAGAAGCAGTCATGATGGATTTAATTCGGCAAAGGTAGAATAGCTGCAGACCCGCTCCTTTCAGTCAATGTCAAGACAAGGAAGGGATGGGATATGGAAAGGGGGAACTATCATCATGTTTATATGTAATACCCACCGTTTTTACACGGCCCCGACGGGCTTACGACCCTCTCTAATGCGCAATGATTTTCAAAACCAAGTATGCATCATAAATCCGTTGTCCTGCGTCTTTGATGGCAAAAAAATCAAATTTTTTTTCTTTCACAGCCGGCTGTGTCTGTCACGGCGCCAGGGCGTGTTTGGGTTATCCTGTCGTCCTGGGACCAGATGGTCCACTGCCAGCGTGTTGAGAAAGCCCGGGTGGACCTGGTTGAGACTTGTGACGCCGCACATCTTCATCGTCGTTTCCAGCTCGTCTCGCAGGACTGCACAGGTCAGCTCATCTCGTTCCGACAGTCCTTCGGACACAGCGCGACTAAGAGGGGCACTCACTCTCGATATAGCGCTCCACGCCTTCGGCGCCGTAGTTGAGCCCGTACAACAACCCCCTGCCCACGCCGACCGCCTTGGCACCCAGGCACAGCGCCTTGAAGATGTCGGTCCCACGCGAGATGCCCCCGTCGACGTAGACCTCGACCCTGTCAAACACGTGCCGGCAGTTCTTCTGCAGCTCCAACAGGACCATGACGGTCGCCGGCGACGTGTCGAGGCTGCGCCCGCCGTGGTTCGAGAGCACAATGGCCTCCACGCCCGCCTCGACGGCGCGCTCGGCGTCCATCCACGTCTGCACGCCCTTGAGGACGATGGGCAGCCCAGGCACCGTGCGCCGGAGCCAGGCGATGTCGGACCAGTCCACTGAGGCGTCGATGTAGCTACCCATGATGCGGCCCAGGGCGCCGCCTTTGGCGTCGTTCACGGCGCGGGCGCCCGAGATCGGCGAGCCGAGGGATTCGTCGGAACGCACGCGCTCGTCGGCCTCACGCTTCCCCGGGATCGGGGCGTCAATGGTGAGGAAGAGGGCCTTGACGCCCTGGGCCTGGGCGGAGCGGAGGAGGCGCTCCGAGTTGGCGCGGTTCTTGTCGACGTACAGCTGGAAGAAGACGGGCACGTCGTAGGGCGCGGCAGGGGAGTGCGCGGCCTGCGCGGCGAGGATCTCGTCCAGGGGGAAGGACGCGGACACGGACACGCACTGGGGGATCCCTGCAGACTTGCAGGCGCGGCTGAGCTCCTTCTCGCCGTCCGGGTGGACGAGGCGGGCCATGGCGGTCGGGGGGCAGAAGATTGGGGAGCGCATGGGGTTGCCGAGCATCGTGGTGGACGTGGAGACGGAGGCGACGTCGACGAGAACGCGCGGGCGGAGGCCGATGAGGGAGTAGGCGGAGGCGTTGCGGGTCTTGGTGTGCAGGTCCGTCGCGGCGGAGGAAACGAAGGCCCAGGCCTTGGGGGACAGGGAGGTGGACGCGGCTTGTTCAAAGTCGTGGGCGGAGATGAGGGTGTCGAGGGCTGGTTTGATCGGGAGGGGAGGGTGTTGGAGGGCTTGTTTTGTGTCCATCGTCGACTGAGACTGGGGTTGTTGCTGCTGCTGCTGCTGCTGCTGTTGGAAGCTGTGTTGTCGAGGCTTCGTCAAGACGGCACCGGGGGCCAGGACGCCCTTGTGGCGGTCCGCGGGCAGCGTCGACCTGACGAGGTTGGGGCCGTGGACCTCGGAGTAGACGTCGGTGGCGTCCTTGCCGGCGCACTGCAGGATCACGGCGATGCCGCCGGGGTGCTCGCGAATGAACTCGGAGAAGTCGTAGACGTTGCCGTCGATGACGAGCCAGAGGTCGTTGAGGCGGTTGTGCTTTGATACCTCGGCGGGGCTGAGTGTTGGGGGCATGGTCCGCTCGCAAGTGCACTTGCTCAATTCTCACATCCAACGTGGCATGGGCGTTGTGGAGAGGGAACGGAGGGCGCAGTCGGAGTGAGGTCTCGGGTGGCCATCTTTGTACGTCGTCGAGGGCCGGACGCTAAGGCGCAGCCTACGGTGAGACGGCACCGAGGGGTGGTCGAGTTCGGTCGGTATTGCGCCGAGAGGGTCTCGGTGGTGGGGTTGCCGCCATTGCCGTGCTGCCCCGGGTTTCCCTTTTTGACGCGACTTGGGCAGTGCGGGCCGGGGTGGCTGAGGGGTCTGAGGGGTTCCCCTGGGGGTTTCACTCGCTAAAGGATGCACGGAACACGGCAATGTCATCGCTGTAAATCACCGGGATCGTATTGGCGAGCAGCTGGTTGCCAAACTTTTTAATTTTTTAATTTTTTAATTTTGTTCCATTGCCCCTCTTCGACGTTGACATCACCCCCCCAAAGCCTTGCCAATAAGACTTTTGGCCCTCTCACTGTGGTCCATCTTCAACGCCAGTGCGTGGCCGGGCTCGCTCATCTTAGCCCACGTCTTGCGCAGGATGCCGATGATCTTGTCCTCGTCGATCTCGTCCTTGCTCTCAAAGGCGTCGAACTGGTCGTCGAGGAAGACGAGGCAGGCCGTGTCCTCGAGGACCTGCGTCTCCTCGTCGGCGCTCAGGTTCTCCTTGCGGATCAGCGCCGCCACGCGGTCGACGTCCTCCTGCGGCAGGGCGGGCTGGATCTCGGGCGACGAGGAGATGAGCTCAGCCACCTGTGCCGCGGCCTGGGATTTGAGCTTCGCCCGCCATGTGAGATAGCCCGGCCGGGTCATTGGGTAGGTGTTGCGGGGAATCTCCCATCTGTTGCGCGGGTTTGCCAGTGAGTCAGACCTGTCATGCTACTTCATTCTGGAGGGGATGCCATGCTTCTTATTCATCGTCCCATGTGCTGGGGGGGAGGGGGAATTGCAGATCGCGTTGCTTAAAAATGCTTATTCAAGAGCAAAGAAAGTGAAAAAGGGTGCTCATGTTACCTTCTGAAGTGCTGGGCGCGGCAGGCCAGCTGCAACACGGGAGGCGCCGTCGGACACCGCACAGCCAGCCAGCGCGTCATCTTCTGGGCATAGTCCAGCTCGAAAGGAACAGCCTCGACGGCCGACGGCCTGGGGTCTTGCCTGTGGGCCTCGTCGATCAGCTCGAGGGCCTTTTGGTAATTGGGCGGTAGCTCGGGGAGGGAGGATGATGTTGCCATTGTGTGTGTGCGCGCGTGTGTTGTCGGTCGTGTTGGGATGTGATGGGTTGGAGGGGGGTGGGATCCAAAAAGAAGAGGTTGCAGCTGTTTCAAGCTTTCTGACGAGTTTCTTGGCCCTTTGGAAAACGAGAAACTCGGCTATCCGCAATCGCTGCCCAGAGGCCGACGACTGCCGCTGCCATTAACAGCAACGCCTGGCCGACCCGTATGAGTAAGCAGGGGCGAGGCCGGCTTAATTGGCTGCACACGCCAGAGCCTCAACTGATCCCCCGGACCTTGTCATTAACGTTAACTCGATAATCCCACATGTCCCCATCCCCCCCCCCGCATCGGCCCGTCGACTGCTGCTGCTTCTTCTTGCTTTCGATTCAACATCACACTCTGCATGTTACAAGATGACGCTTAACTTCACCATGTAAATCAATCGAACAGGGTCCTTAGTGGGCCCATCCAATGATGAATGTACGCCATCGGCAGATCGCACAGCCGACCGGTCTCGCCAGCTCTGGACCCAGTCATGCTTTTAGGGGCCCCGAATCTTGTTTCGTGCCTCCATCCCATGTCCGAAAGGCCTGCGTACACAACGTGCACATATGTCTGACGCCCGGTCGGTCTCTCTGCCCCCTCAGTTCAACCGCACGATATGATGTTCTTGGCACCCCCACAGCCTTGAAGAAGGCTGAACATGGACCGTATCAAGGGCTTCTCCAGGGGGCGGGCAGTCAAAGCCAGCTTCGAATGTATTATGGCTTCGAACTCTTGATGGTTTCACAGTCATAGAGTGCGACTTTCTATGCATTGCAGTGAACAACTAAATCCGCCCACCTTGATTCTTTTGGGAAGGAGTCCGTGTATGAACGGAGTGTGGCACTTATATCAGCCGCAGCGAAGCCCGGTCTATTTTCCTACCCTCCCTCTTTCTTCTCTGCCACGCGTGCCAGTTCACTCTTTTCCTCACCAACCCCACATTACTGTCGCTAGCTTGACGTTTTCCTTCGTTCAGTGTCTCAAACGACACAAATTTCCCTCGAAACATCCATCATCCACTAACGCTCAGCGCGCTCAGCACGAGCTTCCAAAGGCCTAGACCCGAGTCCTTACTAGCATTTCGGACGTGTGGACGAGGCGGATAACTCAGAACAAAACATATCGGTTTCATTGTCCACTTCATTACACAGTATTTCTGACGAACAAAAACTGCTTGCTTGGCCGATCATTACTTGGATCTCAGGCAAGCAGACAATTAATCACAGAGCCTAACGGTGTGCCATCCACTTCATGAAAAGCCTCCGCCAGAACAGACTTCCTCCGAACAACGCCTTCTCAACCCATCCCACTTTGACTTTGGGCCAGTTGAACAAATACGGAAACGAACTCCGTCAGCAGCAATCTGCCCGCAGCGAACCGTGACGAAAACAAAGTTACGCCTCATCACTCTGTTCATCACCTCCTCGATCCGTGGACTAGTGGGATAAGTAAGAAGAAGCTGTCGACTCGCTGTCAACTCCACGACACACTTCTACCACGACAAATTTCCACAGAACAACCTTCAACTTGACCACCTCCCAAGGTCAGTGAAGTGAGTAATCCGAAAACAGGCCTGGAGAAGGGCAGTTTTGCCTTGAAAACTTCTGCCACACAACATCTTCTCGCTCAATCAACCACCACTTCGATTTCGGATCACTGCTGTAAATCCAGTGTGACCCAGCGGGTAGCAATCTTACCATCTTTCATTTCACCAAGTTCCGCCTCACCAACATTAACACCTCGACGTTTCCGGGTTTGGATTTCACCAGCACTCAACAAGATATCGGCCAACGGTCATTCTTCATCTCACAGCACCGGTCGGTGCTCAGCTGGCAGAGATTCACTTTACAGCACTAATCAACATCGGTACCGACCAGGAGGTATTTGCAAGTCGGTGTTGATCCCACGATTCATGCACCTTCCTTTTCACGCGATTCACTCATAAAGCCCCCAGACAAAGCCCCGATTTCAGAAGTTGCCAACTTCAATCCACTCATACACCTCCACAACCATGAGGAAGTCAAATAAGAACGGGTCAAAACACCTTCAGGTCCCTGCCATGGCGGATGAAGACGGAAAATCCTCCACCACGGAAGTCACCATTGAGTCCGAAGACAACGGCAGCGACACCGTGACGCTTGTCGACTTCTTCCCCGACCTGACCGTCGGTGACCTCTTTGAAGCCGACGACAACATCACCTCGGTCGAGTCTTCCGCCGCTCCAAGCTCAGAAGTCAGCACCGACAATCAGTCCATCCCCAGCGCGGATGCCGACAGCAGTGATATCGAACTCAATACCTCTAGCAAGAGAGGCAGGAACAGCCGGAACCAGAAGAGGGGTAAAGGTCCAGCCACTGAGAACGATTCCGGCATCTCGGCGAATACATCTTCTGCAGAAACGAGCACAAGCGCCAAAGAATCTGCGTCGTCCGAAGCTAGCAGCGCGGAGGCAGCCATGGCCCAGTCGACCACATCCGGTGAGACCACTTCGAACGAGACGAGCACGTCTGGCGACGCTTCATCCAGCGCGCAGTTGTCGAACGCAGGCAACTGGACCCCCTCAGAGGACGCTCTCATCATCAGTATGAAGGAGGGCGGCGAGAGCTGGGCCTCCATCGGCAATGCCATCAATCGAGGCAAGAACGAGGTCAAGAAACGATGGCATGTGGTCAAGGCCAACGCCGCGAATTCCGAGTCCGAAGGCGACGCGCAGACTGAGTCTGAGGAAGCGACCACCCAAACCGAATCTCTGGCCAACAACCAGGCCGACCAGAGTCCGGATAATCACACCAACAAGCGCCAGGAGGGGCACAAGACCGACGACAAATTCAAGTCCAGGGCCGAACGAAAGGCTGAGAGAAAAGCTGAACAGAAGAAGAACAAAGGCCGAGCCACGTTTGATGATAAGACCAAAGAATCAGAACCGCCCCATCCCAAGCCGAGGGAACCCAGCCGGAAGACCAAGGGGCGGCAGCCCTCTGAGACGTCAGAAGCGCCTAGCACACCGAAACCCTCTTCCTCCAACTCCATCGGCGACTCCCCCAGCTCGTCCCTCCGTAACCGCCTCGCCCTCCTCCGCGACACCACCTCGGCATCCTCATCCACATCCTCCGCTACTAGCAATGACGGTGACGGCGGCGACGATGCCAGCGACACCCCGGCCAATGCTACGAGCGCGAGCTCGCCCGCCAGGAGCGCTACATCCGGCGCCACGTCAACCCGGCCCTCTACCCCCCTCGCGCCTCCCCGCTGATACCTCCTCGGCACACCGTCAACCCGCCCAGCAACGCAGACAGGCGCCAGCGACGCGACGATAAGATCCTGGCGTCCTTGGTGTCCCGACGGGAGGCGACCAAGTGGCTCGAGATGCAGGCCAACTTCTACAACGTTACGGGCCGGATGGTGCCGCTGCACATGATCAAGGCGCGCTGCGAGGCCGAGGAGGACCGCACAAAGGTCGCGGGCGTGCGGAACTGGGCCACCTCGGTGGCGGCCGGCGACGAGCTGCTGGACCCGAACGAGAGTGCCGACGTCCCCGAGGACGCCCTTGTTGGCGACGACGAAGAGTGACGACGCCTTTTTTTCCCCCACTTCTTTTTCTTTTTTATACCCTTTTGAGAACCTTGCAGTCGGCGGTAATGATGAATGACGACAAAAAAGCGTGCCTTGGGAGGCCTGGTGACGGACGGGATAAACCCGGCCGGCCCATCTCACGACCTAATGATTATGAAAGGGATCCGGTAGTCGCCGTTTGCACGGGGAACGGCGACGGACGGGATGTACAAGATTGGGGGGGCTCCCGGGATACCTGGAAACAAAGGATAGATGGCGGGGGATATGCGTCGATTTGCTCTGGGATACTCCGGTTTATTGATACCTACGGTTTGGGACCGTCTTAGTTAAGCCAGCCAGCGTTGCGTTGCTTTTACTCTCTCTTGCATTTCTCTCCTCTTTATTGAGAAGACACAGAGGAACAAAAACAAAAACAAAAGCCGGCGTGGATTTGGGATCGTGGAGTTGGCACCCGATGGAGATTGCACCCCCCTTTTTTATAGCTGACAATTAACATGAACACCAACTCCTTGTTTCCCTCCGTGATGCGTGTCCAAGCCCTGTCGAGAAAGGTCTCCCCGTACCTAGGACACGGCATGTTGATCTCGAAATGCGTGGAGAAAAGGGCTAGATTTTCCAACTCCTACAGAAAATATTACAGTCCACCACCCACAGCGCAGCACGGGGTATCAATGGAAGAAACAACTACAACATACGGCCATCCCTCTGTGGCGTATCTAGAAACTCCTGTTTTGAGGCAAATCTCGTGCCCGCCGTATCCAAGATATAATTACACGTAAGGGACCTTGAAATGAACAAGGCTCGCTTTCCTATTATGTGTCGTCCGATGCGCCGCTGAAGATGCTGCGCGATGGAACTGAAAGGGTTGTGATGAAGGGCAGGATCGTGTTTGACGAATCCCCCTAGCCCGTTATACGACACTGCAGCTGGAGGCATTTGATGTCGTAAGCAGGGATTTGTATGTCAAAGTCTAAGGTATAGACCAGGAGTCGACTTTCACAGTAGACCCCGCAAACGTAAAGCGGCAGCCTTGGCCTCGGATGCAGTCGTCTACTTCGCTGCCTTCTGAGGGATTCCCAGAAAGTGCCAATGCCTCGACAGTCTCGTCTTCCCTCCTTTGCTCAAATCGAGGCGTTAGCCAAGGTGTGAGAGATGCGCCTCCTTTGGAGAGGCAGAGTAAGCTGAACGGTTGATCCGTTTTTCAGATAGGATTCTCCATGCCGGGCGCCATGGTGGTTCCAGGCGGTGCGGCCGGACTGGGGCTGGCCCCTTTGGTCAAGGTATTGTTGCTGGACCCCAAACCTCGCTTCATCATCTTCCCCAAGACGGTGACCAGCTCGCAGGCATCGGAAAACATGTCGTCGTCCATTCCCTCTGACGCCCCGTAGACCTCGGAGATGGTGTCCTTGGCCAGCTTGCGACTCCCGTCGGTGTCGTGTACACAATCGTAGAGAAAGGCGGCGTACTCCGTCTTGACTGAGAGCCGCAGTGAGTGGGAGCCCCAGAGATGCTGATCGGCCAGGGCAATGGCTTCCTTGAAATACTTGTGGGCATCGGGGAGGTAGTCTCTCGGCGGTTCGAGAAAGGCGGCGGGAAGGTCCGAGCCGCTTTGGGGAGGGAACCCAGGCGGAGGATTTACCGGTCCACCCTCGAGGGCGTGTGTCGGCTGTATCGACCCCTGGGAGGAGTTCCATTCCTCCCTTGCGATCCCCTTGCCCTTATCCAGCCTTGGGGGCGTAAACCCGGCCATGGTGTCAGGGGTTGCGATGCCCATGGTAGACACGGCAGGTTTGTTGTGAAAAAGGACGAAGATGTGGTAAAACGATGCCCGCAGCTTGTAGGCCAACACGCGGAGCTCTGTGTGGTTTCCAACCATGGGAATAACATACTGCTGCAGCATGACCAGGCCTTCTCTTGAAAGCCAGATGATGTGGAAGATTAGATCGAGAGACTGTGGCGTTCGGGACGCATCGGGACGGCGCTGTTTCTTCGCTGTGACGAGCTGCTCTGCTAGGCTGAGCGAGAGGCCGAGAATCTTGTAGAGCATCGAGGACAACAAGGGGTTGTCATTTTCCACGGTTTTTGCCCATTTTCCAAGGAACTTCTGATCCACCTCGGAGGAAGCCATTGGTACTTGTACTGCGGGGGAGGTGGTGGGAATTGGGTTGCGATCTCGGCGGTTTATGCCAGATGGGGCACTGATCTCAGTCGTGACTACACTGAAGTGAGAGTCTGATCGGTATCAGGAATTAGCCCCTTTTTGGGAATGGTGAACTTCTTTTGCCAAAGTATAGTCTCCGAAAAAGAAGTATGACCCAGCAAATGAGAAGCGATGAAATCCGAGAGGCTAGACCGTGAGCCAACGGTGAAAGCGATGAGTGTGAATGAGCCGGGGAAATGAGCCAGGAGTCAGGCCTGCTCAGCGAGGTTCGGGTTAAGCGCGCTTGGTGTTCTGCGTCAAGCCTGATTATGAGGCTGGATTATGAGTGCGGTCAGTAAGTGCTAGTCGCACGAACGCCCGAACGAACACTCACAGGTATAATACATTACAGTGAGTATGAAGTGAGGGCGTAGGCTGGGCGTGACCAATGAGAGGCTGCGCGTCGCAGATGGCGACTAGCAAAGAGACAGAGTGGACTGAGGCTCAAACGGGAAGACGATGGCAGGATGGTTCGTTTTCGCAAATAGCATGGCGACGTTACTTGATGTTTGGGTCAGTTGTCGTTGAGTGGCCTTATGAAGGTAGGCGTAGCTGAAGCCTTCAATCGGGCTGCGAGGGCGATCCCTGGAAGGATAAACGAGCGTCGAAGGGTATGCCGGCGCAGAAGGCGGTGAAGGCGGGCGTGGGCGTGGTTGCGGGGGCGGGAACCAAACGTCAAAAGAACTTCAGTCCGAGGGCGGGGAGCAAATGCAATGGGTTGCGCTGGGACTCGACGGCCGGCAGCAGCAGCAATCGTCGAATTGAGGTGGTACGAGGTGTTGTGATCGAGGTTGGGCTATGAGGGCATCTCGACGGCAGGTGAGAATGGGTCGAGTGGAAGCGGCGACGCGGGCAGGTTCTGGGATGGGTTGAGACGATGTAATGTAATGTAAGGTAATGTAGGTAGCTGCAGGTTATATGTGCCCTAAAGGAGAGTTGCAGACACAGACGCAGGAGGACTGGGGCGTGCGGTCGTATCGTGCATGAACGAGTGTGGGCCTTTGCGAGAACAGCGCGGTCTTGACGTGGAGCTTGGATACCGAGGTCGTCTGGGAATAGAGGCTCCTCGTGGGTACGGTGCTCTGCGCAGTTACCGGTGGATGACGGGTTGGGCTGGCAAATGGCGGTTGCGGTAGGGCGAGAACGTACGGGTACCGGGGTTGGGTGTCGATAAGGTGAGATGAGATGAAGTGGGAGCAGCAATGGCGGCCGTGGCTGATGTCGTACAGAGATGAGAGGCAGCGAATGAAGGCGGGTGATGCAGGTTGGATGAGGGGGGCGAGATGCTGCAAGATGAGTTGTCCAACTCTCGGGAGACGACACGCGCCGCGCGCACCGTGTCAATGAGGGAGTAATTAATAGGTCGGAGGCCCGGCCAGTGGAATAAGCTGGAAGCGAGCACGGATGCCAGATTGGGTGGAAAACGGAAGAAGCGAAGGAAGAGACCGAGAGATACGGATACAGATTACAGCAGCCAGTGACATCAGCCTGGAAAGGCTGGGGCTGGGAAGGACGAGAGAGAGGTCACCTCGAGAAAGAGAAAGAGATGAGCAGGTGGAAGAGGGAAGGACCTTGGAACTCGGACCTGGGGAAAGGACGGTAGAGACGGGCGAACCAAATAATGGACGAGGTAAAAAAAAATTAAAAAAAAATTGGCAAATGAGAAAAGGCTTGCCTAAAGCTAGAGCTGGAGCTGGAGCTTGGACTGAGAGCTGAATCAACCTGGGGGAGCTGCACGGAGGCAGGAAATGTACCGTAGTGTACAGAAAGAGACGAAGAAGGCTTGCCGACCAGAACTGTCGAGGCAAGCAAGCAGGAAACACCCACCCACCGTTTCCCGCAAACTGGAACGGGAACACGGGGGTGAAAAAGAGCTATGCTGTACTAGGGGGGCCCCCTCCAAGGGCCCGCTTCTGAAGTCGGGCATTGACATTGGCACTGGCATCGAGTAGCCCCAGGTCGCAGGCACCCCCCAGGCACCCCCAGGCCCCCAGCGTGGCAGGAAATAGGCACGACACACCACCAAGGTGGGAGTGAAGACGGAATCCTCCCTTGTCTCTCTGCTCGCCTGCCTCCACCAGCTTCTCACTTCCCACTCTTCGGCGGCATTTTCCCTTATCCGGGCTGCTGCCCGAGCAAACGGAATCCATGGGACCAGCGCCTCATTCACCCATCATCTTGATTATTTTGCCGCTCGCCGTCCCATCTTCCACAGGACCGCTCCACGGCCTCACTTCCTTCGTCCGAACCCTAGGATGCCTTCTGAACAGAGTTGACGCCGAGACACAATAGCGCGGACGCCTTGGTCTTGACGCGCGGGATCACGTCCGAGACAAGCCGACTACCGATTGGCCACTCTCCAGGGTCCACGGGATTCCGACTGTCGACCATAGCTAGACTACAGTAACAACCTCCGCGACGGGACCAGACTAGACAACATCTGCCTCGAGTCGTCAAACACGAACGTTTCGCAGCTGTTGCGACGGCTAGCTGTCGAGCTGCCTGAGCCTCAAATCCAAGAAGTACATCCGCCTCCGTCACATCATGCCGGGCTGAGACACAAGAGATACCATCTCGCTTGACGCGCACAAATCCTGCCGCCTTGCTTGCTTGCTTTTCTCTCCCTCTCCAGACATGTCTCTCGGATCCGTTTGAAGGTCGCCATGCGCCCACACAGACAGGCGCACTGCACTTCCGTGACCCGTTGCCGTCCGCTGAGCTGATACCGGTCATATGCTCCCCAGAAAAGCCTACCCTCAGCCGTGCTCAAGCTTCTCAACAGCCGTTTATCTGAGCAAAGCAGGGGCCTCACAGGCGCACAACGTGGCCGATTGTCGACTGTCGAGTATCGTGCCGTCATCCCCGAACAGCAACGGGCAACCCGTGGGACCTTGGCCCCGGTCCGTCTGGGGGTTTCAGAACATCCAACCCACCTTCCGAAACAAAACACTTCCTAAGGAGCGTGGTGTATTCACCGATGCGGGTTGCACAAGCCGTCGTGTACGAGGACGAGAGAGTGAAAATAGCACAAGTCGTCCGTTGTGGATCAAGTTGTGCTCGTCGGTGTTCCCACCAAAGAGATACTGTACGTACCGTCAGATGGCCCCCTTGTTTCGTCGTGACCCGGGATGCACTAGGTCGTATCCACCCTAGCGTCGAACATCCGTTGATCTAGCCAACGGGACGCCGCGCGCTTTCTCAAAGCAGGGAAAACGGCCTTTGGCGCTCACCTCAACCCTCTAGATCCCAGCCACCTCTTTTTTGCTGTGCTAAGCCGAGCTCTCGAATCCCACTGATCTCAGTCGCCATCGCCAACCTGTTGTGCGACCTCCTAGGCTACCGGAAGTTCAATGGTGCCAGCGCATAGCAAACCGCCTCGCCGCGCCTTGCACTTGCGTAGGCTTCAAAGGAACAGCTTCCCCGGAACCTCTCCATGCTATTACGCCACGCCAGCGCACGAGCGCCCGACGACCACTTTCGTCGGGTCCTCGAGTGAGGACCAGCAGGCAGGGCTCACTAGCCTTACCGGCCATCCTTATGTTAATAAGGTAGAGTGCCTCGGGGCTGTCGTTTCCTTTCTAAACCGGACCAGCACACGACCCATAACCAACCTCGCGCTTGGCCGTCATGTCTGCGGCCATCCCTCCAACTCAACCTGGACGGCCTCTCTGCAGGAATTCTGCCAACTTGTCATGAATTGGACGTCGGAGCGCGAGCTGACGTCTGCAGCAATGGGCAGCGTCGCCACAAACAGGGACTGTCAAAACTGGCGGTGAAGAACCATTTCCCGGATGCCTGCGGCTCTTGTCTCTTCTGTCATCATACTTACAACTGTGCAAACGACTTCCTGCCTCCTGATGGGCCTGCTCCGCCCGGCTTTCTCTCACGTTGCATGACGCCTGAAGAAATGCAACGAGATACCGGAGCATGGTTGGTGTAGGCTGAATTACCTGGGTCTAACTGGCACCCGGCCTGCCTTGGAGTTCCTGACCAGCATGTCCCTATGTGCATGCTCGCAACGTAATCGTCAAGGTTGTAGTACAGACGCACCCCTCGGCATGTGTTGTCCGCGCAGGCGAGGGAGGCGGTCTTGCCCTTTTGCCAGCCCAAACATCGTACTCCGCCACTGTACTGTGCTATCGCCTCCCCGTCATCTGCTCCGGACTCGATGTCGGTCTGGGCTGCCTCAAGTCGTTGCACGGCATGGCCGAGATGATGGGCTGCAGCCCTATCAACACAATCTTGCCTCGAACCAAGGGCGGAGTTAAAGATGAATCAGCCACCTGGGCACTCCCGCCCGGGTTAACTTGCCCGACGACTGCCTCAGCTCTCCCAAGACATTATGACGTTGGGCAACTCCTGATGGCACGTGGACGCACTCATTAGCCAGTGCAACCCATCAACGCCAGCTGCCAGTCGGCTTCTTCAATGTTAGTATATGAAGTGGCTGTTCTACTGTACGTATCTGCGCCTTCAAGTAAGGGCGATTCGACCGATATTTCCAACGTATCGTTCCTGGTGCCTGGCCAAGTTGGCCGCCGTTTGGCTCCAGAGCGGGACGCTGCAGCTTCCGGAGCAGTGCCCGGATCGCAAGATCTCGCTGCTTCGGTATGGGATGCCTTTCATTGGGTTGTTATCTCGTGTGTACCTGACTCCGGCTTGATGCGCCGCAAGGGGGGAAGGCTTCCTACAGCTCCTCAAACGGCGGTGTCAGTACAATCGAGGTGACGCCGGCGGTCCTTATCTCACTTTGACGTCTGACATGAGCAAACGGACCTGGCCCGATTGCTAGAGTGAGGACGCTACAAATAGGGGCCTAGAGCCAATGTCTTCGTATCCACTCGTAGCCTATCTGGAAGCTCCTGTTGAGCCAGCACACGCACATTCGTTTTTTACACCCTGGCTTCGTGAAGCGCAGGTAGCAAGGCGTCTCATGCCCATCACCAAACCACACACAATTTCCTATCCGAGTAATCAACCCTCTCCTTCCAAGACCGAAGTGATATACACACAGCTTTTCTTATCAACGTGGCAAGCCTCGACTTCTCACAGACTACACGGGCGTCTAGCCGACAACACTTGAAGCAGGCCTTCTACGTCTTTTGTCAGCACTCGAATGCACTCGTTTACGCTTTGGGGAGAAACGGCAAGCACACATCATCAAACCAAGCCTCCAAGGTCAAAAACCACAAGTCCAACATGTGCCAGTACTACGCCCACGCTTTCACTTGCAAACACCTTTCCTTCGCCTTTGCCCGCTTCTGCCAGCCCGCCAGCCTCATCCAGAAGCCCTGCGCCAAGCGGCAGGTCTGGCAAACCATCAGCCTCGACGACGCCTGTGAGGAGTGCTTGACGTGGTTTCCTGATCGGTATCCGTGCCCGAGGGCGCGGTACCGGTGAAAGGGGGCAAGCTCAAGGCGCGGATGAGATGAAAGACATCCTACGGTCTTCTCAGTGTTTGGAAACTTGTGTATCTTTGGGCCGTCAGTTTGACAGAGCGTTGATTGGAATTTACAGGGAGTGTAGCTACGACTCGTGGACATGGGATCTTTTATAACGAGGTTGAGGGCTCCGGAAGCCCTCGTATCTAAGTCTTTTTGCTGGGACCTTTCGTCTGACGTCGCGGGAGCTCAGGGAAAGTGGCAATAAGGAAGGGAGTCAAGAGGTAAATGGTCGATGGACAAAGCCGAGTAGGACTAGTTCGGGATGGATTGTTGTATACGTAGCAGGCTGGATTATGGTAAGCTCTACAGAAGCCTGCTGTTCAGCCCGGAGTTGACGGGGCGCAGTTAACGACTGAGGTGGGAGGTTGTTATAGCAATGTCTTCAAATAGTTGTTAGCTAACGGGATGGAAGACCGAGATGAAAACTGTTTACTATCAGCGATTCCACAAACCCAAAACGATTCATTGGCCCTTGGCCTATAGCACAACGTAAGTTGGCTAGCTTGTATGTTCTTAGATTAGTAGAACATTATAAGAAGCCTGGAAACAAGTACGCCGACACTCCACAACACCCAGTCATACTTCCCTGTCTGGGCGATCTTCTCACTATTAACTGTAGTTGTGCGTGGTCTTTCGGGGAGGTCCATCTTCTCGCGCCGAGGATCCGCTAGTGAGGTCTCCAAGAACAAGTTGAGGAAAGGGACGTTCTCAAATAGGGGTACCAGATACCGATTCAACAGCCCCGAAAAGGGACCTTCCAGGGTGTTGATGGATTACATTTGTTCCCCTTGTTTTACCACAGCTTGCGCGCGGAGGTAGCGGTGTTTGTGGACTTCACCGAAGGCGAGGCCGAGAGCTTCTTCAGACAGGCCTTGTGGGTACTCTTCCATTCTGCGTGAAATGTTAATGGATAGAGCTGCTGTCAACTCTATCGCGCTGTCGCCTCCTTGGACTGTTATGATATGTGGTTGGCAGCCATGGGTTAGCCGCAACTGAATTTGGCCGTTTACATTGCAAGTACTGGTTGTTCTGGAAGACGAGGCCAGGCACGCTTTGAAAGGCCATTTGGACTCCGGACACAGCCGAATAGTGCTTAGAGAGGAGTGCAGAGTCCGCCGCAAGTAGGCTCTGGTAGATCCCCCGCCCTCGTCCTTGCTACCTTCCTCGGCTATATCGATTTCGACCTGCTACAGTTCGAGGCGTGTACGTGATCTGTACCTAGGCTTTTAGCCCAGATATGTACAGTCGATTCACTGCGGGGCTCAGTGCACTGCCTGTAAGCGCTAGTCGTTTGGTCGAGATAGGATTGGGCGCCTTCTATGTATATATGCCTTACCATGCCTGTCTGGTCAAGCCTATGTGACGACGATAATTGACTCAGCCTGATTTCTTTATCTCTTGCGCAGCGATTGTCTAATATATCATACCACTTTCCAAGTCCAATGTCACATTTCTTGTTATTCTTAAGTCTCACAGCAGTCCAGTCTACAACATACCAGTCAAGTAACCGTCATTTTCTTTTTTGGCTACCATGGCAGACCCTCTGAGCATAGCTTCTGCTGTCGTTGGCATCCTTGCTGCCGCTGCCCAAGTCATCAAAATTCTGGAGCCATACGTATCAGCCGTCAAAGATACACCGATGACCGCTGCATCAGTTCGCTCGGAAGTCGTTAACTTTCGTATTATCTTATCCGCGTTACAGGGTCTACTAGACAACCTGGATGTTACGGCGGGAACACGTACGTCACTCGTTCCGATTGACGACCTCGTCATAGTTCTTACAGACGGCGTCCTTATTTTCTCCGAGCTTGAGGCTTCCGTTTCCTCCCTAGATGCCACCGGAACTGGGCGCCCTTCGCTCACGTTCCGGATACAGTGGGCTCGGAAAGAGAAAGAGCTGTCTGCCATCGTTGGCAGACTGCAAGCATTCAAGAGCTCTATCTTGCTATTGCTTAATATATTGCAATGGTACGTTCACTAGAAGCTGTAGTAATACCAATGTGTGCACTCACTGACTCATCCTAGCGACTCCGACCGTAGGGCTTCCCAGACCCAAAACGAGCTTTCTGAAAAGGTCGAAAATCTTTGGGCAAATCCTGTCCTCTCACAACGGCTTGCGACCATAGAGGATGTATTTGACGGTTTAAGCGTCTTCAAACCCCGAGCATCCGATAGCAGGTTGAGCATAACTTCTTCAACGTCAGACGACCTGTCTTTTTATTCGGTCGAGACGCTTACAGCGGCCCAACCATCAACTCAGCCATCAGGCATTACGCAACCATTGTTGTCTATCTCGCCTCCCGAATTCGAAGCCGACCTGGACCGGTCTCGAGTCTACCAAAGGGCGGGAGGAAGCAATATTGGCTTTTCATCAAAGCGGTCTATTGCAACGTCAAAAGCTGGTTCTGTCTTTTCTGGCATCAGTTTATCTGACATATCCGTGCTTTCGACCATTGCCGTTCCTGTCTATTCGGGCGAGATCTCCAATGCTCAACACTATGTCTTCTCGGGATTCAAGACTTCGAGCGCAATCACTCAACAATACTACGCCTCTAGTGCCGCCTACAACAGCTGTAGCAGCAATGTCATCGGTAGATGGTCTGAATCCAGAAGGCGAATTTTCAAGTTTAGCGAGTTTCGATTCGAAGTACAATTCGAAACTCCCGTCATCTTCCTATGCCCCCCATCAAACGACAAGGGCCCCGTCAAAGGCCAGCAGATCATTTTCATTGACGGGTCAGAAGATAGTGTGCGAGACAGTCGGTCTGAACTTCCATATCTAACGTCCACGAACAGAAGGGCTCTGACCGACAAGGAGTTAGTCAAGCAGTCAATTCACAAGGCCGATAACGAGCGGGCTTCGTGGGTGACGCTGCTCTCTGCCTTGCAAAAGATGCAATACGAGTCGAGAGGATGGCAGAGGGAACAGTACTTGGAGAAACTGTATAGAACTCCACCCCAAAAGGATCTTAACCTAGAGGATATCGACAAAACACTCAAGGATATTAGCGACAAATACACTCTAACGATTGCTATACAGAAGAAACTTAGAAGCTGGGATACAATGCCGACCAATGTAAAAAAGCCGTATGCTACTACAGCTTTGTGCCATATTATAGAGATGCTAGGCATGCTTAGCGTACACTGGGTTGAATTTAACAGAACCAGCGACATATACCACGCAGAAGGTAATGGCTATACGGTCACAGGGGAGAAAGTTAGCGACCTTGGTATTGTATTCAACTTTCAGGTACACAAGCGTAGCCGCTTTGAGGGCAACTGCGTTATACCTGTCAATGAGACTAAGGAGTTCTGCTTCGGCTTTGTCCCAACTATTTACCGGTATACGTCAGACAGTCAACGGTTGCAATTTCCTGACGACGAACCCAGAGACTTATCCACCTTGAACTTTGCTAGCGACTACGAAATTGCAGAAACCTTGGTCAAACTCGGCTGCAATATAAAGACTGTGGATTACTTCGCTGAAAAATCAACTGCACGGATTGGGCATCTGTTCCCTAGTAAGTCTAATTCTATTCAAGGCCAGATAGAGTGATTTCTATGGTCTAACAAAGTCTATAGCTGCTTTTGAGATATTAGGGATGCTATCTCGCACACTTCACATTGAGAAGAGCGCATTCCGTCTGCTTCCAAACCCAACCTGCTATCGATGGGATACCAAGAACTTTTCGTTAAATAGACTACTTAACGCATACGCCATGCAAATGAACGAATTGAAGGCCGACACACAGCATAATATGAGCGTTGTCGTCAAAGCGATTCAGAGGAACACTCAGAAAATACAGGAACGTATCAAAGCCTCCGATCGCGGTGTTTGGCTTGACTTGCGCCTCATGGATGCCCTGCATTCGGCGCTCGACGATACGGACGAGATCTTGACGGCAAAGCCCAGGGAAGCTCGGTTAGCCCCACAGGCCCGTAACTACACTACAATGTCTCGCATGCAGCAGAGCCTTCACAATGAACCGGCTCGATCCTCAGAGACCCCCAATGAGATGCCATTCGAAAGCAGGCGACAAGAAAGGGTTCAGCACGTGCTTCGAGCTCATATTCAGGAGGTGCTTGCTGTTCTCAATGAAGATACAGAAGATGCAGTCCGAAGGGATTATAGCGGCAATCTATCCTCAGACAAGGAGGGACCTCCTCACTTCGAGTTCATCAATTCTGCAACTCCAGAGTTAAAGCAAGACAAACTTATGGAAATTTACTTTCGAGTAGTCCGGGAAAAGGTCCTTGAAGAGGTTCAAGTGCCGGCGAGCAACCGAGAAATGGTAGGCTTGGGCGGTTTGATGAACAAACCAAAAAACTTCAGTATTCGAACAGCGGAGACACTGGGCGATGACGACGAAACCTGCTTACACGCTTTAGATGACAATGATCTGAGTGATGGAGATATATGGTGTACGCTTGTTTTCCGGATGATTTGTTGGCTTATGTTGCACGATTTTCACAAGAAGGATGTCCAGATTGCAAAGAGCGAACTCTTCGGGAGCCGTCTGCCTGTTTATATTTCATAGTGGATGAATTGATTCTGAGAGACTTCTGGAATTTAAGCAGTAGGTTTTGAGTCATACTCTTAGACGAGCTGGTAGCGACGCATAGCCCTGCGTGACTGCTTGCGGGCCTTAAGCACGTTCTGTGACCAACTACCAACCACTTGTGTCCGGCCCAGTGGCTGTCAAGGGGCAGTTGTCATTTTGGCCTAAATCCCTAGCTTTCTTGCGCTTCCAGAAGTCTGCAGCCGTTCTGCCGACTGCACTCCGGAACGGTGCGATACCAGCACAGCCCGGCCCCGCAAGTATCCGTCCGTTGACTGCCGGCCTTTTCCGATGTATCGGCCCCACCTCCAGAGATACGGGACCTGCCGGCGGCCCCGCTTGACCTCTTTCTCCGCCATGTCCCCCGGATTCGCGTTGAGAAGTGGGCTGCGCGGACTGACGCGGCGCCGCTATCTAAGGAGGGCCCGCGGCTGAACAGTCAAGAGTGCACAGTTGGCGGGAGACGTCTGCTGATGAGATTTGCCTCTTTTGAGGCAACCTGATTTGGATGGTGATCCACCTTGAATCTCAAATATCAAATAGTTTTTGTCGTTGCTGCATGGATGGCATGGTTTCACAAGCCCTTATTGACCGTGTTCCGCCCTTGGTAATAATAGCGCCATCCTTGAGGCTGTAGTATACAGTGAGAATGTCGATGGAAAGAGAGGCGTGAGTAAAGGACTGCATTCATCTCTGACCTCCCTCTTCCTCTTGGAACAAGGAGGCCCTCATGCGAGTGCCTCTAGTGCTAAAGGCGGTGTTGAAGTTGAGAATCTTGGTGACACATTTTGGGTGTCCTGTTAGTGGGGTGTCCCGTTAGCTGACTGACGTTGTTCTACGGGACGAAATGCTTTCCGATAACACCGTCTTATGACCTGGAGAAACCATCGAACATATATACATATATATGTCGACCGCCGTCTCACTGCGCGCCGAGTCGATAACGTAGGCATTCGAGCTTTCTGTTCAGGGATGCATGCAATCTCCTCGACGCACCGGTTCTCAACCGAAGCCCCTGCACTGCGGAGGCGTCGGCAATGCCCATTGGGCATCGAGAGGCGGTAGTCGTCGCGAGGCGGCTTCGGTGGCGGACAGCGCAAGGCAGACTCACTCGGGTGGCTTGCAGGCGAGTTTGCAGCCCTTTTCGAATCATCCTGCGTGAGCAAGGTCTGTAGTGCGGTCTGAAACTGCAGGACCCCGGCTGCGTGGCCGGCACTAACAAGATGCGCCGCCTCTCACTGGAGAGATCCTTCAGCTTTTTTTCGACTTTGTCCACTAGCCGCATGCGAGATACCGGCTCACCCCGCCGTCAAAACGGGTCGTCGGACGCCCAAGTGGTTCGCCTTGGTGGCACAAGAGGCATATAACATGATGGCACCCGCCAAGAGGTCATCGCAGTACCGGCGCAACCAGTCACAGCGTCCGGCGTCTCCAAGATGGCGGTATCGTTCTCGAATCCCCTGCCTATTCTGCAAGGCTGGGACGAGGGCAGCGCGAGCTTTAACACGACCTCCCACGGCACCGATGGCGAGGCGAATAGACTGGCATTTCCGTTCCTTTACGCGGACATAGACCAGCCTCCGGTCCTGACCTCTTCCGCGGAGAGCCTCCGGACCAAGGCCCTCGAGGCCATCCGGCACCATTACCAATGGGAGCACGACTTCAACCCACTCTGCGCCCTCAAGCTCGCCAACAACTGGAGCGATGCTTGGTCGGCCACCGATCTCGATTCCCCGTTCCTCTTCCTGGCGGCGTACTCGCCCAAAGTCGTCATAGGGTTCTACGCCCTCCTCAGGGACCTGACGCTACTAAAGGATGCGGACGAGGGCTTTCCTCGATGGGAATCATACAATGGGTTTTACGGCTCCCATTACGCGGCAGTGCTGCTCGAGAAGATGGTGCTGATCAGGTTTCCCAATAACGGAAAATGGATGACCACGTTTCGTTCCTGGAACGGAGAAAAGGATCCAACACGGTTGCAATGCATGTTGGACGGTTTCCGCACTCGTCTCGATAAGGCGGAAAGACGATGGGCGTCTTTGAAAGAAATGTTGGGAGCGCTCGAAAAGGAAGTCCACCTCCAGTACATGGGACGGCTACGGCACAGCCTAGAGGCGACATTCAATTTCTTCCGCGATGAAGTCCAGGAGTGCAACGACACGATAGCAAGGTTGGAGATGGAAGAAGGTAAGCGACGAGACCTCTGGGGCACCCGGGCGTCTCTTTACGGGTTTCCATGCTGATGCCATTTTGCAGCGAAAAAGCTGTCGCTCGTATCCGAGAAGGACACTTTCAACAACCCTTCCGTGTCGTCAGCCATTGACTCCGCCTCGATGAACCCGAACGAACGGTCACAGGCCGCCCAGGGACTCCCTTCCAGCCGCCGGAAGCTCCGCAAGAGGCCCCCGACGGCCCCATACCGCCGCGGCGGAAGTCGAAGGAGACCAGGAGCCGCCACTGAGGAACCCAAGCTCTGGCGCAGCCTCGGTCTTTCGCTCGTCACGGGGCTCGTGGTCATATCACTCCCGTTCATAGTGATCGCGACGCTACTGTGCGAGGCCGCCGACACGGTCCCGATGTACGACAGCAACTTCTACTCGACCCTGAGCCAGCAGCTCCTGGGCTTCGGGGGCCTCTACGCCATCATGAAGCCCAAGCTGGTGCAGTGGCTCACCGACTTTGGCTTGCTCACTTACGAAGGAGACCCGCCCGGAGGCATAAAGACGAACTGGCCTGTCATCTTCAACTGTCTGGTCGGGACAGCGTTCCTCACTCTGTTGGCAAGCTCCCCCATCTACCCGTATTATCCCCAATCCAGTATCCCGCTCGGGGCCGTGGCGGCCATCTGCGCAAACCTCGCAACGCTGCTCATCATTGAGGACACTGGGAATCAGATAGTACAGCAAAGCGAGATGATCGAAGGACTAGAAGGTGAGCTAGAGGGCTACCGTAGAAGGGGTTGATAATTGGGACATGGCCTGGTCTCTCTGTGATTCACGGCTAGATATACGACTTGTGGGAATGAAAATAAATGTTATGCCAAAGCGCCGGTTCATCAATGTGTTTGATGGGCAAGATCATCCTCGTTGTAACGCACGAGGTCAGGATGCTAGCGTGTAAACAACAAGTATACGCCTGTTGTTGGAGGCGACTATACCCACCCCGGCCAGCAGACTAGTACACCCACGCTTCGACTTCAACCTAGCACCTTTATTCGCCGTAAATTTGTGAGCTTCTCAGAGGGACAGTTCTTACTGTTCTCCAGAAACACAACACCCTGAAACTTGACGCTTCTAACTACGACCAGTCTGGTATCGAGTTGCAGTCTGTAAGCAGTCTATAGTCTCATATAAGATACAGTGTCAGACTCCAAGTAAGAGAATGCAGGATTATCCGTACAAGCCGCAGTTAGCTCTTTCCAAGCGGCAGACGTTGATAGGTATCCGCCAAGTGCGATCATGGGCCGAGTCAAGGTGAGCTCAGTTGCGGCCTGCATCATGTCAAGGCGGCCGACACGACAGATACGTAAGCAGCCAAACCGGTCTATGACAAGAGTTGAACCGCTCACAGTGAGGGGTGAAGCAACCCGGTAGTGGAGCGGGCCACACTTCGGTAGACTTCGCCACAACTCGGCAGCATCCGCGGCTTGATGAAGGGGTGTGGGGATCCTGAGTAGTGTTGTCGCCAAGATAGTACGGTAGGCTGTTTAAACGCAGCAGCCGCCCGACCCAAGCTTAGCTGCGGCTTGTCGACCGAACCGCTTACGAGAATCTCCGGCTGATTGGCGGTGGGTGTATCGAGAGCGCCATGGTGTTTGCCGCTGCGTCATGTTATCAAACCCCTGGTTCGTGTCCGCGAACCGTCGGGCACGACTCCAGAGTTGATGGAGGCCATCACACAAAGACCAACCCCCTGAGGAACCTTCATAATCTCTGTGTCAGCTTTGGGGGCCTTTGCATACATCGTTGCTATGATGAAAGCTGCCGTGAACCCAACTGATGAGTTGGGTCAAACCAAGCGCAAGGACAAGAGCTTCCCTCGAGTATGGGTTAGTACACAGCGTCCGAAGACCCTACGGCATGCGATGGGGACATGGAACAAGCATATGATGATGCTTTGTTTGTTTCGTGGTTGAGTTAGTCCAACCCGCTTCCTTCATGTCCAGAACCTCTGTGTAACTCGACGTGGCGATAATATTGCGTTTTCGTATGCCAAATTACGGCGTGAGGCAAACAGCTGAAGCATCATCATCATCCCACCAATGTCTCAGTCGAGAGGCATGTAAGGTGCCCAGAAACAGAGCGTGGGGTTGAGAGCGGGGAGGACGGTTCAACTACCGACTTGATCGGGCGAGACTGGGAAGAAAAATAGGTCAAAACAGGCAGGTAAGCGATATGAAGATGCGAGGTAGGCTCACCTGCATGCCGTGTACTATCCAAAAGGTCCGACGCCAAGGGTAGAGTCAGCTGCCAAGACGTAGTAGTGAGGAGTCAAATGGAGCAGAGCAAACAATTGACTAAAAGATGCGTGTCGCGTCAAGTTACACAGCTAGTGCACTCGTTGTATACTGCTTGGGTATAGGACGCCTTGGGAAAACCCCAAGACTAGGAGGCCATTCACACAGCCGAGGGAGAACTACACGCCTCGAAGCGGAGCAAGCATAAGTGATGGAAACGTAAGTCTTGCGCGGTAAGACTTGGCTTCAATAGAAATAAAGAGATGGGCAACGGTTATTACTGTACATAATACTGGAAACTAGCTAGCCACGTTCAACGCTCCCTTGGAGGCGAGACCGGATCGCCTGCGCGATACGTACTCCTTGAAAAGACAGTAACAACAACATCAGCAAGGACTTTTGCTGTACGATTAGTACGCGTGGACGGAGCAAAGCAGATCACCTACATGGCGATGTGACGAGCAGCACAATACTGCATCACAGGATCACCACGCCGCGGAGAATCCTGAACGCTGAACGTGAGCATGCAAGGCAGGGTACCGACACGGAATAGCACCACTGCGAATAGAACAGATCCACCTCGGTCTGAGCGGCAAAGGGGGCTGCATCAGTCAGTGGGACTGTACACATTCTCGCGATGGCGGTCTTCCCAAAGGGGGAATATCAAGCAACCAAGACTTGACAAGTTGCCCGACGATGCCGTGTCGAGCCGACACAAGACACGCCTGGGATGCCTTCTCGCGGGTTATAAAAGGCAGGAAGTTGCCCAGAGTATCGTCTTCATAACATCGCCCTCATCAGACTCCAGCATACCATTCACCTAGCACCGCTCCACGCCACAGCTCAACAGCCCGTCCTTCCCTCCACCCAACATGAAATTCCTCCAAGCCCTCCTCAGCCTTGCTGGCGCGGCCTCCGCCCTCGACATTTACTTCCACACCGGGCCCAACTGCAACGACGCCTCCGTGATCTGCAGCGGCATCAACCCCGGCGTCTGCTGCAGGGCCGGCGGCATCACCTACAGGAGTGTCGCCTACCGCGGCATCGTGCCCAGCTGGCGCATCCGGTGCCGGAGCTACCAGGGCAACGGCTGCGAGATCCAGCGGGCCGACTCGACCGTCAACGGCGTCAACTACCAGTGCCACTCGTTCCAGAACAACTACAACTACAACGGCGCGCGGTACGACTTTGTCAACCGGAAGCGCGCCGAGGACACGTGCGCGGCCGAAGACGGGACCTGCGAGTCCACCCAGCAGGCCGACACCTTGGTCCTCGAGGACGGGACGCATCTCCGCATCACCGAGTTGGAAGAAGACCCTCTCGAGGAACTGGTATGAGTCCCCCTCACTCCTATTTTGTGAGAAAACGCCTGCTGACTTTGACAACGCAGTGCGTGAAGCCGTCTCGACAAGCCCCTGATTTCTTGGAGCATCTACTAATCGTGCCGAAACATCTAGCCTTCTCCTTGCAGCAAACGGCACCGTTGCCGCTGACCTCCCGCAGGAGTTCCAGGAGTTGGAGATCAAGCAGTAGATGCCCTGGCGTGGTGACAGTGACGCGGGACCGACACGCCGTGAGCAAGACCCCTTTCCGGACACGCAAGGAGCACACGTTCCACGTGGTATCGAACCATTCATCTGGTGGAACACTTGCTGACCCCGCCGGCACGTCCAGCCTCCAGGTTGCCGCGCACACAACAGCGGCCGCTGGCACCCCCCAGCAGCCCAAGACGCTCGAGGTCGACGGGTGGAGGTTGGTCACGAGTGCCACGTGATCGATGACACGCGCGTACGCCGTACTGAGAGAAGGGGGTGGTGGTATTGTTGCATTCTTGACTGGGACTTTGGGCCTGCCTGTACGGTATAGCCTTGCTCGCGGGCCTCTTTCTTGATTATTTCACCCGTAGATGCCGCGAAGGGATCGTCCGCTCTTTACTGCCTTCGTAAAAAGGGTTCTTGTGGAACACAGCCCCGAATAAATCCCCAAAATGATGGCAATCACAGAAACTGGTTCGAACGCCGGGCAACGTGACTCGATGCATGATGCTGGAATGCAGCCGAAGGAAGCGGTACCCAATCTCTGTGGGACAACATGTCCATGCCGGTTCTGTTTGAAGGTTAACAGTAGAGGTAGTTGGTCGATGAGGTAGTTGATGGATCTGGACTATCCTTGCCGTTCTTGCCTGCATGCCGACTTCTAGTATAGTTGAGCCGTGAGTGATCAGATACACACGTACAGAGCCACGCACATAAGCAACGCAATACCAACACGCCGCCTGATATACCATGTACCACATCGATAGACGTGGCCAATCATCACTTGGGGCATGAGAATAGCCCTCGACTAGTCGCGACGGAACAGAACGAAAGGGCACGGCGCTTACCCGTCCATCTAGTATTGCCGCAGACGCCCCCGGCTTGCCGTACGCAACAGGACGTTGATCAATAAGCTGACTGCACAGCGCACCTTCCTAAACGGTCATCTACTAGCACGTCTTTGCCCTGCGCCGCTTCCAGAGCAGGAGCATTGCTAGCTCTAGGTAGTTGGAGCCATTGCGGGAAAGCCTGGTTGTAAAGAGCCTGATAGATTAGTATCGGCGGGTTGTTGAGCCGGGGGAACAAAACTAGACTGGCCAGTCTAGCTTCGAGCTTGGGAAAGCAACCGCCCTAGAAGATGGCCAGCCAGTTCCTGATCAGTCTCTCGTTCAAGAGATTAAACTTCCCGAGATTGGTCAGGGGAATCGAGCAGGTTCACATAGAGGTGTCGGTGGGTCTGAAAGCAATGACTGAATAAGGGCGTCTTGCATTCTCCCTTCATCCTCATGATGGAGGATCGTTTTGACTACATGTATAAAAGTTAAAAAGTATCAAGTAAAAATCCCAACTCCTTTGTTGATCCTGGGTATATAAAAAGAAGAAAAGTATGCTTTCCTTTGAACAAAACCATCCCTTGTTCCAAAAAGCCAAAAAAAAAAAAAATTTCGACTCCCGCTAAATTCTTCAATTCCATGACGGGACCTTCATACGCGCATGCGTAACCGCTGCCGGTTTCCGTCGTCGACTGCCAATGTGCAGAGACTCCTCGTTCTCGTTCTCGGCCAGGTCCTCGAAGTGCTGATGCCCGACCGTGATGAGCTTGATGACATTGCCGAAACCAACCGCGACCGACGCCGTACCGACCTTGACGATCGGGCCGAGCTCTGAAATGATGAGATGCGACCCAACCTCGTAGTCGGCATGAAGCGGCCTCGTTTCGTAAATCTCCTCGCGTCCCAGTTGCGAAGCCACCCACACCTCCCAGTTGTCCGAGGATCTGCTCGGTCGCTTCTCCAGCCGCTGGTACATCCTGCGCCGGAGGCCACCGGTAGTCGTTGGGGACGACTCGCCGCTGCTCGATCCGCTGTCGTTAACGTCCCGCCGCACGCCCACAAGGAAGCCGTTGGGTAGTGCCTCCCACGTGCCTGGGTTGCTGATTTGTCGCTTCGACTCGATCGTTTCGGACCATAAACTGCAGCTGCGACTCGGAGGGAGGTTTGTGTTGCGGAAACAGATGACGTTGCCGTCCTCCTTGGGCGTAAACGAGTGCATGATGCAGTCGCCCGTCTCCGCGTGGTTGTAGGCGATGCCAAACGAGACGAGCCCGATCGAGCCACACTGCGGCTTCCGTCGCGAGGAGTGGAAGCACCTCAGCGACCGCGGCTGGATGGGATCCGTTTCGAAGGTGTGAAGCAAGTCTTTGGATTTCGCGTCAATGAGATCCACGGTCTGCGACCTGGCGATCAGGAATGAGCTGAGGGCCGAAAGCGGTACGACCTGATACGCATCTCGATCCTCGTCAGAATGAACGTCGAGGCTCTGTGATACCCAGGTGTCATTCACTTGCTGGGTCGCCACGTGAATGCACCCCTTTCTCGACGCTGTCAGTATCGACAGCTGCGAAGAGCCATGCGGCGCAATCTTCTGCACGAGTGGCCGGACCGAAATCAAGGGGCTCTTGCATATGGTAAACTCCATCGGCTCCTTCATGCCAGGAATGATTTGCGTCATGGTCCCGTTTCGGCGGACGATGACAAGGGGGCTCGTAAAGTCAAAAGTTGGGGTGCCGAAAAAGAAACCCTCAGGCTTCTGGCCGTTCAATTCGACAGGGACCGGATGGCCCCAACGATGCTCGACCAGGTTCCAGAGAAAGACCTTGTGAGACGACAACAGGGCCAACCAGCTGGACTTCTTGTCCGTCGCAACTGCCAGAATCGGGAAGGGGTTTTCAGGGGGCGGCTCGATATCAGCCAGCGCATAGTCCCTGCCCCCGGACCGGACGTCCCACACGCGGATTGCCCGATCCAGTCCAACTGAGATGATGTGCCCGTCGTATGAGGATGACATCATGACGACATCCAACGAGTGAGCCTCTGGAAGAGACTCAATCGCCAAAAGAGGTTGGTCGCTCATGTCATCGTTGCGTCTGGACTCGGCATCGTCTCCCCAGAGCAGGTAGTTCATGAGGAGGCGGACGGCAGAGAGGATGAACAGCACGGTGGCGAGGAAGTGCTTCAGATGATGGTCGATAAAGTCGTACAGGGCCGGCAGAAGGGGCCGCTCTGGCGTGACAGGCGTGCGGTCCGCGCCGTTGAGGACGAACACAAGAGGGTCATACACCCGGGCAATGTAACTGTGGGATCGCGGCTTGATGACATTGATAACCTCGCGAGCGCTTTCGTGGTCTTGAAGGCGAAGCCAGGATGTGGGGCTTCGCGCTTGGTGGATGTCGACCAGTAACGAATTCTTTGGCTGGCTGAAGCTGACAGTGTCTCTGGAGACCCTGAAAACCCCCCGCAGGAGTCGGACGAAGGTGTCGTTTTCAAAAAAGTGCCACTGTGCAATCAAAACAAATGTGATCATGATAACTGTCCCGGCGATGCGCGTGGACAGGGCTATTTTACCCTGCAGCATCGCCTCAAAGCAGCTCCTCTTTAGCGGCTGCTCCTGTCCGTACCTGTTGTTCTTCAACGAGGCTTTGGCAAGCGCGTCACTGAGCTCTGTCCGTCGCACGTCGACGCTGAGGACGGCCAGGAAAAACGTGGACAAGTAGAAGAAGTCGAAGACAATGGCGACGGCCACAAAAGTGCAGAATGCAGAGACGCCGGGTGAGACAATCTTGGACAGACCCCACAGGATGATGACGTTCTGCGCCGAGCTGGCCAACGCAACATGTGCCGTCTCTCCGAATGCGCGGCTGATTCGACTGCTCGTGCTGTTCTCCGAGGGGGTCACGATGACGGCGTTGATGAGCCTAAATATGTTTTCAAGGCTCATCGAAAGAACAACCACAGGATACGCCGCCTGAGGGATGCCCGACAAGTCAACGCGGAAGACGGCACACACCGTGAAACTAGACATGATGGAGACGACTACCTGTACGAAGACGGTGACTATCAAGCCAATCTTTGACTTGACCGCTCTCAGCTTGGAGAGGCTGTATAGAAAGTATAGGCCTGCCAGACCGTACGCGAGCGCCAGAAACACCGTGTCTTGCATGGATATGGGCATAAACTGGAACTCGTATAGCTGGCTGGTCATGCTCTTCCCGTCTGCCGGGTAGGCGGTCCATTTGTCCTTCATGCGGGCCGCGAGCGCCTCGGCCTTCCTCTCCCATTGACGACCGACGGGCGAGTCGCGCAGGTGGATCAGTGTGATGACAAGCGCGTCGGCTGCCAACAGTTTTCTGTCTTCGAAATGCTTCCCGCTGAAGACGATGGAATGCCGGAGAGTAACATTGACCGAAGTCGGCTGGGTTTTCCTCGCGTTGACCGTGGAGACGATGTTGGCATCGGTGGATATGCGCTCCGCGGAGCAGGCCCAGTATTGGAGGGGCGAATGGAAGAACCACGACTGGTTGGTAAGGCCGTTGACGACGTGAAATGCATCCCGGTCCTGAGGTGCAAGATCTGCGTGGGGGTCGTGGACCCGGAGAGCCGTGACGGGCCGCCGTGGGCTGAAGTTCTTGGTGGGACCGAGCAGCTCGTCCTGGAGTTCAAGAGCACCAAGCAGCACCTCGCGATCCAAAGCCTTCATATAACTACCGTGGACCCATATGGAGCGCATGATGACGTCGGATTCGGTGCTGTTTTCCTTGAGCGGCTGCGCAGCAGTCCACACGTGGTGGGGGAGGTTGGAGGCGCCATTGCTCAAGTCGGAGGTGTAGAGAAACGGAAAAGGGTATATGAGGATCGAGGCGACGACGACGGAGATGATGAGGGTCGTGACAACGTGCCTCGCAGCGTATCGACCGTACCGCGCAAAGGCTCGGCGGAGAGGGTGGTTTGGTGCAAGGAGAGGAGCTTCCGTCGTTCTGATGGCAGGCAAGTCAGTGCATGTGTGGGAATCGCGCCAGGCCCGGACGGCGAGAGAGGGCATCGGTGCGGGATTGGAAGGGGGGAAGAACTGCATACCCTCGCAAAGGATACAATAGGTACCAAATCATCTGCGGCGACGGTTGCAAGTGGACTTGCAGCGACTGCAGCAGAAGACGAGGTTAACAAAGTTGCGGAAGCGGGCGCGGCTCAATCGAGCAAGCGATCCATCCAGCGTAAAACTGCAGTGGATGGTATTTTTGACGTCGGTCTGCAAGTGGTGGTCGCTGCGCTCATGATTTGGCTCGACGGTCGCGGGCTACGTGAGGTGGCCAGAGGAATTGAACATATGAAGCGGCCGGGGAACCGTGGGTTCGAGAATCAGAGGGCGACGCGGGGATTGGAAGGGTGGAAGCTTTTGAAATCAATGCGCTCGGGAGAGGGATGTGGGCGAGTCTAGTAAGCAAGAAGGTTGCATAGGAGAAGGACGGGGATGGGGGCGTGGTCAGTCAGGTCCACGTCCGTCAGTCGATCGGGTGTCGGGAGACGTGCGTGAGTGGAACGACGGCGGCGGGCGCCTGCGATGGGGCCAGACCAGGCTCAGGACAAGGCCAACTTGTTAGTCTGGCGCTGGCTCTGTGGCGGAGGCTTGTTACCACGTTGGTCGTGGGAAAACCGTCAAAGTCGGCTGGAGGGGGGTGGCGCGAGTCGATTGAGAGAAATGCTCTCGTGAGCGGAGGGCCAATGCCAATGGAGGTCTTGGGTTAATTATGTATGTGAGCGAGTGGGTGGTGTCCGTACAATTGGACAAATCGCGGTGCTGGCGATGCAATCTTGGTCGAAACGAAGAGAATACGGAGAAAGTATACGCCGCCAAGACTGATAAGAGGTTCTGGGCGGTCGTTGGTTGGCAAAGTGGAAGGGGAATTGATGTCGACAGGAAGAGACGATGCACCCTTTGGCGGTGATGGAGAAGGTAAGGCGATGGGATCGATCGGGGGACGTCGAGTCGAGCTGGATGCGACCTGACAGAAGACACAGGTGTGATACAGACAGAGAAGACAGGACTGCGTTGGGCAGACAGGGGTCGGAAAGGCAGCTGCGGTGCGAGTCGAGGTTGCAGAGGGTACATTGGAGGACACTGAGACTGTTCAGTGGTTACCCCTCGTAGAAAATGCCCGTAGCGCGCCGTACCGCACAGCCAAACCTGGAAGGAACCTATAGCCCCCTCATTTCAGTTGGACTCAGTGCTGGAGTCGCAGTACAGAGGGAGTATCGGGGAGGTATCTAAATTTGGGGAAGGGAAGAAGTGGGACCTGCCAATGGCCAAGGCGTACCTAGTGGCAGTATCTGTCGGGGAACATGGGACGACTTCCCTACGAGGTAGGCGCGAAAAAACTTATTGAGGCCTGGCCCCCCTGTAACGCGCCGAGGTCCTCCAGAGGCAAAAAGAAGCAAGAGAAAACAGGCAGGAAAATAAAGAGAGAAAAAAAACCGCGCCACAAGATAACTGTCAGGTCCGCCTAGAATGTGCTAGGCTTGGCTCTGGGAAAGGCAATACAAAGGTAGCCTCTCTCACCCTTCACTGTCGTCCGGTCGAGTCTCGGTACTTGGAGGTGACTTCACTCGAAGACGAGACAAAATAAACACGTGAACCGGAGAGAGAGAGAGAGAGAGATGGCTCAAAGGAGCCGAGCCAGGGGCGGTTTGGTGTTGCTGCCAAGCTGGAGACGTCACAGCCCATCGAGTGTCTCGTGTCTGATAGGGGCCCCCGGAGCGGAGGGGGATTGTCCACTAAAACCGAGGCCCCTCAGCCGTGTGCCGGCGCTGACGTCTGCAGGTCTTTGGATGGTGAGACAGTCCCAAGACCTGGGAAGAACTTCTTCCACTGCAACAGAAGCCGGTCCAGCCTTTCAGTCTAGGTACTACCTACTTATGTGTGACCCCGACCAGACTCTCCCGCACCGACGAGCGAGCCCCGCCATGGGATACACGAAGAGGCACTACATAGGTGTGTCTGCCATGGTGTTCGGCAGGTAGTCAAGAAAAGCAAAGAGAGATAAAGGGGGGCATGCAGGGACCCAAACAAGGACAATCCAAACCAGACAACGCCGCGCGGGTGGACTTCGCGCGCGGAAAGGGAGAATAAGGTTGGAATTTGAGGGGTAGTTTGGGAACGTCTATTTCAGGGCGGCAGTCGAAACAGACAAACTTGGGGGATCCTGAGATGGGCAATGAGCTCGTGACAACCAAACCACGCGCCTGGCTTGCGTCCGTGTCAGCTCTGTTCCCTAGGCATATCCCATCAGACGGGACCCCAAGAGACAGATGGCAGCCGTCAGTCACTCTGGGTCCGACGAGACTCGTCGTTGGGGGCTGGTAGCTCCAATCCTGGAATGCCAATGATGTGCGACTCTCAAACAGAATTCTTGACGGCATTTCTGGGACATTCCAGAAGTGAGGAAAGAAAAGAAACATGTCCCCTGTCAGCCTGTCTCGCCCGTGTCGTGTTCCTCGGTTCCCCCCTGGAACGGGCGGAAGCTTGTTGGGTTGCACGGCTCTGCATGGCGTCCACTAGGACAGGCCGTCTTCCCAGAGCCGGACAAAATGAAGAACGTGTCGTGGCTTTCGACTGTCGTCGTTGCCGTCGTGTGCTGCGGCGCCCCAAGGGATCCAATTGGGGACAAGCAACCCGCCGCAGGGGGGAGCATTGGCGCGCAGTTCTTTGCCGATTCGTTCCCAGTTATGTCGCCGCACCCCTCCTTCACGTCGCGGAAATGCTTGCTGTCTCGTCTTCGCTTGAAGGTGAAGGAAGGCCTGGAACCTGGGCGGAAATACACCGGGGTCCCGATTGAAGGGACCGGGCGTCGACGGACCTGTACGCCAGTTGGGTGTATGTATGCGAACGTCGAGCTGCGTTGTCCCCGTCCCTTTGAGGAGCCCGTGCTGCGATGCGCTCGGCTGGGGGATTTTGAGCACGAGGCAGACCTGGCGGGCGCATCTTATCGCTGGGCCGAGGCCTTCAGCACAGTCCGCTGCCTGGCGTCGCGCGACGAGGCCTCTGCATGCTTCCAGGTCGACATCGGAGACCCGGAGAGGCGGCGCTGCTGCAACCGGTAACAACATGTCAAATACGACCGTCTTAGCGCGCATTATGGGCTCCTGTCATCCCGCCGTGGACAGACTGGGTGTGCTGCTGATGCGTGTGGTGTATATCAAAGAACATTTCAGGACCCCGGGGGTGCGATTTTCGTTGCGAAGAACTGCCCACCGGCATCGTCTTGTTCAGGAATGTGGGCGTCTCTGGCGCAAACAGTCGAATGTGACCATGTTTATTTCCTTGTTGTATCGCGTGGCGACAATCATCGGTGGTGGGCTAATTAGTGGCTTTTCTCGTTAGTGTTGCTTCTGCTTCTTCTGGGTCCCTGGATCAGTCGCAATAAATGGTTGACTGGGATTTGGGTCGGATTTGCAATGAAGCTAGGTGGCCGTAGAATAGAGAGCATCGCGAGGCTCGTTCGAGAGTGAGCAGTCGACCTGGCGTGTTCGACTAGTGTCGAGCGAGTTAGCTGGCGTCAGTTCTGCATTTGGGGCGGTTGGTAGCGCAGCCACGGTCCGTCGTTGTAAGCCGAGGGGGCGTGTTGCTGCGGTGGCTGTTTGGTTGGCGAAGGTGACCTCACGATAGTGAAGGTTGAAGCACGTTTACCATGGAAGTTCGAACGAAGAAGGGGGAAGGGCCGGCCGGCCGTCATAAATACTAGGAAAAAAAAATTGCCCAGCCAGCTGCACCCAGGCCAGATCGGATCTACCTAATCTATACTCAATCAGACGGGCAAAGCTCGCTGCTGCTGCCCGTTGCCAAAAAAGAAGAAAAAAGGCAGAGCTTACCCACGGCAAGTGTGACCGCGGTGTGTTTGCTTCGCTGCTCGGAATCCCAGGCCTCTCATCATAATCAGGCCATGAGGATGCTGAAGTGGCCTGACTTCCCACTCGCGCCGCTCCTCCCATTGGCCCCGCTCCGCTATGCGCGGTTCGCACCACCCCCATTCGAGACCCTCGTGCTGCCCATCCCACCGTGACACCCCCCCTCCCCCCCCCCCCTTCTTTGTGCCCCTTGGGTGCGTTGGAGTGCATTCAAGAATCGGCACCCTTGCGTTCGCGTGTTCTGCGCTCGGAAAGAGTAGTTTAGTGTAGGTAGCCTTCTTGCTTAGTGCCCGTTGATCCATTGGGCGGCATGGATTCCGGAGCGTGCTATTCGTCGGTTGGCTTGTTTCGGGCCTTGCCAGCACATATGCGGACCGTGACCCAAGACGTTGGACAGGTTGACTGACTAACCCGAATCTCAGATATCACAAACCACCGGCCCATGTCAGGCTGAGTGAGAATCAACCTCGCTGGCTAATTTGATTACTGGCTTGTGTGTATGAGGTACCAGCTAGTATTGCAGAATTGCTACATCGTCAAGACTTCCCATCCGTGACGCCCGGTGATTGTTCAACTCGCAAGTGACCCATTCCGGCAATAGTTTTTCAAATTTTCACTTTTTTGCTCAGCAATCCAAGAATAAGCACGCGCCGTCCTCATCGTGCCACTACAACTTACACCCGACTTCTCTCTCATCACAAACACATGCGTGCCGCCACATTATATCCCAATCCAAGATCATGAACTCAAAAGCCCCTGCGGCCTCAGGGGACCCCCTGGCTGAGCTCATTACCACATACAACGAGCTCAACGGCGCCTTCATCGAGGAATTGGACGAGGAACCGAGCCCCCTCGAGTTCATGCGCTACGTCGCCCGCAACACCCCCTTCGTCGTCCGCGGCGCGGCGTCCTCCTGGCAGTCAAACAAGACATGGAACAAGGAGTATCTGGTGCGGATGTTCAAGGACCAGACTGTCAACGTCGCCGTGACGCCGTTCGGGTGAGTGGGGGAAAATCCTGCGCGTCTCGCCTCACATCTATCTGCATGTCTGTCCCATGATGGTTGACTTACACGGGTTGAATAGCAACGCCGATGCCCCGACTGAACACGACGGGAAAGTCGTCTTCGCAAAGCCCCACGAAGAAGATCAAGACTTTGAAACCTTTATCAACTACGTGATCAACCAAGAAAAGAGCAATGACACAACCTCGGAGGTCCGATATGCCCAGACCCGTACGTTGATTCTCTAATCCTCATCCTCACTCACTTTCGCCCTGCCGCCCGCCTAATTAGACTCTACCCTGCCGCGTTTAATATCCGCTATTTTACATGTCAGAAACCTGCAAGCTTTACGCCCCTTCCCCCCTTATGTCTTGCCGTCCCTCGCCTGCCAATCCTGTTTCTTCACTCAACCCCCCCTCATCCTGTCTCCCAGGATGAAAATGGTGAACAAGAACAAGAACATCAGCTCACAAATGACCCCTCAGAGAACGACAACCTCCGCAACGAATACCTCCCCCTCTCCTCCCAGGTTCCCCCCTCGGTCCCCTTCGCCCGTATCGCCCTCGACCGCGACCCGGACGCCGTGAACCTTTGGATCGGCACCTCGCGCTCTGTCACCGCCCTGCACAAGGACAACTACGAAAACATCTACGTCCAGGTCCGCGGCCGCAAGCACTTCGCCCTCCTCCCGCCATGTTGCCACCCCTGCGTCAACGAGAGGGCCCTCGCGCCCGCGACCTACGCCCGTCGGGACGATGGTAGGTTGGAGCTGAAGCTTGACCGTACTGAGGACAAGGCCGATGGCGAAGACGACGGCAGAGCGCCAGACGCAGTCCCTTTTGCGACCTGGGACCCGGATCACCCAGACATCAATGCGACGCCCTACTCTCACCTCGCCGAGCCCGTCCGAGTCACCCTGGACCCGGGTGACATGCTCTACCTCCCCGCCATGTGGTACCACAAGGTTTCGCAGTCCTGCCCGGAAGACGGAGAGGGCTTCGTCCTGGCCGTCAACTACTGGTAAGTTCCGTCTCCAAGAATGGGCAATCTTTCCGTCACCCAAGGCTAATCAACATTATCATGCCAGGTACGATATGGAATTCAGTGGCCCCTTATATCCTCTGAGCGCCTTTGTCCGGAACGTCAGCCTCCGGACGACAACATCAACTTCAGCAATGCCCACGGCTTCAACGTCGGATAGGACGACATAGGAATGGCTAGACATCCTGTAATGATCAGAATAACCAGTCTCTTCGCCGCCTGATTGAGTCTCTTCTCAATCCTGGCATGTGCCTCTCCATCATATGTACAAGTGTGTGTGTGCGGGATATACGCCCTGATTACCTTGACAAGGTGGTTTTTGTTTCTGCCCTGACCACTGTTCGAGAGATCACACTCTTCTCTTTTTCGTTCCTCCCTCCACCAAAAAGAATAGGGACCAGTGCAAAGCATTATTTTGGCCCGCCTGGTCCTGGACATGGATCAGAAGCCCCTTTCCACCCAACATGAACGCCGGAACCCGCCCTGCATATCTCGAGGTGATTCATGATACACTTTTTTCCACCCTTGCCCCAGAAAGCTCGTCTCCTTTCCCTTTGCCTTGCCTTGGTTGTAATGCATATAGTATAAACGCAGAAGACAGATCCAAGTGGGTATGCGTCGAAGTGAATAAAATGAGAGGCGAAAAACAAACCCGCCTCCACTAGAAGAGACTGTGGAAGTCGAGTCCTAACTCCGGCAAGCACTTTGGCTCAGCAAATACAAAGGGCGCATGCAAATGAACTGCCCGTCCACCAAAAACACCTGAAAGCATCGACCCGGATTAGTTGAGGAATCCCTTACACGCTGCCGTACCACACAGGCAGGGAATACGGTCCAAGCTGCCAATTTCACGCTCGAATTTGTAGTCATAAGTCAACTCCTCGTCTGCGAATGATTAGCTCCATGTCATACCAAGAAGATGGATTTCAAGTAACATACGTTGGCCAATGTCGCGAAGGGCGTAGATGACGATTCGCTTGCTACCGTCGACCTTGATGATCTTGGCTGTACAATTGGGCATACAGCTATGGTTGATGAAGCGAGCAATACCGCCCTTCTTGGTGGCGTCGATGACCGTGTTGTCGTCGATACGGAACAAGTAACTGCTGCCCATACCGCTCTTGAGGTAGCGCTTCTCGCGGATTTCTGAGATGGATTGTCTGACCTGCTCTCCGACGTACTCGATGATCATGTCGTCCTTGTTGATGTTTTCCTCCGTGTACAGACCCCAGTTGTGGATTGCGGATCGGGCAAACTTGACAGGCTTCTTCCGCTTCTTAAGCTGGTTGAACTTGAAGGCGTCAGAGTCGCCAGATATCTTCTTCTCATCCTGGAGCGCCGACACGTGGCGACGGTTGTTGGCGCGGTTGGCTCTCGAGTTACCCTTTGCAACAGCCTTTTCTGCTACAGTGAGCCTGCTGGCCTCGACTGCAGCGTCTTTGCCGTCTCTCTGGTACTTGGCTTGACGTGCCTCTCTGGCCTTCTGGACCTTGATGTGGTGAGGCAAGTACTTGGACTTTTCGGCGTTGAGGATCTTCTTGACTCCCTCGGTTCGTGCAGCCCCAGTAGAGTTCGGGACGTAGTAGCCATCAATGCCCACGGCCTGGTCGACCGAGCCAGACGGGGAGTTCAGCTCGCGTACACGATTACGCCGCCATAACCAGAGAAGCGGGTCTCCGAGGTCTGTTCCAGCGAATCTCTTGCGGAGTCTAGTAACGTCAGGGCTGTCACATGCGGACAACGAGAGTTCTTGTAACGCAGAAATGCTCAGTTTGAAATCCCTGGATAGATCGAGGGCGGTAGTGGGTGTGGTCGAGAATAAGGCCGGATCTGCCTTCGTTGGCTGCGGCTCTGACTCTTCTTCCTTGGTCTCTACCGGCACCGGCTCGACCTCTTCTGGCAAAGGTTTGGTCGGGGCGGTCCCCTCCTCCACTTCCACTTCCATCGGCGTCGGGATTTGCTGCTTCTTGAGGGCCTCCCGTTCCTCAAAGAGTTGTTTCTTCGATTTCTTCTTCGACTTCAGTTTCTTGGCTGCACCCTTGGCGGTTGACAGCGGAGTCTCGGATCGAGTGCTCTGCGCATCGAGCAGATCAATGTCAGGGGTAGCCTCTTCCGAGATCTCGTGAACCAGCAACTCGGGTTCGACGTTGTCTAGTGTAACTCCGAAGAGCTCCTCATCGGACTTCTTCTGGCGCTTGATTGCCGACTGAACCTCGAGATCTAGTTTTCTCTTTTTCGTCGATGTCAAGTTGTCGCCAACGGCGAAGCTTGCCTCAGTCATGGAATCTTCCTCTGCGGGACCCCAAGAGGCAAAGTCATCCTTGACGTCTTCATCCGTGCTCATGCGGCTACGCGGCCTGGAGTCGGGCTCCTCAGTATCTCTGGCCAGGGACTCTCGAATCACAGCCTCGTCGTCGGATTCAGCATCGCTGTCGTAGCTCTTGAGGCGATGATGGAGTGACCGGAACGCACTGCGGCCTTGAGGCACTCGCTTGCGGGAGAAGGGATCGGTGAAGCCGTGGTTGCGCGACGCCCCTTGAGCAGTGGCCTTGGCCTTACGAATACGAGGCAGGGCCGATATCTCCAGGCGACCCGTACGACGCTCAATGGGATCTGCACCTGAGTTGGGCGTGCTAACACCGGGACTCTCATCGCCAGCATCGACGGTAACAGACGGGACAGACCCGACTGGGTCTTCCATATGCAGCTGCCGTCGCTTCGTGACGTGATTTGATGGGTCCAGGAAGGTGGTCAGAGTAGGAGCAGCAACCCTCGTGCGGATATGCTTGATCAGATGCTCCGCCAGTTCCCGGGTGACCACTTCGCAGGCTTCGAGCACAGGGTCAAAGTTTTTAGCTCTTTGCCGCTTCTCTTCTTCAATGTCTGCCTCTTCTTCACGGCGACGACGGTCTTTATCCTCTCTTAGTCGCAAATCGCTTCGGCGCTTCCGTTCGGGGCTTGGGGTCCGTCGTCGGGGCGGCGGGGCTGCAGACTCGGAGTCTCGGCTTGTTGTAGGCGGGAGGGAGAGTTGCATCACCATGTTGTAGGTGAACAGATCAGTATGGTTAGCAGCCCTGTAGCACTTCATCGCTTCGTTGCGGCCATGGTACGAATTGGGGAACAAGATGTAGTAGCCAGTCCGGTCAATGCGAATGTCCTCAAAAGCGAACGCTTTAAGCCGCTTCTTCATGTGGGGGATCGTCGTGACCATGACGGGAACATGTTCATGGGCGACGAAGATGTAGGGCTCGCCTGCGAGCTGCTTTGCGATGACCTTCTCCTCGACTGCGACGTGCATCTTCGGTTGGCTTGGGACCCAAGCCGGAACACCTGCCACGGCCTGTCTGTGGGAAGACGGGCCCTTTGGTGCCATGGGTGGTGGTCCAGGGACCTTATCAGACACGATCGCTCGAGGGCCTGTCGGTGGTGCCTTCGCGACGGAGGCGTCCTGCACGACTCGGTCTTTCTTGAGTGCATCCTCTAGCATTTGGCGACTCTTCTTGCCTTCGGGATCGTATTCGACTCGGATTTGGTTCGCCTCGATGCGCTGCCCATGCATCGACTTGACAGCCCGACGCGCAGCATCAATCGCCTTGATGGGGGCGGGCCTCGACCGGCTGGGATGCGCATCCTTGTATCGGAATGTTGCGAATCCTAGGTAGCTACCGGTCTCAGGATGCATCTTGTTGCTGCTCTCTGCGATGTCGCCAAAGGTCGCAAAGGCCGCCGTCACCTTGGAAAACGTAATTAAGGGATTGAAGCCAGTGACCACAATCTGTGTTGGCGGCCCTGGCCCGATGGAGGTCTTTGGGTCGTAGGGGTACGGCCTCAAGTTATAGGGCGATTGTCGCAAGCGAGACTTGGGGAGGTGGAAATCGGTATTGATGTACCCCAGTCGCCCGCCCTTTGCAAGGCGAGGATCTGGAGGGGGTGCGTCATCTTCCTACTCAGTTTATTAGCCAAAGCTCTCATACACAAAAGATGACGCCCCCCCTCCACGGGGTGGGTATATTGTATTTGTACATACCAATCCAAACTCCTTATATATCGGCTTGGCATCTCTCTTGCCGTGCTTCGACAGGGTCCGGTCGATATTGGGATCATATGTGCACTTGAGGCCTTTTCGCGATCGAGTGGGATCTCGCGCAGGAGTGCGCTCAATCGGAGGAGATGGCTCTGGGTGTGAGCTGTTCAGGCGGGCTGCTGGGGTATTGCGAGAGACCGATGCCTCACCCCGATCGATGTTATGTCCTTGTAGCATATTCGTCTTCGGCAGGCCAGCATTGCCCAAGTATGAGGGTGATTCAACGGAGGTAAGCGGCGTGCCGCTGGATATAGGAATATGAGATACGCCGTTGGGAACAGCCTGCCGCGCAGTCGTGCTGAAGACGGAGGAGCCAGTGCTCTCATAGGAACTCGCAGAACCAACGGTGTTGAGAATATCTCCTAAGGGCGACTCGCGGCCCTCGGTTGGCTGTTGCGAATTGTCGGAAAGTAGGCCATCAGCTCCGGATGTTCTTATGCCACTCGTGCCGTTGGGCAAAGGGGTGCTGCTGCTCTTCGGACCGGTGAGCAAGCTACTTGTCGTATCTTGCGTCTTGGCCTTTGCTTTCTCTCGTTCGGCTCTGTCCTTAGCGACGCGGGGGGCTGCAGGGAAGAACTGCGCGAAGCTCGCCGAAGATTGGCGGGTCATCGTGAGATTGTTCTGCTTCTACCGCACCCGCCTGCCACCAACCATCGTCTCTCGAGTATACCGAATGCTTCAAAGGACAGAGTTCATCGCCGGAGACAATGAGCGTTGAAGTATAGCGGAGGAACGGTGCGCGTAATCGATGTTCACGCGACCGAGGCGTAGCCACCGACACGGGTGGTTGGCAAGGGGCAGGAGCCCAGCTGCGTCATCCAAGGAAGGAAGATACCCGGTCGCAAAAGGATGTGATTCGATGTAATCAATCAGCAGAAGTGCAGATGAGGCCGGATGAGTTGTGCGCTGCGACCGACGGACAGTGAGGCTGGAGAAAAGGTAGCAGTGAGGTCAGAAAGTTAGAGGTTGAAGAGTGTCCAAACTCTTTCAGGGATGCGATTTAGCGGAGACCAGCCACGGAACAAGGCGAGGGAGGACCGCAATACCTACCGTTACGCATGGATGCTCTGGATACAGACCTGAACTCCGACCGAAGTACTACTCTGCCAAATTAAGTAGCTGGGTACTTCTGGGTGGCTAGCCTGACAACAGCCGGCACGTGACAAAATCGCGTCGGTGCCCATCCACTTCTTTTTCGCGTCTGTCAAGGGGAAGAGCGACAGGGGCGCCACAGAAACTGTCTTGCTTCCTCAGAAGGAGCCAATAAGGTATCTCATGTATCCGAGGTCCTCAGCAACGGTTTCTTGGTTGTGCATCTTCTCGACGGGCGGTATTTCATAGGTCGGCACCACTCGAAGCAGTTCAAGACTTTCCGCAGACTTAGAACTTGAACGCGACTAAAACAATACTAGCCGCGGCTTTCCATAGAAAGACAATACCCACCCCCATCATGTCAATCATCCCCTGCTGAAAAAGTGGTTTAGTGATTAACAAAGTAAATACAATGCTGCGAGCGTTTCGCGAACACATTCTTTGGTCGCCCGTTCGACCTTTTTCTTACGGGTGTGATGTTTGGTAATGATGCCCGCCAAACGCCTCCTGGTCTCCCGCCATCCCGATGTATTACAAATGAGGGTAATCCTGTCCAAACGCCATCCAACGACCTCGTTGAGTACTTAGAAGCTCAACTTCATTTCAAACTCCTCCTCCTCCTCAAAGTCTTCGTTTCGTGGACCCGCGCTGCCGATACCATCGTTCTCATCGTCTCCAGCGGGATCAAAGATGGACAGGAATTGCAAACGGCCGAGATCCTCGTTTTCGTCACGCATCTCCCGCTCCTGCTTATGAGGAGATGCGTCACGTCTGACGATAGTTTTCGAAGGAATAACAGCGGCGAAATCTGTAGAGGCAGGTCGAGCCGTAGCCGGAACTGGAGCTCGTCCGCTGACAACGGACGAGGCCGAGCGACCCTTTGTGTACCCCAGAGTGTTTCTCGACGCGGCCTCTCCCACGGCGCTTTCGGCAGCTGTAGACTTCGAGGCTATAGTGGCCTTGTTTGGTCTGGTGCGCGGAAGAAGGGCAGAAATGGGCCGTCTGACGGTGGGCCTCTGCTCGACAGCCTTCTTCTGTCGGATAGTAGAGCCCGTCGACATCGAAAGGGCAGACGCGGCCCTTCTGGACGTGATGGTGGGAGGACACTTGAGGGCTCCTCCCACTGTCCTCCTGGTAACGGCTGGGTTGGGGGCGGGAGCGGGGGCCTTCCTCTGGGCAAAGGCTGCGGTCTCAGGGACATCAGAAACGGACCAATCCATCTCCCGAATGTCGCGGAGAATACGCTCGTCGCTCTCCTTCAGAGCCTTCTTCAGCTTTTCCTTGTGCTTTCTGTCTTGCAGTCTGACCCCATCCTCGCCCACGGGGTTGTAGAAGTGATTGTAGTAGCCCTTGAACATGTTTTCCGGCTTGAGGCCCTCAAAGGTCAACACTCCATCGGGGAAGACGTCCGACTCGTAGGGCAGATCCATAGCCGGGGGCGGTGCATATTCGACATCCGGCTCCTCAGCCGGACCGGCTTGGTCATTGCGGACTTCGAGCTTCAGAGGCCCGACACTGGGAGAACGCTGCTTGAGCTTCTTGGTGGTTGTGGGCTTCGTCTGTGTCTTCTCGAGATCCTTTCCTCCGGCGTTCTGGGTGGACCTGGCCTTTGCGTTGGTGGTCTTGTTCCCAAGTGGCGCGCGAGCCCGTGTTTCTGCCAACGACATCAGTCTCTTTCTTTTTCCTAGACAACAGCCAAGGGAAATATACCGGACGGGGTGACGAGGTTCTGCTTCTTGACAGTGCCCTGAATGTTACCATTCGACTTGGGCGCAAGGACCGTCTTGGCTCCTCCAACGGCGTTCTCGTCGTTGAGGGGGATCTTCAAGGGCGTCTTTGGGTATCGAGCCCCGGGAGTCTTGGGGGCCAGTTGCCCTTTCCCGGGGGCCAGTCGAGCAGCCTGGGCTGCGTTAACCGCGTTCTCGTCGCGAATGGCCAGCATATTCCCTAGAGTCGAAATGCGAGAGAGGTAGCCGAGAATCTGGTCCTGTCAGTGTCGTGAAGTGTCGTCGTGTGTGTCGGTGTATTGTCGTCATCAATCCCTTGTACTTGGGGCTGGTCGCGTCAGTGTCGTTGAGAGGCGAAAGAGAAGCCAAATAGACCCGTCTGTTTGGGGGCTGCGTTGTCGGGACAACCGACAAAGAAGCTCAGACCCTGCGGAAACCCCCGTAGAATGCTTACCTCTGGGAAAGCACCACCACACTGCAGCACCGTGCTACAGCCCACCCCACATGACCGAACCCCACCGCCCGTGTCTAAGCTAATCCAATTGCAGCTGCCTTTCAGCGTGTGAAGATCAGGCCTGGCTCTAGCCGGCACGCTGAAGGTGGTCCGCCACAGGTCGCAGTTGGAGCGGATTTGCATGTAGAGGGGCAGTTATTTCAATACCTCACACCCTTTCCTCCCGCTTCCATCCCCCGACAATCGCGACCTCCACGTTACCTGATCCCGTCACATTCTCAACTCCAACAACAACACTCCTTATCGCAATCAACCTGCACCAACTCTCCCATAGTCCCGAAGCCTCTCACAGCTCATCATCATGGATCGCATTAAGGAGGTAAGTCCACCGCCCTCGTCTGAGCCCCACCTCACTGCTACCGGCGGTCTGGAGGGGTAAGATATCCCCCCAACGATGCCGTGTCATCAGTTGCTGACGATGACTCTTCTTCTCAGAAAATGAACCAGCTCCGTCTGGAGGCCGACGACAACGCCGCCAAGGTCGAGGAGCTTCAGGCCAAGGTCAAGTCGCTGGAGCAGGAGAACCTGTCCAAGGAGCAGGAGATCACCTCCCTCCAGCACAAGAACGGCCTGCTCGAGGGCGAGGTCGAAAAGCTCGAGACTGCGGTTAAGGACTTCAAGAAGGCTGCCGACGAGAGCACTAGCACTGGCACACAAAACGAGACTCTTCAGCGAAGACTCCAGCTCCTCGAGGAGGAGGCCGAGGAGGCGGACAAGACCCTTCGCGAAGCCAACGAGAAGTATGTTCTGGACCCTGTTTACCGAATCGACGATACCCCCTTTTCACTTCCCGACCCCTTTTGTGTTCATTAAAACCAGCCCCACCGACGGCTGATGCATACTTACACCGTCTTTTCACAGACTCCGACAGACCGACGTCAAGGCCGGCCACTTCGAGCGCAAGGTCCAGGCTCTCGAGGCGGAGCGCGACCAGTGGGAGTCCAAGTACGAGGAGATGTCCAAGAAGTACACGGCGGTCCAGAAGGAGCTCGAGGACTTCCAGAACGAGATTGGCAACATCTAAGGCTATTCTCTATGGGGCGACGTTTTGTGCAAGGCTTTTTCTTCATGATAGATTCCTGGCCTCGGACAAATGTGTTGGCGGCCCGATCAAAAAGCTATCCCAATAGCGGCGGATTGCAAATGACGGGACGGTTCGCGACCGAGTTATAGCAGCCCTTGTCTTTACTCATTTTTTGTAACCCCCGTCAAACACCGAGCTTTGTTCTGCTTGCAAATGTGTCTGTCCTTTGTTCGCAACAGGCATGAAGGCGACTACACAAAACGACTCAGACCACGCTGGGCGTGAGGAACCCCTAGGCAGCAGTCGCAGCAGTAATCAATGCTAGACACTATACCCTCCTTCCAACCATTATTCTTTCTTGAATTTGGCCCTCTTTTTGGCTTTTGCCTTCTTCGCGCCCAGTGACCGTTCTAATTTCGTCTCGTAGCGAAATTTCTTCTTCTTGGGCCACTCCTTGCGGGCCTTGGATGTCGTCGCCTTCTCGTCGCCTGCCTGCTTCTCTGCCTTGGATTCGTCTTGGCTGTCCGCTTCCGCTTCATCGCTATCGTGGTGGAGCTTTTCGAGTCCGTCCCGCGTCACGGATATGGCCTCGACCTTGACTGTTGTATACCGGTCCTCGTCTATGTACTCGTCTTCGTAGTCCACGACATCTGCATGTTCCTTGGGCGCCTCGTCGATGCCGTCCCACTCCCCAAAGTCTCCCGCGTTGATCTCCTCATCCTCGTCCGAGTTTGCTGCCTGGGCCTCTTCGAGGATGGCGCTCACGGCTTTGACGTGGTCTTCGACTTCTCGCTGCCGCTCTTCTTTGAGCTGTGAGTGCGATACGTTGGTTAAAAAATTTGTAAAAACTACGCAGCAACATGCAAGGGGCAGGGGAACATGGGATATGCTTCTCGTACCTGTTTCCGCATCTCAATCTTTTCCTCCCGCGCCTTCTTGGCCGCCTGTTCCTGCGCCCATTTCACCCGCTGCAGTTTGCGCTTGTGAAATCCCGTCAGGTAGTCCTGGCGCGCATCGAAGTCGAAGTTGACCTCCTCCACCGCCGAGACCGCCTTTCTCTTTTTCGAGACAGTCGGAAGGACTGACTTCTTTGGTCGGGGTTTGGCGAACATGGTTCTTTCGGTTGTGTCGTCAAAAACTCGTGGGGGTTTGACGGTTCAGTAGTGGTTTTTGGGCGCTGCAATGAAATTTTTGGAAAGGGTCCTCTGCAGCACCAGCCTTGCGGCCGGCGCGCGCGCCAGGTCCTTGTTGCTGCTGCAACCTCTGTAAGGGCCCACTGGCGCGGGCCAAGCCGAGGAGCTAACTGCGCTGGACGGACCTCGCTAAACGTACATCTGTCAGTGAAGACCAGGTGACATTCCGCCGAAGGCTTCACTGCATGGTTATCAACTGCCGTACGTGCTGACAATTGCCCGATGATGATGAAATTTCCCATCTTGTGCTTTGAGTATTCTGTGACCTGCCTGATACGGAACGCGTGGCAAAACATAGATTGAGTCTACGGAGCACTAGTCCCACAACTCATGGAGAACCGAAACCAAGATGGGCTCCAGCGAGGTGTACAGGAGCCAACTTCAGCAGTCGAATATACACGGGAATAAACTCTAGAAAACAAGAAAGCATTGGAGAACACTTTACACAGAATGTCAAGAGTTCCAACAAGGAGTTTCGGTAAACCTGCCAACCTATTCTGCGTTGGTGAACTATCAAACGAGTTCCGAATTGTGGTTCAGACAATAGTTCAGACAATAGTTCAGTGGACAAACAACAAGGTAAGAGAATTAGAAGAAAATCACATCTGAGAAGACCTCATTACTCTCCCTCCGGTTGACTCGAGGAATCGGAAAGTCCTGCTTGCATCAAGTAGCAGTCCACCGTTGTCGATAAGGCCGATAAGCCACACCACGAAAAGCGGTTGGTGGATGCAGTATGTAGCTAGGCGAGTCCCCATAGGATTCTGATTACGCAAAGTATCACTTAGACGCATACCTCCAAGCTACGTCGTCCCTGGAGCTAATCCACAGCATCACTCCCAGCAGCACGACGAAGGCTAGCCATCGCATCCAAACGGGCCAGCTTCAGCACATCATCCAACCATGCGTCTTTCAAGAACAGCAGGCATCATGGCCTTCTGCGCCTCTGCGCAAGCCTTCACCGACTCGTCTCCTTTTGTGATGCTGTCAACCGCGAAGTACGTTACAATCCTCCCCCTCGATGTCAATCCATCCATCTCAGTCGACATGCTAATATCCCTCTAGGTTCGCGCCATCAAACCCCGCCCAACTCCAGACCGAATCCCAAGTCGTCAAGACCGTCCAGGACCTCCTCTCCTCTTGCCCGACGGATCGCTACCTTCTCGTCGCTCAGCCCAACGTCAACGCCGCCGACATCCGCGGCCCGGACGGCGGTGACTGTAAGGCTCCGAACCTGTGCCGCGCGATCGCCGGGAGCGACGTCCGCGGCGTCTACAGTGTCGCCGAGGTCGTCGGAGAGGTGCCCATCAGCACGCTGGCCGACTACATCAAGACGGCGTGCGCGGGTAAGACGGTCGAAATCGAGCAGACCAGGCTCGCCCCCCTCGGACGGGACACCCGCGAGAGGGCCAGCACGCTCGCCGACAACGACTACGCCCTCGGCCGCAACCTTGAGACACTGCGCAGCGCCTCCGACTCGTACACCGTCATCTACCTCGCCAGCCCGTCAGAGCCTACCTACCAGGCCGAGTTCACCGGCGAGCCTCTGCACGCGGAGCTCAAGCGCCACGAGGCGAGCCTGCTGCATGCCAGGAAGGACAAGAACGAGACGGACTGGAACAAGCTTCCCCTCTTTGAAAAATACGTCTTCTTCTCGCCAGGTATGTTGCCGTCTGAAATGCCCGTCACATTTGTAACGTCGTGGGAATCTGAGAACTGACACAAGTATAGGCGTCTTCCACGCCATCGTTGCCTCCATTATCCTCTTCAGCATTCTTGGTGTCGCCATCAGGGCCCTTGCTAGCCTTGAGATTCCCTATGGGGCTTTCGACAAGGAGAATGGCCCCGCCGCTCACAAGAAGAGCCAGTAGATGTATACCAAATACGCCACCAGAGCATTTTACGAGTGCCTCCACGGCAACCCGTGTATTTCAACTTGAGAAAAACGTCAGGAGTTACCGGCTGGCTTTGACAGACATGTTTCGAGCACAGGAGGGGAGGACAGCATGGCATGAAGGGTGGGATCCGAAAGTGCGGTTTGTAGAGACCCGATGTAGTGTTTTCGCAAATGGCATGAATGTGTATTTCTATAACAAATGGACTTTTTTTCTATTTTGGCCGCCCACCCCACTAGACCTCTCATGATGTCGATAAAAACGCCGTAAACGCCCCCCTCAAAAGTCCGATCTGGCCGTCCCAAGTCTTCCCAACCCTGGTGCTCGCAAGGACCGTCGTCACCCCCAAGATCCGTGCCGGCCTAGACCAGGTGGCTCGGCAGGAGAAAGTTGGCGATGCCCTCGCGGATGGCGTACTCGTGCCCGCAGTTGCCGCAGACGAGCTTGCCCTCCATGATCTGCGTCTCCATGAGCAGGTGGTGCAGATCCTTGAGCATCTTGTCGTCGCCCTCGAGCTGCTCCGCCGAGGGGGCCTCGGAGGGGAGTTCAGGGAAGCCCAACTTGGTGAATATGTCAGCACCGTTCATGGCCTGAAACAACGGGCTCCTTGTCTGATGCGGGACAACGCAGGACGCAAAAGGCGAGACATGCTGAGATCAGAGTCGCAAATGACCTGCAGCAAAAGGAGAGCCGAAAAACAAAAAGACGTGGAAAGAAAAGAAACGACTCAGACATACCTCGGTCGCGTTCGTTCGCAGGGCGGTCCAGTCTAAGCGGGGCAGGACGTTGAGCAGAAGCTGGGGGTTGACCTCGATATCGTCCTGCGCCAGCTCCGCGTCCTTGGGGTGGAGGGGGAACGAGGCCGCCGAGGACTTGCAGGCCTTGACCGCGCAAGTCAGGAAGTTTAGGCTGAGGATCTTCATTCTGGCGGGCGGAAAATGTCGTTGTGGATATTGTTCTTTTTAGATGTTGTTCGAGTCGAAGTTTTGGCCATCATGGAAATTTTTTGGTACCCCACACGTGATGCGCTTTGGGGATGTGGGCGTTGCAGCTATTGGGCTACCGTCCTAGAGAGGACTCGAGACGAACTCATTCAACATCACGACATGCACTTCTCAAGATACTGGCTACTGAAACCGCGTAATTTGACCAACACTTCTGCATTGACAATCGTCGTCTTGTATTTCCTTTGCCTATGGGTGGCCCTTATTTCCCGAATCCCTGGCCTTTTTACGCCATCGTCTTCTCGTAGCCGACAGTGTCCTTGGAGCCTCTCGACTTGCTGATCTTCATGTAAACAGCGATCGCAGCAACGACCACGCCAAGGAACAAGCCCTTCTGGAGGAGGGACCAGCCCTCGCCGGAACCAACCTCCAGAGGAGTGTCCTCGTTGGAGTAGCCCGCCGCCCATTCGCTGTTGCCGTATTCGCCTGCAAGCCAGGGGGCGTAGCCATCAGCAAACCAAGTACATTTCGTTTTTTTCTTGTCTTCTTTTGTGGAAAGTCATCAAGAGGCAGAGATTGGATGGGTCATGGAGGTGTCGGGCTTGGTGAAGAAGAGATAGACGTGAGGGATGACGGGTGTCACAGTACGTGCTCAGAGTTCCACGTGGATACCTTCAGGGGGCACCTCCAGCTCTCCGCTCTTGGCGATCTTAATCGTCTTGACGGGGCGGTCGCCAGGCTGGGTCTGGGCCTGCTCGATCTTCTCGACGACGTCGAAGCCCTCGAGGACCTCGCCGAAGACGACGTGACGGCCATCGAGCCAACTGTGGTTTTCTGTGTTAGTACTACGGCCCGGCTGGATGGTTCGTGCATCGAGGGTGTAGGCTTACGAGGTGATGACGGTGGTGATGAAGAACTGGGAGCCGTTGGTGTCCTTGCCGGCGTTGGCCATAGACAGGAGACCCTTCTTGGAGTGCTTGAGCTTGAAGTTCTCGTCGGGGAACTTCTCACCATAGACTGTGATCCGAAGCGTCAGTCATCAATCACGCCAAGGCCAACGTTGTAACAAGGGACACTTACTTGACTTGCCACCGGTGCCGTCACCCTTGGTGAAGTCACCACCCTGGATCATGAACTGCTTGATAACACGGTGGAAGGTAGAGCCCTCGTAGCCGAAGCCCTTCTCGCCGGTGGCGAGAGCGCGGAAGTTCTCAGCCGTCTTGGGGACGGTCTTGCCGTAGAGACCCATGGTGATGCGGCCGATGGGCTCATCGCCGTGGGTGATGTCGAAGAAGACCTTGTGGGTGATCTTGGGGCCCTTGGCGGCCTCGGCGGTCTGCGCAAAGAAGACCAGAGCCACGCCGGCGAGGAGGAGGGCGGAGACGAGTCTCCGAAGGGTGAACATGATGGGCGACGAACGGGAGGTCGATCGATTGGTGAGAGAGTTTAGTGTTTGTGATGCAAAAGGCCGTCTGGAGTGATGGCAAGATGTCTCCAGGAGGACAGTGTTAAATAAGAGAGGGACCCTGGAATGGCAGGACAGGTAGACAGCGGCAGCGCGGGCTGTTTTGAAGCTACGTTTCAAAACTCCCCTCTCTAAAGCACGCAAATAAGGACCTCCAGCTCGGACCCTTGCAGCCGAGACTGCCCAATGGGGAGAGGCAATCCGGCCAGTGGATGTGCCTGTCTGCACACTGCACAGCGGCGCCTGGGGTCGCAGCCGTGCTAACGGGATATGTCAATGCAGCTATTGCCTGTGGCCACCTGGAGCAGTGTCCAGCTGTCGCCGCTTAGCGTGGGCCCACTATTTTCCGGCGCCCGACTCTCCGTGGCCGGGGGCTCAATGCACCGTTGATTTCGAAGTTTCGCGATCGCAGCATCAGGCGTATAGGAAGTTGGAGCAGACCTTGGTGACAATAAAAACACTCCTCTGGTTCCAAAGTAGCAGCATATCGGCACAATGGTACGTCTCAGACCTTCTGGTTGTCTCCGAGACCGAGACTAACGCATTTTTCCACAGGTTTTCATCCTTGGAGTCAACTTTTCCGAGCAGAAGCTCGTGAAGGTATGTCCAGTTCCTCCCCTCGATCGACGACATGTCACTCGCAACCCTTCCTGCGAACAGTACTGACCCTGATTGCCTTACTACAGAAGGCGCTCGAGTCCTTCTTCGCCCTTGGACCGACCACATCGCACCGCATTCTGGCCAAGTACTCGATCCACCCCATGGCCAAGGTCGGCGCCCTACCCCCCAAGACCGTCACGGCCCTGACGGCAGAGTTATCGACGATGACGATAGAGAGCGACGCGCGAAAAGTCATACAGCAGAACGTCATGAGACTAAAGGACATGGGAAGCTACCGGGGGAGACGACACGCCATGAACCTGCCCGTCAGAGGACAACGGACGAGGACCCAGATCGAGACGGCGAAGAAGCTCAACCGCGCGGACAGGAGATGGTGATCGTATGGTTGGGTTACTGGGAATACGCATGGATAGGAGTTTTTCGATGGGACCCTGTCGGAGACCATCGACTGTACAAGATAGATGGGTGCGTGAAGCGCCTAGACATGTATGACTATGACAAAAATTATACCACTTGTACTACCAAACAGAGGGCGGTATACATTGTCCAGTAGGCCGTGATACCGAAGTGCTGTCACAGATATGTTCCTCTGCGGCAAAGGAGGCGTCCAGTCACTAAACTACCTAACACTGGGCAGATCATCCTCAAGAGCAGGCTCGCCCTTCTTCTGCAACTTCGCCGCAACAGCGTCAACCTCCTTCCAGACACGAAGGACGTTTCCGCCAACAACCTTGGCCGCGTCTTCATCACTCAAACCCTGCCGCAGCAACTCGGCGACGAGGTCTGGGTACTTGGACACGTCCTCCAAACCCTTGGGCACCGACCCGATGCCGTCAAAGTCGGAGCCGAAGCCGACATGGTCAAAGCCGATGAGATTGCCAATGTGCAGCACGTGCCGGACGACCTGGTCGAGCGTGGCATTGCCGGGGACGTACGTCGGCAGGCCGTTGTCGTTGCCGGATTCGACGCACGAGATGAATTCGGGCGCGAAGTTGACCATGACGACGGCGTTGCGCTCCTTGACGAGCTTGAGCACGTTGTCCTTGACGTTGCGCGGGTGCGGGCACACGCTGAAAGCGGAGCTGTGGGAGTAGATCACAGGCGCCTCGCTGCCCTCCCAGTCCTTGCCTCCGAGAACCTCAATCTGTGTCTCCTCGCTGGGGTGGCTGTTAGTGGACGACCGTGGGGAACTGGTCCATGAGACTAACCTCGTGTGGGAGAGATCAACGATAAGCCCGACTCGGTTCATCTCGTGAATGAGACGACGACCTGCCGGGCTGAGGCCATGCCACAGAGGCTCGGCCTTGCGCAGAGGGCTCTCGAGCAGCGCGGCGTCGGCGAACTTGTTGTGGCAGTTGTGGGTGAGGGTTGAGTAGCGGACCCCCAAGGCATGGTACCTTCGGAGATTGGCGACTGAGTTGCCGATCTGGTGCAGTCCCTCGACTCCCAGAGGCGAGATCAGTTGGCCCTTGTGAAAGGCCGCCAGTGCAGCATCGCTGTCCAAGTTAGGGGAGAAGTCCTTGGGGTAGGCGTCCTTGATGCGGGTGATGACATCGATCTGATCGAGAGTCCATTGGACACCTACGATTACGCATCAGCATCGAAGGCATTGGGTTACCGAATAGCAAGAACTTACTTTCGGCGTAGTTCTCATCGGAGAAGTCGCTGCCATTGGCCGGGCATGGAGTGTAAACGCTCCAGAAAGCACCTCCGTTCTGTCCCTTGCGAAGTCTGGGCAGGTCAACATGGCCAACGAAACCGCCGTTCTCAAAGGGCTCGGTAAAGTTCTTCCCGTAGATGTGGTTGTTGAAGTAAGCCCGGACGAGGATGGGAAGATCATTGTGGCCGTCTACGTGAGGTGTCAGTAACCGGTTTCTTCACAGGGCAACTAGGCAGTGTCGTACCGATCAATGGCGTATGGGACAAGATGTTGTGAGACCTCTCCTCAACGGTAAGGGGTGCTCCCCAGGGCTTCCTCATCTGGTGGTAGCATGACTTCATGGGGTGGTAGGTGAAAGTCAACGACAGCAGCCATAACGCGAAGCAAGCAACGACCGCCCTCTTGGCCGGAGACGGGCTCCTGCGAGGCGCCGCCGCAGCGTCCTCGCAAGCCTCGTCGGCCGTCAGGCGCTTCTTCTCATCCATGGTCTCAGCGTAGACGTAGAATTGTTATGCCAAGGTGAGCCCCGATAAGTAGGGGTTATCCTTACTTCAAGCCTGTCATCAATGTTAACACAATGCTCAGAGCACATGAATCAAGCATTCTACCGTTTAGTAACCGTCGCACGTGAATACAGCCTCGCTCGAGAAGGATAGGCAGAATGCTGATGACCCTTCGTAGAGCGAACTTCCAGAATTGCGATGGCGGGGATCCTGCGTTTCCTCTTACTGATTCCTAAGCACGTCACAGCGTGCCTGGGGTCAAAGCTCCGAGCTCGATTGCGCGAGACTCTTATCTGCGAGTCAACCCCTGGCGATAAGCGACCATTTGGGAAGCTCGAAACTGGCCAGGAGCGTAATACTTGCGAGTTGTATACAGCCCTCAAAACTCAATTGCTGTGATCGCCATCATGGAAATATCAAGATACGAAACAGACGGCAGTATGAGTTTGGTTGATAATTGCAGCCGATCACAAGTATTGTAGTGTCAGGGTGATTGAAGATCTACGTTCCGACACAGGGGCTTGAGGTGCATGCGACTGACAAAAAGGACGAACGGAAGTGGCGTCCTCTTTCTCATTCTCTCCCTTCGTCGTCGTTCCACCGTTAGAGTATCCTGAGGGGCCCAAGGAAACGGACAGAGGGGCCAGGAAGAATAGGAGCTAGCAATACATAAACAGTCCCGAACTTCAGATTGTTTGCAACTCATTGACATGGGTCTCAGCTCTACTCGGCCCGCGATAGAGGCTGAGCATGGGTTGTTACTGTCAACAAGGCCATCAGGAATCCCCCACGTACACGTGTGCCTGGGTATTCGGGGTCAGTGAACCAGAAGCGAAACTTGTGGAATGGCTTCAGTCAACCCTCAGAAACATGAGAGCCGAGCACGCCTCGACAAGAAACATGTGCGCAGCATGAACGGACGCTGGCAGAGTTACCGACGGATGGTTTAGAATTTCGGGAACGGGCCATCTATTAGACGGGGAGCTCCAAGTTACAGCATGGCAACTTCAGATGATGGCCGGCTCTTGCGTTCGGCATTACCCCAGTCAAACCCCCCCAGGCTTGCGTATGTTGGGTTCTGTGGATAATGACCACTTGAGAGAATTACGAGTTCAATGGGTCCAGGATTCGTCGTCGTCTTCCTCAGGCCTCTGGCAAGCCAGGCCTTGATAGCTATTAATAACGGCTTTTGTCGTCTGGGGAACCGTCCGGCTAGCAACGAAGGAGTTCGCTCAGGGGGGGAGAGGCTTTTTTTCTTTCAATGATCGGCAACAAATCTTTTCGGTCATGGTTGAGGGGAAGCCCCAGCCGGCCACAAAGAAGGGAAACAAAGAGAGGCATCGCGTTGATAGAAGTAGTTAGGAGCGGATGAGACCTCATCCCGGGCTGCATAAACAGTGAAAATGATGCTTAATACAACGCCAAATTGGCGGCGGCAGATAGGTTTTGGCGGTCAGCCCTGTAAGAAGGGGGCGGTTCCGGTCCTCAGAGTTCAGATCCTTTGGTGTTCTTTGGGGCATCCTTTCGAAATCTTTCCAGCTGGGAGTCGCCCCATCATTCTGCAACAGAGACGAATGCAGGGGGCGCACACATTCTCTTAGTGCCTGGCCGTAGCATTTCTGCGACTTGTGCTTCGCTTTGCTTGGCTGCCTCAATCAGGGTCATTTGCTTTGTGTGGAGCACATGGGGGGCTCACTCGGGGTTGCCTCTGGGCAGTTGGCCCAGTCACAGGCCGAGAAGGGGTATAAGTGGGCACCGGGCAGTGGCTGGAGGCAAGACAAACTTGGATGTATTTTTGGCTTCAGATGGCTTCTCCCATCATCATCACTCTCGCTGTGTGGGTTGCGGGTATCCATCCGTACCTTTCAGCCAAGTCCCCGACTTGCAATCACTACCGAGTCGCTCAGTGAGCCCCGCTGGGGTCAGCGTTCGTCATGGGACCAATGGAAAGCCACGTCTGCACGGTGGAAGACCAAGGCCTAAAGGCCGTTGCCAGTGGTGGCCCTGGCCTGTCCCTAATGCTGGCTGGTTGGCCCCGGCTCGTTGGGCTGAGCTGTACATAGCATGGCAGGCCTTGAACTGGTTCGATGCCGTGTCACTGCACTGGCTGATTGAAGGAGGTGGGCATGATGTGGGAGAGAGAGGAGAGAGGTGGGTGGTACCGCAAGTCGCAAAGCTTCACTGACGGCTGCGGAGGCCGAGGGGACGCATGGCACGGCATGGCACGGCATGGCACACAGTACAGAGTGCAAAGTACAGATGGCAAATAGCAGCAGCTTCTCCTTCCCTCCTGCCCCCAACCTGGATTCAACCTTGAACCTGGAGCCTGTCAGCAACCAAGCAAGCAAGCAAGCACCTTCAGTCCAAAAGCCTTCCTACCTTTCGCATTTCTTCTCCAAAATTTCCTCCAACTGGCATGTGCCCCTGACAAAGGACGACGACGACGACGACGAACCCTCTTCGCATCTTGCTTCTCTGCTTGATCTTCCCGCATCTGTCCATCCTCTCTCTTTTTTTCCCCCCATTGCTCTCGTTTGTTGGTTGTCGCCTCTGCTTTCGCAACTGCGTCTCTGCACCGCCGTCGATTGCGCCTGACGTATTCGTTCGCTCCTCGCAACGAGCCAAAAAAGTGTCTTTGACCAGGAGCCGAAAAATACCTGCCCATTCTCCTCCCACCTCCTGTATAACGACGAAACGACACATTGCTCGCCGCCTCCTTTCCTTCTTCTTCGCCTACCGACTTTGGAGCCTTGGGGAGCATCAACTTAATACCATCGTGACGACAGCTACCAGCTCTCAGGCATCATGCCGGGCTTCGCAGATTCCTTTTGGTCCAGCGACTACGCTGCAGGTGAGTTGACTGAATGCGCTGCTGCAACCCCTCCGGGCTATGGCTAAACAACCTTCCAATAGGACTGGGCGTCTTGTTCAGCAAGTTGCAGCAGGGCGTGCAAGAAAACCGACAAGTCCTGACCGTCGCTCGAATGCGTGCCGAAGCCGAGGAGATATACAGCCAGCGGTTAAGAGACATTGCACCAACGGCAGACAAGGTCCAAGGAGGGTTTTCAAAAGATGACGGTGCCAGCGTTCGCAAGGTTTGTACAGCGCTCCACCGGCGAGCTTCCCGAGAGCCACTGCTAATCCCGCATTGCAGGCCTTTGATGGCGTTCGGACCGAGATGGAAGAAGGTGCCAAAAACCACAAGAAGATTGCCCAAAACATTCGAGACCTCGTCGTCAATCCCTTCTCGCGCTGGTGCGATGCCCACGAGTCGCGCATCCAGGATTCCCAGGACGAGCTGCAGGCCCGCATTAAGGCGCACGACAGGCAAGCCGAGTTGGTTAAGAAGCTGAGGAGCACCTACTTCAACAAGTGTCGATTGGTTGAGGATATCGAGGAGGAGACCAAACTGGCCTTCCAAGACCCCGAGACCAGCCCCAAGAACATACCCGAGATCAAGGTCTCCGAGAACAAGGAGCCCGAGCTCCATCCCCAAGAAGACGATGACGAGCCCATCGAGATTGGCGACGAGATCTACCAGCCCGAGCAGGTCAAGAAGATCTTGGCGCACATGCTCAACACGATCAAGCTTGGAGAGACCAAGGTACCCATCCTCGGAGTCTACCAGAACACCTCGGCCGGATCCGACATTGTTGAGTACCTGCAACGACACATGAACACAACAAGCATTAGCTACGCCGAGAGAATCGGCCAGGATCTTATCTCGAACGGGTACCTCAGACTTATCGGCAACGTTGGCAACACTTTCGCCAACAGCTCCAAGATGTTCTACCAGTGGCGCCCGAAGGCTTTCAAGCTGGCTGGCGTGCCCGACAAGAAGGTGCCCCTTGGCCGAACATTCTCTCTCCCCGCCTCCGAGGCGTCCGACTCGCCTGTTGTTGGAACCGTCAGCGAATACCTTGCCAACTGGAACGTCCTCAACAACCAGCACCCCAACGAGACCCCGCCGGAGCGATTGCGCCGTGAGGCCAGAGAAGCGGACGACAAGTACAAGGCGGGCGTGCGCAAGCTGGACGAGATGCGCTGCGAGCTCGAGGAGACCATCTTCGTGCACCTCCGTTTCTTGGAGCGTTGCGAGCTGGACCGCCTCAAGGCCATCAAGACCGTCATCCTGGACTTCTCGGGCACCATCAGCAACGTCATCCCCAGCATGCAGTCTGCTGTTGACAACATGATGCTCTTCCAGGAGACTGTTCAGCCACTTGGTGATCTGAGATATCTGCTCGAGAGCTACCGAACAGGCAGCTTCGTTCCCAAGGTGGTGGTCTACGAGAACTACTACAACAAGGTTGACGAGCAGACCTTTGGTGTGGACCTCGAGGCGAGAGCGCGCGCGGATAAGAAGCGCGTGCCCATCATTGTCACCACCATTCTGACGTACCTGGACAACCACTACCCCGACCTTGAGGGCGACGAGGCCAGACGCGGTGTTTGGCTGGTTGATGTTCCCCTGCAGCAGGTTCACAAGCTCCGCAACAAGCTGAATGACGGCAAGCCTATCTCGCCCGATGTTTTTGACGAATTTGATATCCCGACTGTTGCAAGCTTACTCAAGCTGTACCTCCTTGAACTGCCTGGTAAGACGATCCCGTCCTGACAACCTAGTAATCATCTGCTGACAACGCGACAGACTCTCTCGTCTCATCTCACGTGTATGAGATCGTCAGGACGATATACCAGACGCAGTCGCAGGAGAGCGACGCTGCTCGCGTCTCTGTGCTGCAGCAGACCCTGTCGCAAATGCGACTCACTAATATCGCAACGCTTGACGCCTGCATGAACCATTTCACCCGCTTAATCGACCTCACCTCGGCTGACGAGGCTTACATCGCGTCTCTGGCCACGACCATCGCGCCTTGCATCCTCCGCCCTCGTGCGGAAACTTCTCTGACCATGGAAGAGAAGCACGCCTACAAGCTCGTTCGCGATCTCTTCGCGCACAAGGAGGCCATTTTCAGCGAACTGAAGCGTATGTCTACGGCGAACCACGGCGGTTCGATCAACCGCCCCCGCGCCATCAGCACCGACGAGAGCAACCGGAGGGCGAACATGGAAGAGCGGAATAGAGCTCTGCTCGAGAAGGCTGCGGGTAGCCGCGGCCGTGCGACAAGCCCTGCCCCTAGCCCCCGCGGACACAGACGTGACCGCAGCACGGGCGGTCCCGAGACCCGCTTCCCGATCCAGACGAGCCCGCCCGCGTCGGCAGTTGACCGTCACCGCTCAAGCTTGGGCAGCGTGGTCGGCGCCAAGCGGTCGAGTCTTGAGGTACCCGGCAGCGAGACCGGCTCGCCCAAGGAGACGGCGACGACGCCGGCGACCAACGGCTCCGCGGCGCCTGCCGCCGAGGGTGTCGCAGCCAGAATCAAGGCTTTTGAATCTCCTGTCGACAAGCGCAACAGCTTGGGCCGCAGCAGCGTGCGGTACTCCCTGGACCGCCACGTGGCAGCCGCACCAAGCAACGGAACAGAGAGCGGCTCGTCGACGCCCCGCGACTCAGGAGCCCCACGCGGAGTGACGCTCGAGGACAAGCCTATGGATGACTAAAGCGTGTTAGCCATGATGATTTATTTTGCTGCGATTTTCAGGCTCTGTCCCTCATTTTCCTTTTTTTCTTTCTTAATGTCTATTTTTTCCTCACAACAAACTTTGGGATTCTCCTTTTTCTGTCGTGACGTGTGACGCTGGTAGGACGTACGTATGCAACGGACGGCGGACGGGCTTAGGGGGGGGGACAAAAAGAGAGAAATCACTGGGCTGGCTTTTGTTTGACGGCGGCGGCGGCGAGTGAAAAAGAACGCGAAACGACGGCGATGTTTGGGGCGAAGCGATTCCCCTCGGGTGTCCCCTTTGTATCATGTCTGTACGTAAACCCACGAGAAGAGACAAAGAGACGAGTAGAAAGAGCGAAGAAGCAGAAGAAGACAAGAGAAGATGATATTCCCTCAAGGCCCAACCATTGAAATCAAGTGTGCCACGTTATCGGACGCGACGGGGAGAGTCGTCTCGAGACCATACTGGGAGGAGGCACCGACACGGTCGAGACTCGAGACTGGGTGATAGATGCTCTGGGTTGCGTACGACGAGACAAGAGACCCGGCAAGTTCACGGCCATATCGGACTCCTCTCCGCAGGATGTTGCTCTTGACGTGTGCGCAAAGACAAGAAATCACGGAAAAGGGGGGGTGAGGGAGGGAGAACCTTGTGCTCTGATGAATTTTTGATTCCATTTCGCCTTTTGGATCCGGACGTCTATATATGCATGCTTTCCTTTCTCGCCCACCCCTGACCCGATGCCCCCCCTCCCCCGTTCCCAACCGCGTCGCGTCCGCGACTAACCGCTATCCCCCGCAATCTCGGCCATCTTGGTCGTCTTCTTTTTCTTCTTCTTCTTGGGCACCACGACGGCCGGGCCGGCGTCGTCGACGCCGCCGCCGCCCTGCCCCTGCTCCTGGCCCTCGACGGCCGTCTCAGGAGCCGGCATCAGCGCGCTGTCCTCGCCGCCGCCGCTGTTCTCGGCGTCTTCCGTCAGGAGGACCGCCGGGGGCGCGACCTCGGCCACGGCCTTCTTCTTCTTCTTCTTGGGCTTGACCGCCCCGGCGCCGTCCTTGTCCTTTTCCTTGTCCTTGCTCTTCTTGGTCTTCTTCTTGACCACCGTGCCCGCGACGTCGACACCCTGCGCCACCTGGATGCGCTCGTTGGCGCGCTGCATCTCGAGCCGCAGCCGCTCCACCTCCTTCATCGCCTGCGCCATCTCCGCCTCCTCGCGCTGCTGCCGCTCGTAGTCGAACGGCGCGTTGGACGAGCCCGTGTCGCCCTCGAGGCTGAGGGACCCGAGCGTCGACGAGTCCACCTGCAGGAGCCCCTGGCGGAGCTTCTTGGCGCGCGACTTGGTGAAGCTGTCCGAGTTGTTCTCCGACTCGTAGTTGCGCGGTGTCGAGACCCCGCTGCCGGCGAGCGTCTCGTCCGCGGCGATGACGACCCTTTGCTTCGGCCGCTGCTGCGGTCGGTGGATGGGAGGGGTGGGCCCGGGCGCCGAGCTGCCTAGCTTGTCGAGATCCAGCTGCATGATCGGTATGGAGTCTATGTCGAGATCCGGTCCGTTTTCTTTCTGGAGGATGTTGTGAATCGGTGTCGAAGTTCTGGGCGCGGTGTCGGGAGCACCAATGTAGAACGGGTCATCGCGGTTCCGTTCGCTGCGCTCGGCTTTCCTCCTTGCCACAATGTCAGCATCGAGATAGCTGTCTTCGGTCGCCTGCTGATACGAGCTGACAACCTCTTCTGTCGGGGCGTCAGCGATCCGGTTGATCGCCGGTTCGGCCGAGGATATGCTTGTGGGCGCCGGGCGTTGATGGTAGTAAACCTCGAAATCGTCCGTATCGTTGGCCTCCACGGGTATAACATCCGCCTGAGCAAGAAGATGAGCCAAGTTCGGGTGGATGGGCTCATCCAAGTCCAGGCCCTCGGGCATGGGCACATTCCTTTGCGCCCCCAGAGCCACAGAGTTGAGCTCCCATCCCTGGAACAAAGACGGAATAGCCTGGGTGAGCAACAGCGGAGGGTCTTGGTGCTCTTCGTCGGAAGACGCTGCCTGGCCCGAGGTGGCCTCCGCAGTGAGTTTCAGGAGTTCGATGAACTCTACAGATCTCTCCTGGACCTCAAGATTGGGGTGGAGAGCGAGCGGCTCGAGGGTGTGGATGACGCGGGCCAGGAGCAACGAGATCTTTGTCTTCCACTCGGGGGTCCATGGCTGGCCTTCGTTGCCTGCGATGTAGGCGAATATCTTTGTGACGCCCTGCAGACTGGTCGTAAGAATATCGGGTATGTGTGTCCGAGATAGTATCCTCAGCAGGTTGCCTAGCGTATCTTCGGGGAACGCCAGCTGGTTGGCGTATTCTCCAACCAGCCAGGACGTGGACTTTAGTGATGCCGACGCGAGGGCATGGCCTGCGGGAGTGTCGGTGTTCATCTGCTGGATGATGAGATCGGCAGCCCGGACGGCTGCGCCTCGTAGCGCGTGGACCTTGACTGCAACGTTCCTCAACTCGTCTCCGATTCTTCCAGACACGTCTCCTGCGGTCGACTTGCCAGAGGCGGCGACTGAGTCGAGTTCCGTCTCAACCGTCCGCGGTGTCGGCGCCATGCGGACGAGTTGGATGAGGACATCGATGTACCAGTCAAAATCCACCAAGCTGCTGTAGTTGTTCTGCGAACACATGGTCAGGATCCTCCCGATCACGTCGCTCCTGTAGTCGTCGGGCAGTGGAGGCTCTTCCTGCTCTTTTGTCGGCGAGTGGATTTCGACCTGTGCCTCCTCGTCCGAGTCCATCCCGGTATCCGGGCCAAGCGGCGCCCCTGGTCGATCCCTCTTAGGTGTGGACGACTTGAGCTGCTTCATCAAACGGCTCACGATGGACACCAGGTTGTCGCTGCTAACCATACCCTGGACGAGATCCAAGGCCTTGATGCGGATGGTGATGTCCGGGCTGTCGATGCACTCTAGGATCACGTCCTCTTGTTGCGCAACAAGGAACGGGTGCGTCACGACAATCTTGTTGAAAGCAAGCAACGCGACGTATTTCACTACCCAAGTCAGCTTTTGAATCCTGATCCGCATCGTAATACTCACAGTTCGGATCACCATCCACCATGATCATGCCCCTGAGCTTGTTCACGCAAAGGGTCGCAATCTCCTCTCTGCCCGAGATGTCGTCCGCGCTGCCCAGGATACCGCCCTGGATAATGCCGTTGATGCACTCATACAGCAACGACATGGCAGGCGTCGTCCGGATCAGCTCAGTCAGGGGCGGCAGCAACTTGCGAACGAGTCGCGGCTCCAACGGCGTCAAAGTCGCAAACTAGGTCCAACGTCAGCAACCTCTCCCTCAACAGCTCCACGCCTTTGCATAAACGTACCAGCTTGATCAGCTTGATGGCCATCCAGTTGTTACCTCCGTCCACAAGCAGCTCAAACAGCCTAGGCGCCAGTGGCAGGAAGTCGTGTGGCCTCCTCCAGCCGAGCTCGCACACCACGTTGACGATGGCCGCTGTGACGCTCGGGTCCTCGTCCTTGTCCATCAGGCGCTCCTTGATCTTGGGCCACGCCGCCCGCAGCGTCTCGGGGTACACCAGGGCCAGGCGGTACAGCGTCACGATGGTCTTCTTGCGGATGGCCGGGTTCGAGTGGCCGAGGCGCGGGAGCAGGTCGGAGAGGGTCGAGAGGGCGAGGGACGGGGTGATGATGTGCGGCAGCGTGGTCATGGGTAGCGAGATAGTGGTTGCTTGCGTCGACGACAGGTCCTGGCAGCGGCGGAGCGTTAGTATCGTCTCTGTGCATGTCCAACACACCCCTTCAACACGAGGGAGAACAGTACCTTCTTCAAGAGATTCGTCGCCAGCATAAGCACTTCGGTGTCAGGTCGGAAGCTCTGCACGGCGGCCAGGTACCCGACCCTCTTCTGGTGGTACTTTGGCGACGACATGACCTCGAGGACGTGGAACGAGGCCCACGACATGTCGTGACCGACCATCTCCAGGTACACCAGCTTCAGCAGCGCCGTCGCCTTGACGTCTGGTAGGGAGTCAGAATGCGGTTCCTTCTTCAAGCACAACACATGCGGCCGCTCTCGTGGAGGGTCTCACCCATGTCCTGCCCGCGGACCTCTGCGCGGCATTCTTTCAAGCTGTTCTGTATGTACTCGCGCTCGTTGCCCTTGTGGTTCCGCAGGCCTCTGATGAGGTCGTAGAGGGATTTCTCGAACCTGGAGGAGCGTGCGGTGCACCGTCAGCGCGCGATTCGTCTTCGCAGCCTCACGGCTTCTCCCCGGCGGTTGCGCGGGTGCGTCTTCAAGCACCTACATCTTGACAATGACAGCAGCCCCACGCGAGGGGGTGGAAGCCTAAATGGGCAGTTGTCGAGGTGTCGTCGTGTATCGTGGGAGGGGAACGAATGTCGGGGAATTAGGTCAGGTACACGAAGGCGTCCGGGTTCTCTGGCACATTTTGGACCAAGACTTCTTCCGGCTGGTTTCGTCGCGGGCGCCGTGACCTCGATTTCGCGGAGGGCGTTTGGCTTGGTGTTCGTGAGCGTCCAAGGGATGTCGGGGTCGGGGGAAGGACGGGGGACGGAACGGTGATGCAGGCTTGCTGTGGCTTGTGGGGAGAGAGAGAGAGAGCTTGGTGCTGTGCTGCCCGCTGCCGCTGCTGCTCGATAATCCAACCCCCACCAAAAACCCAGAGAATGATGGTGCTGCGTACAAGGGCGACAGCATGTACTGTGTTTCCTCTGCCGGTACGGCAAGTCGGGCACTGTACGGCGACCAGCTACCTTACCTGCCGACTAACACACCGATAGCTAGCTTCTTCCTCGCCAAACACCAGTTGTAATCGTCATTGCGCCTGGTCCCGACATCCTCTTTTTTTTTCCCCTTCTCTTTCCTTGGGACGAACTTGTCAAGGCGGCGCATCAAGGCTTTTTAGGGGTCCTTGTATAACACCCTCGTTTCTTCTTCTACAATCCCTTTTCTTTTCAAGCGGCATTGCACGACCACGACTATGGATTGCTGACCCCAGCACCTCTTTCCGCACTCTCTAAACCGCATCGCGAACCTCCAATCTCGACAAACCACCACGTACCCAAAAACCCCACGAACCTGACCTCTCAACGCACGAACTCTCCTCCGCAATGGCGACCGCGCGGCCCTTCCTCCGCCTCTCCTCCCCCCCCCGGACCCTGGGGTGCACGCCCGCGGCCCTCGCCCAACAACACGCCCCGCGCCGGCCCTTCTTCAACCTCCCCAACCTCGCCTCGGCGAACGAACCCCAAACGCTGACGGCCTCGCGGACGATGCCCTACCCCTCCCCCCAGCTCTACGACGTCATCTCCGACGTCGACGCCTACGACTCCTTCGTCCCCTACTGCGCCCAGTCCCGCGTCACCCAGTGGACCGCCCCCGACGCCTCCGGCCGCCGCTGGCCCGCCCAGGCCGACCTCCGCGTCGGCTGGGGCGGCTTCGAGGAGACCTTCACCAGCAGGCTGCACTGCGTACCCGGTAAAAGCGTCGAGGCGGTCAGCGGCGCCGATGTCGAGGGCGCCAGCCCGGGCAACGGCGGGGAAGGCGGCGCCGTCTTCCGGAGCCTCGTGACCAAGTGGCAGCTGCGGCCGCTGACCTCCGGGACGGGCACCGAGGTGGACTTGGTCATCAAGTTCCAGTTCGCCAACCCGCTGTACTCGGCCGTGAGCGCCGCCGTGTCTGAAAAGGTGGCCGGCGTCATGATCCAGGCCTTCGAGAAGCGGGTCAAGGCTGTCCTGGGGGTTCCCAGGCTATAGCCGGATCGGGCAACCATGAAAAACATTGCTACACTTAGACTTAGACTAATGAAGAAATCACACACGGCTGAGAAGGCGAGGCTGAGCAGCCGTTGCCAACCATTCTTGTTTGCAAAACATTTCGTTCTTTTTTGTTACCAAGTCTCTACCACCGCTACTGTGCGCAGCGAACAAAAGCAAAAGAAACAACTACAGCAACAAAAAACACACCCCTCTCCATCCAGGTACTTGGAAAAAGCCACGATCTTGTCCTCCTCTTCTTGCGCCGATGCCATAAACATGGTGTAGCTTCCAGCTTTCCTCCAGATGCAATGCCCCGCCGAAAAACATGTACGGTCTTTGAGGAAATGTCTTACAGCCGGGTGGAAGTCCCATTTGCCGAGTTTGACCCCTCCGCAGCTCGTACTCCGGCATACATGCGTTATAGACGTTTAAATGAACCATGATATCCGTGAGATGCATTGCTTACATACGTTTGACCGTGGTGGGAATCTGAGGAAAGCAGAAAAGTAAATGGGCGCGTAAAGGTATCATATGTAATAACAAAATAACAAAAAAAGATCCCAAACCACAATTCATAACAAGGCGTTATCGTGGCAGGTTTTCGTACCAAATCTCTCGCATTGCGCGCTGATGATGATCATTTCTTTGTCCTGCCGGTTATTAGTTCACGGCCTCCTCGCTGAGGGTCTGAGTTCAACACGTACTTCTTCTTTGGGGCCTTTGCGCCACCGGCCATCCAGCTGAGCATCGAGCCTTGAGCCTTGGACCTGTGTTTTGGCTTGCCGTTGGGCTCAACAGTAACGATGTTGGCCGGCACACCACCGGGGGGTCCGGGGCGTGTGCCCTGCCAGCCTGGAGGAGGAGGCGGTGCCGGGCCACCGCCGCCGGGGCGACCACCCGGAGGTGCCATGCCCGGCGGGAAGTTGCCCATCCCGCGATGCGCATGCGCGCGCATGCCGTGCAGATGCGCCGCCATTCTTTCCGCCGCTCTAGGGTCCATCGGCATGCCAGGACGCGGACCGGGCGGGGGCCTGTCCATGGGCCACATTCGCATCTCGATGGTCCAGTCCGGCTCGACCACTTTATCCCAGACTTGGGGCAGAATGATCTCCCCGTTGGGGCCAATCAGGTCGTAGTGTCCTTCCTGAACATGGGGGCCGATAACGTCCACATGGACGAAGGCTTGCTTGATGAGCTCCTCCATGCCCTGGGATTTGAAGTCAGCATGGTGTCAGCACGTACACAGTTGTTGGGGCTACATACCGTCCAGGTCGAGCACAGATGGAAGGGAAAGCTGAACTTCCTGCCGACGGCGTCCTTGAACTTGATTGGAGCCTTGTCCTTGCCCTTGTTCCTTTCGGACTCGTACTTGGCTTTGGTCTCCTCGGCGATCTTCTTCTCGAGCTCCTCCGCAGCCTTCTTCTTGGCGGCTTCGGCGGCGGCGGCGTCTTCTGCCGCCTTCTTCTCGGCTTCCAGCTTGGCGCGAGCCTCGAACTCGGCCCTTGCCTTCATCTCCTCCTCCTCCTTCTTCTTCGCGGCAGCCGCGTCCGCCGCCGCCTTCTGCGCGGCCGCAAACTCAGCCTCGGCCTTCAACTTGGCCTCTTCTGCCCTTCGCTTTGCCTCTGCCGCTTCCTCTTCGGCAGCCTTCTTCGCAGCCGCGACCTTGGCGAGATAGTCGGCTTCGGCCTTGGCCTTGAGGTCCGCCTCGAGCTTTGCCTGCGCTGCGGCAGCGTCGGCAGCCGCCTTCTTCTCGGCTTCCATCTTGGCGCGGGCCTCTTCTTCGGCCCTCTTCTTCATCTCCTCCTCCCATTTCCGCTTGGCCTCGGCCTCTCTAGCTTCCTTGGCCCGGAGTTCGGCCTCGGCTGCAAGCGCTTCCTTGAGCCTTTGCGTCGCCTCGGCTTGGGCCTTGAGGCGGGCCTCTTCTTCGAGCTTCTTCCGCTCGGCCTCGGCCTTGTGTTCGCGCTCCAGCCTCTCTCTGGCTTCGCGTTCGACGCGGGCCATCGCCTCCTGGTGGAGCTTCTGCCTTTGCTCTTCCTCTTTGCGCTCGGCCTCGATTCTCTCTCTGGCTGCTTTCTCGGCCTCTTGCTTGGCCTTCTCAATCTCCTTCTGCGCCAGCTCTTGGGCTCGCCTCAAATCCTCCATCCTGCGGGTGATGGCCTCTTCAGCCTCCTTGCGAAGCTTCTCTTCCAGTTCTTTCCGCTTTTGCTCCTCCTCCTTCAGTGCCTGCTCCTTCTTGAAGAGTTCGATCTGTTGCTGGAGCTTGATCTTCTCAGGATCCTCCTTTGGCGGCGGTGGCGGCTCGTTCGCAGGAGTCTTGGAGGGGCCTGGGGCTTCCGTAGGCGGGGGTGGGGGTGGAAACATGCCCCATGGAGGCATCTGTCCGTAGCCTTGCTGGTTGTAGAGGGCCGGTGGTTGCTGTGGCTGGTATGGCATCATATCATACTGAGATTGGCGAGGGTCATGGAAGTAGCTCTGTCCACTTCCATGCGACATTGGCGAGAATGCATTGTTGGGATTGTACCCGAAGGGCACCATCTGGTTGGGGGGGTGTCCATAGGGGCTCGGGGCGAAGCCGCCTACATGACTTTGAGGAAAGCCGGGCTGCGGGTGACCGCCGCGGCCGCCGTAGTAGGAGTTGTGGCCGGAGTGTCCCCCATGGCTTGGGTGTCCCCCGTGGGCGGGAGGTCTGTGGCCATAGCCGCCGCCGCGAGGGGCGAAGGGGGACGCGTATTCTTCTTGGGAATCCACGCTTTCAGAATGGCTCGGCACTGAACCGGGCCGATACGGGAATTGGCTGGGAGCGGGACCGGGGCGGTGAGGGAGTTGGTGGTGACGGAGGGCACGCTGTGGCGGCGCCGGGCGGCCTGAATACCTGGGAGCAGGGCTGACGGAGGCCGAGTCGTCTGGACCAAGATCGCCTTCAAGATTGTCGTCTTCGGAGGTGTAGTCCTCGTTTTGGGTTGAATCGGAGCTGATGGCTTCAGTGTCGTTGTAGTAATGCGAATGCGACTCGTCCTCACTGGCAGAGGCGGATCGAGATGTTGCTGCCCCGGACGAGCTATGGCCAGGGCGTCGATAGGGTCGTCTTCCGGAGTGTGTTAGTTGACTAGTGCCCGGTGAATGCCACCAAGTCGGATGGTCCCTGGCGTAGTTGAAAATATGTAACTTACGCGGACGACATGAGGATGTGAGTGCGTGTATGTGTGTGTGGCGGCAAGACCCTTTACTCACGACAGTCTCGAAAGAAAGTCGGAGTAAAGGGGTAGATCGGGTGGGAACGTGGGGAGTAGTAGAGCGGCCGAGGGTGAGGCTTCCACTGTTGGGAACCGTAGGGAAATCGTCGTTGGCGATCGAGTGCGGTCAAGCCAGGAAACGGGTGCAGCGTTCGCCCTTGCGCAGTTGGATCAAGGACGGGGAGATCCAAGCACGAACGGGTGGCGGACAACGAGACGAAGTGCGGATGACGGGGGAGTTGAGCGCAAAAAAGGCGATCAGACGAGGACGATGTGGTAGGGAGTGAGGGACGACAGCGACCAGGCGGCTTCAAGAAAACAAAGTTTCTGTGTGAAAGGTTGAGTTGGAAGGCGGGCGGGATTGCGAAAATTGAGGGGTGGGCGGCAGTCGGTGGGTGGGTATTCGTTCGTGGGTTCTTGGATGTAACCGGGAAGCCCCCTGCTTTTTTGGCGAGATCGTGCAGTTGGGCGCAAAAATAGGTGCGATTGGGTGCAAGGAAAATTGTGGCAGCTGGGCAGCTATTGCGGGTCTGGCGACCGCTCCGTTCAGGACAACGGTAAGGCGATGGCCAAGGCGTACAGGGGTTTGTTGTTAGGCAGGTCGTATGTATGTCAAACTAAGCCGCAGCCACTGCCAATCTGCTGCTCCTCGGCGACCCAGTCTGGATGGGTGAGAAGAGGATGGGAAGAGAGCCTCTGGCGCGTCTTGAGGTGGCGATGCGCTCGCTGTTGTACCGCTATGCGATGCGAGGCGATGCGAGAGATAACGGGACGGGGAGCCAAGTGGAAGAAGCCCTGTCTGTCCAGTATCCAGTATGGTGGATGAGGCGGGACAAGGACAGCACAGGACAGGAAGAGGGGGGGAGCCTTGGAAAGGCTTCCTCTGGCGTCTGGGGGACCCAGCAGCCGACAGACTGGCGTTGTCGGTGAGGGCGAAATGTGAGCAACGGTCGACACGACTAATGATTTGATAGTGCAATGCCGAGCGTCGAGGATACTAAGCTACATACAAGCCTCAGATCAGCAACATTCCGGTGAATCATGTGCAATGGAATTTGGCGAGAGGCGCCGGACGTGTTAACACGGACGGGGCCACACAGACACACAGACGCAATGGAACGGACTGGGCTGGGCATGAGAATGGAGGGGGAGGGGGGGGGGAGGGGAAGCGAAGGGGACGAAAGTGCACCAAGAGAAACCACCACAAGCCCACATCAACGACCAGGGCGTGCCCGACCCCGCCATCCTCGGCCAGCCTGTTTTGCTCTCCAGGCAGACGACACGCTAGGGTTGACCAGTACTACTGGCCACAGCCGAGTCAAGGTGAGGGAGAAGGGGGAGGGAGGTTCTACGATGTGCTGTGCTGTGCTCTGTCCCACCATCAGGTCCTCCTCCTCCGTCTGCCTGCTGGACTTCCCCGTTGTGGGCTCTGGGAAGAGGCGACAAGGAAACGCGACGGGGGGAGGGGGATGAATGGGATGGACTGGGCGGGGACAGGTAAGACACCGACAGGGCCGGCCTGGCGGGGGACGGGGATGGGCACGAGGAAAGGACGGGGCAGGCCTGGATGGCGGTCTCGAACCCCCCTTGCTTTTCTTGTCCCACTTGGGTGCCCCAGGAGATGCTGGGCCAGGTCCACTGACGATGCGCCATCAACCAACAGAAACGAGTCGACAACGAGTTGTCATTCAATGACCGTCAGCATCGTTCCGCTGGCGAGGGGGCTGCGCGGAACCGTGTCATGGACTCATGATTGATCCGGAGAAGTCTTCAGCGCCGGGCCCCGTTGCAAATCGTCGCCCACCAAACAAGACCGTTGCGTGATGCAAAGCCGTGTCCTGGCTGCACTCACGCAGGATACGTCAGGCAGCACCAACAACGGCAGCAAAGTCAACAACAACAACAAAGAAGAACGGCATCGGCAACTGGCCGAGGTGCTTGGTTGCCATGCGGACTGGCCGCAGGTAGCCGGCACTTGACAGCTTGTTGACAGGGAAGACGGGCAGGCAGACGAATAGACATTGTTTAGAGAAACAACGCTGCAGAAACAACATGTGCGTCGATGCCAGCAAGCGCAAGGGAGCGAGAAAGGAATGCGACAACGTCGCACCAGGCGAAACGGGGAAAGCGCGTCCGAATGAACAATCGCAAAACGGTAGCTAAAAGTTGCAACATACCTTTGCTTGTCTTTGTTCCCCTTTCTCCCAGGGCTCGTTAAGAAATGAGACAGAGAAGCGAGCAGGACGGGCTGAGACCTGAGACCTCGGACCTGAGACCTGTCAGGGACGAGATGATGGCAGATCAGACGTGACACACCGTCTCTTTTGGGATGTGGTCGGGGGACCTTTTCTGTTTCTTTGGGACGAGGTTCGGATAGGCTTGGGATGGGGAACAGATGTGAGAGGCGAGACTTTGGACTTTGGTACGAGGGACTGCACCTACCCAGGTAGCACTGCGATGTACCTTGCCCACCGACTCTGTCAGTTCTCAATGCACGACCGTGCCTGGGCTCGTCCTGCGTCGGACTGTTCTGGCCGCACAGAGTGGATGTCTGGGTTTTTTTTTGGGGGGGGGTTCAATGTTTCGGTGAGGAACGTGCTGCAAAAGGCGTGGTGGCTCCGTTGCGGGACGGTCCTCGCTGGGCGTTTGGACGTTAAGACGTTTTATCCGTTAATGCCGGTGGGGCTCTTGGTGCTTGTCGCGCGCTGCGATGATGCTTTTGACGCCTTTGTCGCTCTAGGGGGAAACCGAGTGTTAGAAAGTCGGACAGGGACAGGAGAACAACAGCCCAAAACAAAGACGAAGAGTTTTGCAGTCAGGATTGTGTGAGAATAAGCAGGCTGGGAGAGGCGGCGCAAAGTATTTATTTGGATGACGGAGGAGGGAGAGGGAGGGAGGGAGACACGGCGGGGAGGAAGGGGGGGAACGAGGGTTGGGGGCGAAGGGGCTCTCATTAGTCTCCTGCTGCGTTCTGCTCATGCCAGTTGACTGTCCTGCTTTTAGGGCCATCGCGAGCCAATGCCCGGCATCTCGGGCTCGCGACTCTGGCTCTCGCCGTTTAATGAGCCAGTAGGAACTCGAGGGGACGTACCTGGCCTACCTCTCCTCACCTCACCTACCTTGCCCTTTCACCTTATCTGGCCTGGCCTGGCGAGGGGCGGTACACTCATGGACGGACACCGACTAAAAACAGGCAGTCGTCAGCTCTACTATGGCTCCTCCCACCTCCTCACTCGCCCGCCCGCTCACCGTATCTTGGACCGCCGCCGCATCGAGACGACGCCAAAAGCGCGACAAGCCCCTCTCCACTTCGTCTGGGCTCGCCGCTGAGCCTTTGCACCAGAGGTACCGCACCCAGGTGCGTGTTCGCCGTGATGCCGTACCGCCTCCGAGTCTCCACTCCGGGTCCAGTGTCGTCGTGCCTTTCCAATGTCGTCGTCACCCTGACTAGCCCGCCATCCTGTGCAGTCAATTCTCACGCAGCCTGCTTCACACCAGGATGGATAAACAAGTTTCATTTCAGAGCACTAACACTGACACTGGATCGTGATACTGGTATTTGCCTCAATCTCCTCCCTTCATGTGGGGTGTCTTGCTGCGTATGCTGGGCACTGGCAATCGTCTAGTTGCTTGATGACTCGGACAATGATGTACTTGGGGGGACACGGCATGATTTCGATGGCAGATAAGGGAAGGGAGAGAGAGACACCAAACGGAAGATAACCCTCTGAGTGAACTGATGTACTGTGCGTGACAGCGGTTGTCCTTGTTGGTCTGATGCGTCTCTCGTGGGCGTCCCTCGAGGCTCGGCTTATTCTTTTTTCTTGGTCGTTTACGGCGCTAGGCGGCTGGAAAACACGATGGATGACAGGGGCGGTCGAAATTGGTACCGACGTAAGTGCTTGTTCTGCCTTGAGCTTACTTACACGGCACTGCCCGGATATATACGTGCCACCGCAATGTTGTCGGCGCAACTTGATTGGCATCCATGTGCTCTGTTAGTCGACCATTCCGACGATACTCGAGCCCGATGCAGCCTTTGTCGTGCCCGACGGGTCTCTCGAGAGCCTGGCGCACTCTGATCTACAGAGCTAGGGTCTCGAACGATGGTGCCTGAACTTGCTGAGATAAATCCGTGGATCAACTCCCACTGACTCACTGCCAGCGCATCTGGTGGGCCGCGTTAGCCCGTCGGGCTCCCAACGGCACGCCTGGAACCTTGGATGACATGCAGCCCTGCAACATAGTGCATAGTAGTTTTGCGACCATTGGGCACGGCTGCGGGTGCGGCCGCAACGGGAACGATGGATTTCGACACAGAGTAAAAGTTGGTCTCCATTAGTAGGGCATCAAGCGGCGGCCTCTGCCCGTGTGTGAAACATGTCCGATGTGAGTTGTACAAAACAAGACAAAAAAAAACCCCCGGCTCCCGTCTCAGCCCAACTGCCAGACAGCCTCTTTATCCGACGTGACTTCGTAGCCAAGTTGCGCCTGAACGACAAAATAGAGTTGCCCACTGTGTTTCTCCCTCGGGTGCTACAGTCAGGCGGCTTATTCGCAATTGGCTATCAGAGTAGCCAAGTAACACTTGAGCGTTGTCAGTGACACAGGGGCGATCTGTTGCAGACAAAACTCTGTTGTTGACTTTGCTTGGATGTTCCGATTGCCTGCTAGCCCCAGCGTGCACCGGTAACAGCGAGTCCGCTAGACAATGCCTCGCATGAAGCGTGCAGGTGTGGTGGCTTGTCAGCGTGACTGCTTGATCATAGAATCCGTTGATGTGAGGTTGTCTGCTCGTCGTGTCCGGCTGACGCGTTGCTCATCTCACAAGCTCGACCGATTCCTTTGACAGCAAATCCCGTGCCGCTGCCACCTCCGATTCGTCGTAGCCCTGCCAGAGCCTCTCCTGCGCTCCGTTACGGCGTACAATCTCCGCCAGCTTTTCTGTCGCCAGCTCATTGAGTTTCTGCAACGTGGTGACGTCGGGAAGGCTCCACTCCTCCGAGTCCGTTTGCCTCGATGGCTTTAAAGGCTCCTTGATCAATCTGTTGGTGACCTTGATATCTGTCAGCTGTGTTTCTTTGAAGCTGACCGAGCACACGCCTCACCAGTTTCAGTCCGTAGTACCCCCTAAGGTAGTCGTCGCAAAGCTCAATGCTTCGGCTGAACCTTTTTATCGACTCGGCCAGCTGCTGTTGTGAAGATCCTTCAGAAGCTGAAGCTGCCATGTACAGTACTTCGCCCAAGCGCGCATGCATCTAGTACATATTAGCGAATGCCGGAGTCGATTGAATACTCCGTTTCACGCTTACATTCCACGCGTTTGGTGTCAGTACAAGAACCTCCTCGAGTGCAAAGATGGACTGAGAGTAGAGACCCTGCGAAAGGTACAAGTCGGCAAGCTCCGCCCATGACTCTGCATCTGTGGGGTTGAAGTCAACGAGGGAGTTGAGGGCCGTGATCGCTTCGGACGTCTTTCCGGTTGACTTAAGAAGGGCAATGCGACGTTTCGCGACGGGCTACATAGAGTCAGCGTATGCCACAAACTCATAGAAGAGATTCAAAGACTGACAATATTTGTCGCATTTGCTCCGAGGATAGTCTCGTATTCCATGAGCACCTGCGCCAGCTCTCCATCGTTGTCGGCTTCTGCCTCTTTCACCAACCCCTTGAAAGCCATGATGCGCTCGTTTTCGTCTCCGAATCGGATAATCAGCCTCTCGAGACATTGATGCGCTGCTTGGCTGTCGCCCGTCCGGAGGCAGGCCAGGAGAAGGTTCTCATAGATTGTCCAGAGCTCGGGTGTCTCAGATGCTGAAAACAGTGATAGCAGCGGCGACGAGGAAAACGCCTTCGGGTTGTTTCGCAGAATCGTCGGCGCTTTCTGGGCCAGCTCGAGGGCCTCGGCTGGGGACAGGTGGCCCTGGGGGCGGACAAGAGATGGGGCCATCTTTATAGGTCGTAAGAAGACGGCGGGATTCGGGGAATATGGGTCGTAAGCGGCGTGGTTTCGACGCGCAGTCTCCAGATATGCGATCTGGCTGGTCTTGACAATCGTTGCGCGTGCGGACTAGACGTTGATGGCCGGGTATAGCTATGATGGATGTAGTCTGCGCCCCGTCTGCCTCTTCGCGAATTAAGATCATCTAGCTGTGCGGTACGTACCGCTCACTGAGCTCCTTGCTTAATACATCCAACCTGGCGCACCCGCCAATGGGACTTGAAGGGCGAACGGGGTTACTGCCCCGCATGATTGGCTGCATCGGCAGGCGGCTCTTCATCCCACCGAAGACAGACCCCACCCACCGTGTTTTTTGTGAACAAAAACTTCCGCGAGCAAGAATTTTTGTCAAGACTTCTTATTCCTAACCACTCCTTCTTTGTCACCAAGATCTGGAGATCTCGAGAGTTTGTGTGCCACCCACGCAAGGAGCAGTGTGATAGATCCAGGATCTGTCCGGTGGCTTTACACAAGAACCATGGCTTCCCTCGCAGCTGGAGAAGCTCTCTCGGGAGCGGATGAGCAAGTTCTCGTCGAGAAGACGGCCGACCTCAAAGTGTCTGAGCCGACCGGCCAGGGGGAGCAACCACCTCACAGATCTCACGACCCTCAGTACAACCAAAAGAGGAGCGACCCATTCCAGTTTGGCAGCCGTCTGCTTAGCGAGCAGGATGATGTCTTCGAGTTCAACGCTTGGGACCATGTCGAGACTGACGATGCATACAAGGAGTATGCTGAGCAGCAGTACGAAATGCAGCGGCAGTCTCCGGTCTCTGACTTTGATAAAAGTAAGTTTATCCTTGTGCGCAATCTTTGATTTTCTTTTCAGCCCCCGGTGTTATGATGATACTCCAGCACAATCGCATAGTTCATCTGAATCCTATGATGAAAACTTCTTCCTATAGTCTTTCGCTCCCATCTGACAACACCATTTCAATCAAAAAAATCAATTGTTTTATGCACTTGCTTTTCAAACAGCCGACTAACAAAACTCCTCAGACAGACTGAACAACAATCCAGCGAGAATGTGGGATCTTTTCTACAAGAACAACACAGCCAACTTTTTCAAGAACCGCAAGTGGCTGCAGCAGGAGTTTCCCATCTTGTCCGAGGTGACCAAGGAGGATGCTGGCAAGATTACAATCCTTGAAATCGGTGCCGGTGCGGGTAACACTGCTTTTCCTATTCTCGCTTCCAACAAGAACCCAAGCCTTAAGGTCCATGCCTGTGATTATTCGAAGCAGGCCGTAGAGGTCATGCGGACCCATGAGTCCTACAACCAAGACCACATGCAGGCGGACGTCTGGGACGTGACGAGCGATGAGCTCCCGCCAGGTCTTGAGGAAGGGACCGTTGACGTTGCTATTCTCATCTTCATCTTCTCGGCTTTGGCCCCCAGCCAGTGGAACAAGGCGGTTGCCAATGTCCACCGTCTACTTAAGCCAGGCGGCCAGGTCTGCTTCCGAGACTATGGAAGAGGTGATCTCGCCCAGGTTCGCTTCAAAAAGGGTCGCTACCTAGATGAAAACTTTTACGTGCGCGGCGACGGTACCCGTGTTTACTTCTTCGAAAAGGAGGAGCTCGAGCAAATTTGGACCGGCAAGACGCAAGAAGCGTCGGAAGTCGCCAAGGCCGAGTTCAATGTTGACGACCTCGGCGTTGACAGGCGCATGCTCGTCAACCGAGCCCGCAAGCTGAAGATGTACCGATGCTGGATGCAGGGTCGGTTCACGAAGAAATGAGAGATCCAAGCTTCACAGTAAACACGACCTGGAGCAAGCGATGAATGTCTGCCAGCGAATTATTCTAGCTGTGGACCGGCGCATTTCGCACTTTGCACCACGCGATCGAGATCAGTACAGCAGCATCTCTCGTAGCTTCTTGCGATCATCCTGGACGAATCCGATCTTGTCCAAGTACCCTGCGATCCCACCGTATACGTCGTCGAGATGGCGAGCGGTTCGCACGATCATGTCAGGCGCTGTATCGAACCAGTCGTCCGTGAGGCCAATCTCTCTGATCTCGGCCAACCTTTCCTCCCTTTCGGACTCAAGTGCACCACTGGTCAACATGTAATCATGCTCGATCGCTTCGAGCGGCACATCGAGGGCCATCAGCACCAGAGTGACAATTAAACCTGTCCTGTCTTTGCCCTGTGTGCAGTGAACCAGGGTAGGCGTTGTCGAAGGGTCGAGGAAGACCCTGAGAGCCTGGTTTGTCCGTTAGCAATTGGGACAGAAGGCCGTCATTGCCCTCACTCGTACCTTGGCAATCTCTTCACCAGATTGATCCAGGGTATCGAGGCCCAGGCGTACCAAGCCACGTGGCACCATCACCTCACGAGAGAGGACGGAGATGCCTTCATTGCGATAACCTAAGAGGAAGAGGACGATAAGGCGGCTTCCATCGAGCGATCATGCGTCAGTCTCTCTGGGGGAAACAATAGAAGCCAAGTTCTCTTACCAGAACCCCCACCAAGACAGCTGTCGCAACAAGAACCCTCGAAGCTTCCGCCAGTGATTTTGATCTCGTGATACTTTAAGCCTGAGATCTGGACTGGCTCGGCTAGCGCAGCGTTGGACTGCAGCAGGGTCGGAACTTGGAGATCGGCCTCGCGCTTTTTTGCCTGCTTGACGTGTTCGGTCCTTGGTATGGCGTCAGTCGTTGATCTGGTGTACGGAGTCTGGCATTCCAAGGGTGAGGTGATCTTGGGATTGCACATGCACGTACTTTGTGCGCAAGTCTATCACCGCCTTGATGCCCAGCTCCTCTCGAAGGCGCCTCCTGTCTTCCAATGAGGCATCATCTAAGTTTGTCAAGTCTGTGAGCAGACAGATAAGCACGTGTTGTGGGTCTTTCAAAACATACCAGGCCTTGCTGAACGGAACAGCTGGCCTTCTCGGATGAGCCTGTTGCACCAAACACACGGGAATCAGCTTGAGTGTGCCAATGCCCCGTGTGGGTTTGAATTGAGACGTACCTGCGTCCGAGAAACTTGTTCACCGTGGAGCCGACGTCACGGAAGTTCAGAATTGAGGTTATGCCGTTGTTGTCCATGGCGCAGAGACTTTGTGCTAGCCGCTTAGGGGAAACGGGCAGCGCTGCAGATACCAGGAGTCAGCAGTCAACAGCTGAGACTAGCAGTCGGACGGCGCGGGCAGCGTTTAGGCGTTTTGGGAAGTTGGTGTGTGCTGTACGTAGTAGACTCGGAGTGAGGTGTGTGAGTGAAGAGGGGAGGACTGACGCCACGATTTGGCATGTTCAAAGAGAAACCCCGATCGTCGGGATGGAAAATGTGACAGCGACAGAAGACCTAATCTTCAGGCACCCTCAGGCCCAGCGTCGTCTCTCGCCCTGTCCAACCTCGTTTGGCTACCTATCTCTGTCCCCTTGTCGGTATTAGATTGGCGGGCTGGGATCCTTCACCAGGGTGCGGGAGATCCCTGCACGTCCCCGAAAAGCTTAAGAACCGGGGTGAGGACTTTGATGTCACCGACGGTTGGGTTCTTGTCTGAGAGGGATCTGCCACCACGACTGCGACTCAAACTCTTGCGCGCGGCTGCAGCGGTCTGGGTTCGCAAGAGCTTGGCTCGGCCCGTCTATGGATCGCCATTCGATAATCTCCCACTGGTTCATAAAGAGCTCTGCTGCGACTTGCGGACTGGTCGAGTTCCAGGCTTTCGGCTTGCATGAGTCGCTCCCAAAATATTGGAGCAGTCGAATGCCTCTGTCCGAATGGACTGGCTTGTCGTCTCAAGTCGATTATATTTGGCGGCGCTCTGGGAGCTGCTCTTGAAGCTGCCGAACGCAGCCACCGTCATCCGAGGTACGGCTGACTCTGCATCATTCTATCCATTCGTCAAATGACGGACCCCAGCACAACAGCAAGACAGCCAAAGTCAGACCTGTCTCTCTCAGTGGTTCTCTGGGCGGTTTTGTTCTCGGATATGGTGTCTCTGACCCTCTTTACAGTCGACCGTCGCCATCATCACAGCGTCTCGGGCTTCGCGGTAGGTGAGGACCGCCGATCCGAAGTATCCAACTGACACGCCAGAGGGCTAGCCTCTGCGCAGTGGCCCATTATTGGGCTAAACCTAGCTCGAGCTCTCTCAGGGTTGGCTGTTTCCATTGCCCAATACGGTGTCCAGAACGTAGGCTACCACTCAGCGTGACCATTGTCCGGGCTGTCCGTCTCTAGAGACGGGCGTGTGTTGGGCCGAAGCCACAATGGAGCGGGTGATGGGCCATGCCGACAAATCCAGCTCTTGGAACCAGTCATTCGTCGTTCGCAAAGGGAAATCTCAATGGAGGGAGTTCGCAGTTGGGGTGGGATGCGTTGGTGGATGTCGACAGGGGCAGGAAGCTAGCTCGACCGCGCTAGCCCACAAACGGCCGAGAAGGGACCCCGCATGACGTATGGCGCGCTGTCGTTGCTGCTCACTATGACTAGCCACCAGCGCACTAGACTGCGCAGGCCGTGTCACCATCACTGACCGGCTCACCAGCCGAAGCATACCTACCTCATCGCGCGCTCGCACTGCCCACCCTCTACCACCCAAATAGATGTTTCTGGTTCAATGATATAACTCCTATTCCCTCTTTTGGAGGCCCGCCTGCGCCCTAAGATCAGGCCTGCTTTTTTCCTGCACTGCACTGCCCAGGTTCTTTGACCGTCCTAATTCCTGCATCCTCTTACGATATCCCCCGGTACAACGCTTTTCCCCCCGTGATACGAGCTCGTCGTTTCTGCAATACGGACCAGGCAACGCCAGAAATAACATTGCTTGGGGGCTCTTGTCAACCCACCCGCCCAGGCGTCCACTTGTCTCGTCCCGTGTAAGCCGAATAATCGCTGCGGCTTCCCACTTTTCACCCTCGTCACCTTGTACTGTACATCCTTGCTACCGTCATCACTCACCGTTGAAGAGGAACCCACTGCAGAGGAAAAGTGGGAAACGAAGCGTACCGATACCACCAAGCCGGCACCAGGCTGGCATATGATGCAAGCCAGCTCTAAGACAGCGAGGCAGCACCAGCAGCCAAGCATGGCGGAAACACGGTACCAGGTGCCGACAACAGGTACTGAAACATACCTCACTCCTAATACGAGCCTGTGTGCCGAAGTAAGAAAGTTTTTTGTTAATCATAACCCTCTTTTCCCTTGGATATAGCAGGCCATTCGGGAAGATTAAAGTACGCCGACCCGCGGGATCTCCCCAGCTTCCCATCCCCCGGTCTTCGATCTGACGGAGCTGCCGCCGGAGCCGCCGCATCATTGGGCTGGGCGAACCAAAAATCAATCGAGCTCTGGAAACCCGAAAAATCAAACTCTGCCTCTACAGCCGCTATGCTCGCAAAGGATTACAAGATGGCGCCCACTTGGGAACCCAACTCGAGCTCCGCCGGCGCAAAGGCTGCGCTACTGGCATCAGCGTCAGCAAGAAAACAGGCGACGACCAACACGACACCACCCCCATCTGCCCACGAATCCTGGGGGAGCAGTGCTGCCAACCAGGCCTTCAAACAAAGCCGCTCTGTTGGGCAACCCACTCACGACACCTCGGCTGCAAAGAACGGCCTTGGCTCTCTTTCAGCGGCTCAAAGTGCCATGCCGGCGACAAGCAGAACGAGGCCACGGGCCAAGTCGACGCCCGCCCCAAAGGAGACTTATCCTGGAGAGTCACGGGCTACCGCCAACGCCTTGAGTGCCGCCACAGCAGCTCATGGCCCTTCGATGAAACCAAAATCCCCGACTGACGCTGCCGGTTCTGTTCCATACACGAACTTGCCCCGCAAGATGTTCACTTCGTCTCCCGCCATCGGTCCGGAAGCAGAGGAGCAGAAGAGAGCCGATGTGCTGCATGCCTCTGCGGTGGCCATGGCCAAGAAGATGTACAGCCACCAGCAAAAGATGGTTGACCAGGCACGTCAAGCCCAGCAGGAATCGGGGGAAACCACCTCGGATGACAACCAACCGAAGCCCTATGTCAACCTACAGGAAGCAGCGTACAAGCTGGCTCAAGAACGCCTGGCGAAGCTACATGAGGAACACCAGCGTAACCGAGACTACCAGGAATACTACGGCAACAGTACACCGGCTCAACCTCAACGGAAGTTCACTATAAAGGGCAAACTGAGACGGCGGTCTTCTAGCGATGGTGCCATCAACGACGACAGGGAGCAGTCTGAGCGCATCCGAAGGCAGATGTCCATTTTCTCCTCCAGCCTGACCAAGGTTGACGAGCAAAAGCGGACCAAAGATCGCGAGGCATTGTTGGCTGCCGCACAAAGGAACGTCAGAGCCCGTCTCCAGGGCATGGATGACAAGATCTCGGCCGAGACTGGCATGGTGCCGCCGAGTTCCAAGAGTGACTGGGAGTCCAAGGCCCAGATGGCTGCGCTTGCCCGACACGAGTCGAGTAATGCGAACAGAGGCAAGATTGACATAGGTGGTGGAATGTTCATGGACCCTGCGGCCGTTGACGAGATTGCCACTAGGAGGGTGCAGCCGGTGCTTGATGAGATTAATGAGAAAGCCGCTATTGAGCGAGAGCGTCAAGAGCTCCTCAAGGCGGAGGCAGAAGCCAAGAAGAGGGACGAAGCGAAACAGAAGGAGCGCGACAGAGAGATCAAGGAGATTAACCGCCAGATCATTGGTAAGCTCTCAGTCATGATTTACGTCGTCCAAGACTAACAATTGCGTAGAGCAGGAGAAGCAGGAAGAGAAAGAGAGAAGGCACCGAGAGAAGCAAGAGCTCAAGGCCAAAAAGGAAGAAGAGAAGGCTGCAAAGGCAGGAGAGAAGCGCAAGTCTAAGGGCCTGGAGGTCCTGCCAGGCGACTCGGCCGTCGCAGGCGAACCCAGTGAAGTCTCACCGGCCAGTGATGAGCATGGTGCCTCCGCTTCGCGCCGCGCAAGCCAGCATAAGCCTACCATCAATACCCAGAGGGAAGCATCCAACAGCGAAAACCCCGGTCACCGAGCGAGAGCGGGTCACCGACGAACAAGATGAAGGAGTGGCTCAAATCACGCTTCTCGCGGCCGCGGGGTCGCTCCTCGGCGGGCGAGAACGCCGAAGAGCGCGGCTTCATTGGCGGCGTGGCGCTCACGAGGCTCGCCAACGAGAGCGCAACGAGCCTTGATGCGCGATCGGCCAGCATGAGAGAGGTCGCAATCGCTGGCAAGTCCGGAGCCGAAGCGCCCAGGTCGCCGCCGCCGGGTCATGAGGGTGATGGGAGCAGGGCTCGCGACTCGCGGGACGTGAGCCCTGTCAGCTCGGATAGTGAGTCGGAGCGGTTCGTCGAGGCGAGGGACGATCTCGAGGGACCTGTTTCGCCGCCCGTACCTATCAAAGACCCGAGCCTGCATAAGAGCAGCAGCCCGACCAGGGACTCGCGGTTCCGGGAGATCATCGAATAGGTTTTGAGGTCGTGTTCTAATACTCTGACGGATCTATGTACACGGGGGTGCTTTGGTTTCTAGTGTTCAAGATATTTCCAGTTGGCAAGCGCGTGGTGTTGGCGGGATCGGCAAGGAGCGGTATGAGGTATGAGGCATGAGTTATGTACATGCAAAACAACAATCATCTCGATAGGTCCGTATGCCTGATGGCTTTAGTACTATTCATTAAAATCTCTTAAATCCTACGACGATAGTGCCATGGCCGTCAAGCTAGACGAATGTGATACTTGTCGTGCAAATTCTACACACTACTCTCCGCAGCTACCGATGACGTTGCTGAGCCATTGGCTTTTGGTTCTGCCAGGCGCAGGTCAAAGCGGAAAGGCACGCCTGACGTAACGGTCGTGCTTCTCTACTAGTGTTGGACGTCCGCACGCATGAGGTTGGGATGGCTGGCTGCCGCCTCATCATTGAACCACGACGCACAGAGACTCCGACACGCCTGCGAACCAATTGACTTTCCGTCATTCAACAGGCCAAGTGAAGAAGACTGCAATGTAAAGGAATTATTGGTGTGTGTATATGGCGTTAATTCGTAAAATTATTAAACAAGAGTCCAAAGTCCCCCGACAGCTGGGGAGTCCCTATACGCCAAAAACGCCCGCTTCTCATGACGTCCCCATGGTATACTGATGCACTTTGTACCCAAGCCCAAGACTCATGATTCCAGTGTAAACCCCGTACCCGACCCATTACTCGCAATTCTCATCAAGCTTCATTTACTTCCTATACTCTCACGCATCATACAACAGTCGCCGCCACTAGAACTGGGGCTGGCCAGCGTGCCACTCCCGCATCCCCGGCTTCGAGAACCGATTCGCCTTGTTACGCGTCTTGGCCGCGGGCAACAGGTCGACCGTGAACGAAAAGATGTAAAACGAGAATATGAAGGCAACAGTCCACTCGAGGATGGCCGCGGCGTTGTACATCTCCCTAAAGTTGCAGACGATGAAGCCAATAGCCAGCGCGATCTCGACAATGATAAAGACAAGCTTGATCCAGAACGAGGCTGCAAGGCTATGGTGGTCGGGGTACTTGATGCCCAAGCGTTGGTACTCCCAGCATATGAAGATGGCGGACAACAGGTAGCCGCCCATGAAGAACAATAGGAACAGGAGGTGCAGGTTCTTGTGGCGGTAAGTGTCGAAGATGCTGAGGCAGATCAGCCCGACGGTGCCGACGATCGCAAAAAGGATCGTAAGGCCGTAGAGAACCTTCTCGCCGGTCGAGGTGTTGGGCACGAGGCGGCCGCGGTGACGGAGCCAGCGGTCGGAGAAGAAGGATAGGTCGAGGAAGATCGTGGTGATGACGCAGCCCGTGATGAAGAGAGGCTTGAGGTAGTAGGCGCCCACGTCGCTGATGTATGCGATGTTCTGCGGAGGAGACATGGACGGGTAGAGGACACGGTGCGTCTCAACGATCCAGTAGAGGAGCATGCCGAGGAGCATGCCGAGCCAGACGAGGCCCGATATGATGGGGAAGATCTGGACAACATGGTCAGCTGGGTGAGTGGGTGGGTGGTTCAGGAGATGGAACGTACCCAGTATGATAGTATCCTCATCTTGGCGGAGTTTGGTATGGCAATACTGTGTTCTATGCGAGGTGTAAGTCTAAGGCGCCAAGACATTCATGATATGGAAGGTAAAAGTGGTCGGTTGTTGGGGGGATGCAAAGGGGTTCTCATCCATCACAATAGCAATGAGTGAGTGCGCGTGGACGTGTAGTGGTGACGAAGTATGACGATGGAAGGAAAAGCGAACTGGATTAGTCGTCACCACTCACCAGAAATAGCGTATTTTGTTCTTTAGAAGACCGTCGTCGACCGGGAATTAGGTAGACTGTCAACAAATCTCCAAGAAGAGGGTTTGTGTTACAGGCGGCCCTAAGAAAGAAGAAACGTGCGGTTAGAATGCTTCACGCATGAGCTGATCGACTGGAGAGGCGCCGGGGGTTAATGAAGGAGTGCCTGCGCGGGAGATGCCTGCGTACGTCAAAATCGGGCGGTGCCTGATCGTCAATCCAGAAAACGAGAGAATCGACAGAAATCAGAGTGCGTGGCCCGGGGTCGCGGTCGCGGACTTAAGAAAGACATCGGGGCCCCGTCCCCGTCGCGCCCTGCTGGTGGCTAATGAGGGCCGGTCTGCGGTCGGGCGCACTCTCATCACTTTGCGTGCTACCCGTGATGGCTGTCTCCACTAGCTCCCAAGGATGAGACTATGTGTCTGAAGTCATGGACTCTGATCGGCACTTGGGAAAGGTTCCGGTTGCTCGTTCGGACCCCCTTGTCGACGGCGCGTTGTGGGGGTACCATGTCATTGGTCTTGGAGAAACCGCCGGGGGGGGATGACGTAGGGGCAAGTTTCGACGCCCCGAAGGGTAGCTTTTCGCAACTTCGCAAGCGCGAACTCGCCGTAAGTCAGGCCGGATTGAGGCCCTAAAACTGGCGCCAAGAGGAGGAAATTCCGGGGCTCTCAGGTCTTCCCAGTGTGTTTACGACTTTAGTCTCTGGCTGGATCAAGAAATATCAAGTCTACGGATCGAACGACGGGGGGGAATAATCAAGCAAGGTTTCCAATGCGCCCCTTCCCTCTTTTTGCCCTCTACCTACCTCAACCCAAGTGAAAAGCGCGGCCGAGAAGGATCAAGCCCTGAACTCATTGTGCATGCTCAGCACTCAACGTGCAGCGTTACACCTTCGGAGAAACGGGAATAACCATGTCCGCATCAACCAACACCGCGGTCGTCACCACCCCCCTCGGACCCATCCGAAGCGACGCCAGCCCGTCTGCACCGCCGCAATTTTAAAGGTGTGCTTCATCAACTCTGGCAGCAGTTCCTTCTAGTGCTTTCGGGTAGGGTTCCGTCGCAGCACATACCCTGCCAGCGCCTGCGCCCGCGCCAACATGCTCACATCAGTTCGTGATCACTATGCCGCGTAACGTAAAGGATGGCGCAGGGACCGAGGTTTGCATGCGCGTGGCCAGGTTTTCCTCATCAGTTTACATGCGGTCCAGAAGTGCCTGCGAATGGTCAGAGAGAGCAAAGTAAGTGATGTGTCGTCGTGGCGCTGTAACGCAGTAAGCATATAGGATTGATACGTTCTCCGTCTTGGCAACCACATACTAGAGCTAGCGGAGGTCTTTCCCCGGCCGGTTGTCTGTATCATCCGGACTTTGCTTTCAAAGCAACTCAATTCCACATACCTAGGTAACACAAGTTCAAGGGGTCACCGAGTTGGATGCACCCTGCAGCAAGCACAATGCACCGATGAAATCGAACCAATCAAATACCCTATACTTGAACTTCCAGAACGCCCCTTCCTGACTGTGGCTTGATCCAACCTGTGGCGCTTGTAGCCAATCAGATACCGCAGCTTTCACAAGGCTGCCTTCATCCCGCTGCCTCGTCCTCCATTAACCTCTATCCTCGCCATCGCGACCACATCCGTCTCGACCAGCCCACGATGTCGGCGTCACCCCTTGTTGTGCGAGCGACCGACGCGCTCAAACCGGCCGGCTCTCCTTTCCGCAATGTCTCCTCCGCCCAGGTCTCTTCGGGCAACGGCACCCCGCAGCCGGACAAGAAGGCAGCGCCTGTATTGACCACGGCCCCGACCCTGGACCTCGCCGAGCAGATGAACGAAGAGGAGAAGAAGAAATACGTCAAGGGTTAGTTCTATTCATTCCGATGGACTGCGTGCTACAAACTGGCATATCTAATCGAATCATCCCACAGGCAAGAAACTCGGAGAGGGTACCTACGCCATCGTCTTCCTCGGCCACCTACGCTCAAACACGTCGTCCCTCGTCGCCATCAAGAAGATCAAGGTCCAGAAGGAATACCAAGAGGGTATGGCTCCGGACGCCGTACGCGAGCTCAAGCACCTTCAGGAGCTCCAGCACCCCAACATCATCTCCCTGCTCTCCGTCTTCTCCTCAAAGGACCAGAACCTCAACCTCGTCCTCGAGTACCTGCCCCTCGGCGACCTCGAGATGCTCATCAAGGACACGGCCAGCGTCCGCTATGGCGCCGCCGACATCAAGGCCTGGATGGGAATGCTCACGCGCGCCGTCTGGTTCTGTCACGAGAACTTTGTCTTGCACCGCGATATCAAACCCAACAACTTGCTCATCGCCGCCGACGGCGAGGTGAAGCTAGCCGATTTCGGTCTCGCTAGGAGCTTTGCCGATCCGTACCAGGTTATGACAAACCAGGTCATCACTCGGTGGTACCGCCCACCCGAACTTCTCTTCGGCGCCAAGCACTACAGCGGTGCCGTCGATGTCTGGAGTGTCGGATGCGTCTTCGCCGAGCTTATCATCCGCGCTCCATACATGCCTTCGGAGACGGAGGTTCAACAGATCTCCCTCATATGCCGCGCCATCGGCACACCGACGGAGGACAACTGGCCTGGCGTGACGAAGCTGCCTGCCTACACGGTGCCGGACGACGCCGAGCCTGTCAAGGGCAGGGACTTTTACCAAGCCATGTTCGGCACGGTCGGTCCCGAGGGTGTTGACCTGCTCATGAAGACATTCATCCTCGACCCCAAGAAGCGCATCACGGCACGGGATATGCTGAAGCACAACTGGTGGCGCACCGAGCCCAAGCCCACGCGCAAGGAAGACCTCCCCAAAAAGGGCGGTGGAGAAGAGAAGATGGGTGCAGATCTCAAGCGCCGGCCCGGTGTCGTCGACGAGGACAGAGGTGCCAAGGTTGCGCGCAAGCTGGACTTTGGTCAATGATGACCTACGTTTTATCACGAATTTGATTTCACCAAAAAAGTATGTAGCATTAGAGGCGTTATGGCATACGGAGACGGATGGGTAAAGGGGGTATTTCATTTCCCGCCTAGGTGGCACAGGCTATTTACAGGCGCCTCCAGCGGCTCTGAAGAGATCTATTTTGGTACTCCAAATAAAAAGCAAAAGAACGATCATCACGGTATCGTCCAGCGTCCCTCCCCCCGCTTAGTCTTTGGTCTTTGGCTCTGGTGACTACATCAACAAACACTCCATGCCGTACATGGCCCTTTCGACGTCCTTCCTAACCTGGTACCAATCCGCGCGGCGCTGGGCAAACTCGTAGGCCTCCTCGGCGCGGAAGACGCCCTCGAAGCGGTCGCCGTCGGCGATGATGGTGGCCATCTCCTTGGCGTGGCGCGGGTCGATGAGGTAGATCTGGCTCAGCTCGCGCAGGGCCTTGAAATAGGCCAGCAGGTCCTGGTTCTTGAGGGTACGGATGTACTCAAAGTACAGGTTCATGTCGGCGATGAGCTTGATGGCGCCCTCGGTGCTGATGCGCTGGCGCTTGAGGTGCTTGCACACGGCGGTGAAGAGGCGCAGGCCGACCTCGCCGTTGAAAACATCGAGCATGGACTTGTCGGTGCTGCCGACGAGCATGCGCGTGTGCGCCGAGACGAGCTCCTTGATGCGCTGCGCCGTGGGCGTCGGGCCCGGGTCCGCGAGGATGCCGCCCGTCTCCTCGGGGTTGTAGTCGGTCGGCTTCTGCGTCGTGCCGTGGAGGTACTCGACCTCGTCCATGAGCACGTCGATGCCCTTGTTCAGCCCCGCCGCGACGCTCTCGTCGAGCATCTGCTCCCACTTCTTCTTGGCGATGCCCGCCGGGTCGAGGAAGTCGTTCTTGTCGGCGATCTTGGGCCCCGCGAGCTGCTGCTCGTAAAACACGTCAATCATCTGCGAGATGAGGTCGCCCACGTTGACGAGCTCGATAAAGGTCACGAGCGGCGCCACGCCCGACTGGTTGTGGTCGCTGACCTCGCGCGGGTTGTAGTGCGAGAGGTGCCCGACGGCCTTGTCGAAGCCGAGCTTGACATGCCTGTTGCCGAGGATGCGGAGCATCACCACGAAGATGGTCTCGCACTGCTCCCGAGCCTCCTCGCCGTACTGGCCCCCTAGCTTGATGAAGCTGGACGCCCGCGCCATGCTCGTTTTGGCGGCATGTGTTAGGTTGAGAGCCACCTCGATGCTGAACAGCGTCTTAATGCCCTCCATGCGCGACGCCATGAGCGCAGCCTTGGCCGCGAGCTCGTCCGTGGGGGCCTTTTCTGGAAGCGGGCTGAGCCGTCCGCTGCCGTCCACACCGCCGGGCGCAAGACCGGGGGTATGTGGTCTGGACGGCAGCGGCGAGGTGGCAGACGTGCCGTTTGGCGTCGTGGGTTTCGCTGCCGAGGTCCCAAACGAGGGCAGGACGGTCACTGGCATCATGACCACCTTCTTGAAGGAGCTGAGAAAGTCCTTCTTGTCCGCCTGCCTGTTGAAGTTGCTCATGTAAAACGACTCAACCGAGGCGTCCTGCTCTGAAAGCTTCTTCTCCCACTCCGCAACCTCCGACTCGGCCTGCTGTGTGAAGTAGTCAAGTTCTTCCTGCAGGTACAGGTCGAGATGCGGTTCAAACACCCTCAGCATCATCTCCTTTGCCTTCTCCTCGAGGCTCCCCTTGAAGGCTTTCGGCATCGCCAACGATTGAAAGAAGAGCATACCTTGCTCAAATACACCGGCTACAGCCTTCAGATACGAAAGTAGATTCCGATCATGCGTGGCGTCGAACAGGGGGGTGATGTAGTCCATGATGATATCCTCCCTGACCTTCTCCATCAGCTCCCAAAACACCACGTCAGGGTTGGCGAATATGCGCTCGATAATGTCCGCTTGCTCGTTCATCTTCCGCAGCAGCATTTCGAAGAACGCACGTGACGGCTCCAGGTTGACGTCGTCCGGGTTGGCCCGGTTAATGCAGTCCACCGAATTCGCCGTCAGGACGTCGCGGTCGCTGAAGATGGGGTGCTTCTGGACGAACAGCTCCGTCCCCGCGTTGCCACCGTTGAGCGCGTGCAGCACATGCGCATACCGCTTCATCCTGCCATCAACGTCCCAGACCTCGTAGCCCTGCTCAAACTCCCGAAGCACCGCGCTCTCAAAAATGCTCGTCATGGTCATTAGTCGTTCCTCTCTTTGGTTCCATCCTTGCGCCCAGTCGCTCTTTGCAAACGTCTGCAGGTTCGACATCATCCTCGCCTGGCGTTCGGGATCCCGGAACACCTGAAAAACGATGGGATCCGTGTGGCTCTTCGCCCTAGCCAGGTCAAAGTAAAAGGGCGCCAGCGCGCCGTAAATCTTCCCGTACTCCTCCCTCGCATGCCCCCTCACGCTCTTTGCGTTCTTGATCACATCCAACAATGCCTCTGGATCCTTGAACGGGTCTTTGGGTGTAGGTGCTCCGACCGTCATTCGCTCGAAGCCGTCGATGGGAGGGCCGGCAACGGACTGGCGCTTCTGGCGCTCTTCCTCGACCGTGGCATCGAACAAGGTCGTACTTGTCGGTTTCGGTGCCGCGTGGTTCGCCGCAGCGCCTGGCTGGTTATTGGCTCCGTTCGCTGCGCGTTCGGCCGCTTCTCGCCTCCTCTTCACAGCTTCTTCGAACCGACGTCTCGCCTCTTGCTCGTCCCAGCACCCCATGCTCTTCAATCGGGCCACCCATCTCGTATCATCGTATACCATCTCCTGCATTCGACGAGACGCTCGGGCAACCTGCATTAGGTCTGCTACGGGGAGGTAATCCAGGATCGCCACGAGGATTTCTGTCCATTGTCAGCTTTTTCGGCTCGTCGTCCAGTACAGAGGCAGCGAATTCTAACCAGCAGGAAGTGTTGGCCTCGAATCCAACATCTCAGTCGCTTTCAAGGCGCCGAGGATGCCGCCCCCATGAGGGGCAGTTCCTCGAGACCTATACATGTTGGCGGAAGGGGTATATCTGGTGCATCTGGGATGCAATATTTGTTATGTATAGCCTAGAGGCGGTTGACAGTCTCTCAAATCATGGTAAGACTCCCCGAATGTAACAGAAGGGTTCGGGCGGGGTTGCTACGGTCCTTGGTTGGAATGTTGTACGATCTACAGATGTACTGTTTGGCGGCTGCCTGTCAGCCTGGGGGTTCAGTTATGACTTAATTCTCTCCAACCAGGTCCCCGCAGCAGCTGTCGCCAGCTGTGGTTGAGGAAGCCCCAGAGCCCCTGGCCACTGAACCCCTGATTCCCTCAGGGGCTGGATGCCGCTTGCTCGACTTGACTCGTCTTGAGGCCTAGCCATGACACTGCAAATATATCGAAAAGGCATCTCTTTCTTGCTGCATTTTATCAAAGTCTAATGCAACAAGAATCCAATGGCCCGACCTCCAACCTGAGGGCCCGCCAAATCCTTGCTTCAATATGTCTAAACTCAAATACACGAAATCTTTATCTAGGAAAGTTACCTACGTCTCGCTGTATTCCCAAAATCGATCCTTCCAAACGCCTCATACCCTACGTTCACTCGTGGTTCTCAAGAAGTCTCGACCCAAAATACATGGCCCCTCTACGGCGAAGTACAAAACCGTCCTCATCGGCTATTCTCATCTTGTATCATTCCATCCGCGATGCTCGTTGTGATTCGCCGTGACACCTGCCCAAATAGGCACTCCCAGAGGTCTTCCGCAGCGACCGCTTCGCCTGCGTTCTTGTCTCTGCTCATCAAACGGTTCAGAAAAGCCTGCTCCAACTCGAGGGTGTTCGCAGCCTCCAGAGTAGGTTCTTGAACATCGGAGGTGAACTCCTTCGACTTTCCTTTGGAATTTTGGCCCATGTGTTCCATGCGTCGCTTGACTGACAGATTGTAGATGGACTCTTCCACTGAGCCTTCAATCAGATAAAGCCATACAGTCGTCTCATTCTTTTGGCCAATTCGGTCGACTCGAGCAATCGCTTGCAGCTCGAGCGCTGTGTTCAGCAGCGGCTCGCACAGAAAGACGTGGCTTGCGTTGACAAGGTTGAGGCCACTAGAATTGGCCCGCCCATGTAGCATGAAGCACTCGATACCTGGGTCCTCTTTGAACTTCATAATCCCATTGGGTCGGTCGATGGTGGAAAATCCAATCTTGTAGCGATCGAACGCTGCACCAAGAATTTCAAGAAAGCTCTTGTACCTGCAAACAATGTCAGTGAAGCTCTTCAGGGTACATCTGGCTTTACACACTGAGTGAAGATGATGGACTTGGCGCCAGGATCCGATTCCCTCAACCAGAGAATGTGCCGTACGAGCGTGTCGACTTTTGTTCCGAAGGACAAAGAAGCCAGTTCAATGTTGTTGATCTGAGCAAGCTTTTCGGAGCTAAAGTGAGAGTATATGCCACTGGTCTTGGCGGTCTGATTCCTGTTCACTTCGGGCGATGGGCCGGTGGCCGTATCTGCGTGCATTTTCAACTCTCTAGGCTTGAGAGTAATATCATGGAGCTCAGTAAGCCGGAGCTTCCTCTTGCACATCGGACAGTTGTGATGTGCTCGATACCATTGCTTCAAGCAATCTCTGCAGAACTCGTGGCCGCAAACCGTCAAAATACCAGTCGTGAAGTACGTCTGGCAAATGATGCACCATCGAGGCTCGTTAGACTGGCCTCCTTCGTTTTTGAGGTTAAGTACTAGAAGATCAGAGGGTTAGGAGAACCAAAAAAGCCAGGCTCTGCTACACTCACAGTATCGATGCTTCGCCTTGACCGAGTCGAGCTTGTTACGGTATCTCTCCTCACTCGCCACACAAGCTGCTACGGCCTGGTCGTCGTTCGGGCCCTCGTAGGGGGCGACACTGTCGGAAACAGCTTGCAGCTGCCGATAGTACTCGACTCTGGCGTTCATAGCACTCGTGAAACGGTCGACTTCGCGTTCTAGAGCCGTTGCAGCCTTGGTCTGGGAGGTGATATGTGCCTGAGTAGCTTTTATCTGTCGGTACACAACCTCACTCTCAGTGCTTGCCCGTCCGCCAGCACCATCTTTTGGCAATCGCGAGGCAATGGCTCGAAGATCCGCAATGACGCGTCGGAGAGAGCCATGCTTTTCTGGTAAGGGCTTTACCCCGTCCCTAAGGCGATACAGGGCAAGGAGCTTTTCTGGGGCTGGGCCGTCGCCTTCCTCAGCAGCAGCAAGAGAAACTCTCGTCTCGTGTTTGATCAGTGCATTCCCAAGGCCTGAGATGGCTTCCTGGCGATCGGCGATGGCAGCACGCAAGACTTGCACGTAGACAATGAGTTCCTCCTGGATCTTGGTGGAGTCCGTGAACTCCTCGCCTGTGATCTCGGCTTCTGCTTCTTCATCAATCAGTGCCTGGCATAGCAGCCCGATAACAGCCTCTCTCCACTCATCGATGCGGTTTGCTTGTTCATTCAAAATGCCGCAGAGCTCTTCGAGCATTTCAAGCGTTGGACCACTTTCCAGGCCTTTCATCTCAGTAAAGGTGAGTTCTGGAATCTCGACAAACGACTGGCTCTGGGCTTGTCGTCCCAGTTTGTTAATCAGTGACATTGCTCTGGCGTGGCTTTCCGAGAGGATTTCTCGCCGGATTTCTTGGGCCTTTCCGTATTCAGCATCTTCTAACTGCTGTAGCCTCTTGAACTCGTCTGAATCAGGTTCAGTCATGTCGGTATTAGACTTGATCTGGAAGAAAGCGTTGGCACAAAAAAAAGTAGCTTTGTGCAGAATCTCCAAGGCATGTCGCAGTTTCGCCCGAGCCTCGCCGATGCGAGCGTTGTTTGCCCCGTCATCCACCCCATCTTCATCAACGTCGTCCGAGGCAGAGACATCATCCTGAGTTTCCTGTGCCGGGCCAGAGGCTATGCTCTTGCGCGTGGTGGCCAGTTCTTCCAGAACCTCCTTCAACTCTTGCCGGCACTCCACTACGAGGACTGCAGCGTCATGCTTCACCCTTTCCCATATTTCGAGGGCTTCCTTCACCCTGGGGCTATTCTCAAGCATTTGGCCATGCGTGAGTCTAGCTTGCAAGTACGCCCTGTGATCTGTTCGAATATCATTGTCGCTTTGCTCGATCATTGCGTCTAGTACCTCTTCGACAGTGCGCATGGGCCCAACTTTGCGACCAGTGCCTCGTCTCTGGACGATTTCAGGGTGGAGAGCCGATTGCCTTAGTCGGTTGAGCCAAGTGCGCATCTCATTCTCGTAATCCTCAAGCATCCAATCTGGCTGCAAAGGAGCACCGAGGCTGTCCACACCGCAACGCCGAGCCATATTTTTGAACATCTCGCCATAGTATTGCTCCTCCACAGCAGTGAACGGCAAGGTTATAACGAACCGTTTTTGTGGCGGTACCGCAATTTCGTGTCTAACCAGTTGCTTGGTGTGACGCAGAGCGATACTTCCGAAGAGAGAGCGGAACAGGGTTTTGTGTGACTCTGTTAAGGCTCTCCAGATCTGTGCTGACGAGGCGTAGGGTTCGTAACGCAAGAAGTTGAGAAGACCGTACAGGTCTTTGACGTCATTCTTCACGGGTGTTCCAGTGACGCCCCAAGCATTGATGCGAGGAAGAACCCTGGCGACGGCTGCTGCGCCAGTAACTCCGCTCTCAATCATCTGGGCCTCGTCAAGGCAGATGCGCCACCACGATATCTTCGTAAGCGGCGACCCTGCACGTTCGTACTTCCTCTCTTGACGCCGAGATCTTTCAGGAGGCTTCATCGCAAAGTGAACCTCTGCCGATAGGGTCGGGTAAGTCGTTATGACAACGTCCTGGTATGCTAAATCTGCTCGAAGCTCCTCCTCGGTATCGAACTTGACATTCTTGCGCCCGGGGTAGTATTTGACATTCAGATGGGGTGCATGGCGTCCAAGTTCTTCGATCCATTGCTGTCTCAGCGAATCTGGCGTGACGATTAGGGTAGCACCAGTCGTCAGGAGCTCCTCGCCTTCTCTTGTATGCACAACGTTTTTTGTGGGCGGTCGACGATGGAGCGCAATGAGGCCAATGACTTCAAGCGTCTTGCCGAGACCCATCTCTTCGGCTAGAATGCCACCTCTGACGGACTGCTCAGCATGCTGGAAAGGCGCGAGATCGGTAGTGATGACGTGATACAAATGGCTGACGTAGAAAGGTCTTCCGGTTCCCAGTTCATCCCGGATCTTGCGGAAGCTGTGGGCTCCATCGACATCCCGAGGAGCTGGCAAGTCTTGAATAGAAGGGACAGAATCACTGTTGGATTCATTCCAACGCACGCCCTCTCGCTTGAGAAGCCATTGAACAGTCTTCTTCTGGTAAGGATAAAGAGATGCAGTCAACTCTGGCACCTCGATCGATAGCGCCGTCTTGTCGTCGGCGGCAGGGACATGAGCTGCCTCGTAAAAGTCCAATGGAGACCAGCTTTCTTGCACTGAGTGTGTGGCAGATGAGGAAGTGTTATCAGGTAAGAAGATGTCAAGAATCCGCTGGCTCAACTTGCGCTCGCTTGACGACCGCAACCAGCTGTAGGGTGTCTTTGTCTCGTTCCAATAAAGGTTGAAGCAGAATGCCACCCTGAGATATTCTCCTTGAGTGTTCAAAGTGGCGTCAAGGGAAACCCAAATCTCACCTTCTCTGACGGGCTTGATCCAGTGCTTTGCGAAAACATCCAGGCATGCTGCTAGACGGTCGGTGATGACGTTGGAGTGAATCGTGACTGAAGTGTTGATAGAGAGGGCATCAGTTCGAGGCCGGGCGGAAATTCTCAGCTCCTTAGACCGGTTCACCCATATACGCAGATAAGACCCAATATTGCGGTGGCAAACCCAATACGTATCATCAACCAGTGCTTCCTTTGGACACTTCCGCACAAGTTCCAGTTCTTCTTTCGCCACAAGAAATGCCTCGGTCTCTTCACCAGATCGTTTGACTCGCTTAGGAGGCGGCTCTGCCGCATCTTTGCCCAGAGTCTGTTCTTCGCTATCGGTTGGGAGGATGTGCAGTTGGTTGACAAACTCAACAGGCCATGGTTCTAAGATAGTCAGAATTTGTGCTTTTTCCAAGCCGAACTAAACAAACCATGGAAAGCAATCGCGGGAGCTTCTGCGACCGGCTTGCTGCGGCGTGCCGTTGCCTTTGAGCGACCCATGGTGGATCACTCTTGTGCAAGCAGTCTCAACGGCTTGAACAGACCTCAAGAGTGTATTAGTAGCATTTCTTGACTTTGTTCATGGTTTCAAAGGCGGTTATACGGCTTCAAGGCGGTAGGCGAAGAAAAAAAGACAATTCCTCGGGATCCCTCTGCAAGAAGCGCTGCTAGAGAAGTATGGGCAGTCTGCGATTTGCGCAAAGGACCGGGAGGGAAGGAAGAAAGCTTCCCGCGGTAGCTTAATCGATAAGCAGGCAGTAAGAGGCAAAGTCGCGTCGCATTTGCTTGCAGGGTCGCCTAATTATTAGCGCGACAGATGGCGGGGCACTGCTAGTTTAGCGGAGGCACCCCTGGCAGAATAACCACTGGCGAACCATGACAGCGAGGATGACAAGCCATATCTATTCAGGAAGGCGGTGAAGCGATGAAGCTCGGACCATTGCCATCGGTTCATGTCGACCTGCTTACCTAAGGCAGAATTATCCCGATCCTTAGCGTCTGTCGGAACAAAAATTGGGAGAACGGCCAGTTGAGCAACATCGCGAGACCAATTGAGTTTGACGACAACCCACGCGCAAGCTCGAAAACGGCCGTCCACCTGGCTTGAGAAGCTCGCATGTCAATTCAGTATGTGATCGACATTCATAACTGGCCCTGGCTCTGCCAATTGAAGCTGACCCTTTACCTCCAGGTCAAGATGAGAGCACCACGGATCCAGCAGTTTCTGAGCCCCTTCCTCCGCAAGGCTCCCGTCGCGCCGAATTGCCAGGCCAGATGGCTTCATAAGACACGAGAGATCCCTGCGGTCCCGTCGCCGATACCCCTCGTCCCCGATGTTCCGACTCTGCTCAAGGTCCTCGGCCGCGGCCTGAGCCAGCATGTCGACAAGTTCCCCTCGTGGGAGGCTCTTTTCACCCTGTCGTCGACACAACTCAGAGAGCTTGGCCTCGAACCGCCACGGACGCGACGATACCTCCTCACGTGGCTCGACAGATACAGAAAAGGCGCGTTCGGCGCTGGTGGCGACTTCAAGCACGTCGAGAACGGCGAGGCCTACCTCAAGGTTGTCCGCGACCCCGTGACGGACAAGAAGCTGGTTGTCAACGTCCCGGCCGATGCGGACCTGAAGGACACCCCCGTTGACAAGCTGACGAAGCCGACGGGATATACGGTGCGGGGCTCTCACACGATCTCCGGTCCCCACGCCCTGCCCCTGAAAGCCGGAGAGGGCGCGCGCGTGGTCGTGGCCGAGGGCATGTGGGAGCACAAGCAGGGACACAAGGTCGACGGAGGTGAACGCAGAAGGGCGGAGGTTCGCTTCAGGAAGCGCATTGCTGCGCGCAGGGCCGAGAGGGAGGCCCAGGGTCTACGATAAACGGATGGGGTGTTTTTTTGCGCGACTACACCATTTCCAGCCTCACACCACTTGACACCACCAACTGTACTATACTCATAGATCTTGTACGATACGAGGTTTGAAAATGGATAGCGATCCTCGATTGCTTGGGTCTATATTACTGAAGGTCTCGAGCTCTTCAGCGTAGAGATTCTATCATTAGCGCGGGGCATCGTGTGACTGGTGCTCCGAATAGCTGCTCTCCTCGCGGGCTGAACGATGGGCGCTTGCCGTCCTATTGGTGTTAATGTCTCTACTTTTGCCTTGGTTGCTTGCACGCTAGTACCGAGTCTGCCTCGTATTCTCAAGAGTCCAAGTCCCATGAATTGTTCCGTACAGGGTATGAGCAGGGAGAGTGCTTCGATCGAGTATCTAGATGCACATGGCAGTCGAACAATTGCTGAAAGCCGTGGCAGAAAAAGCTATCGTGCAACTGCGTCCCTGCCTCGTATGTGACCAGCCAAGGCAGCAAGAAGTGCATCACTGCCACGGGGATGCCGCTGTCGAGCTGGTGCATTATTCATGGCACTCGACCTTGGGTGCAACCTACACGAGCAAGACGGTAGCCCCCCTTGATTGCGTACGGTGCTATGAGGGTCAGCCCTAATGCGCTGCTTGATGGGCAGGGCGACGTGTAGGGAGCCGAGGCCAACTGGCCAAATTTAGGCAAAGAATAACAACCAGCGCAGCCTGTTAACCTTGTTTGGTTTCTTTAATCGAGTGGAAGATAAGAGTCGGCGTAATGTTTGAGTTGCTTACTCTTGGCTGTGGTTACAAAGATGACGCTCAACCCACGCTCTGAGGCATTGCCGAGGTCCTCCCAGTGGACCTGTTTCATACTCAAGAAAACAGTATAGCAGGGAAATGGGAATAACTATTGCAAGCAAGGCGTTTTCATCTGGAGTAGTTGTTGTGCAATTCTATCATTGTGCGTTTGTTGAGCCTGCGAGATGTTATACTGAAAGTCTTCTATTGCATAGTTCTTGGTGTTCCTAACCTCTAATAACGATAAGTGATTGGCTTTTAGTTTCTGGGCTGATGATCTTACCATGAAATGAGCAAAGACAGTCTTTACATCCACTTTCATATTGTAAGCTAGAAGAACCTATAGGGCCAAAGAAATAGTGGTAATCTTCCTAGATGCCGCGGCCATATTGAAGAAAAGCTGAAAAATATAGAAAGTCTTTCAGATAGGATTAAGTAATTTGATATTCAAGAGAGTGTTAATGTGTCCAGTACAGGATCGTGAGGAATATGGCTAATGGTTGGGCGAGCGAACGGTGTAGTCACCAAAGCGCATAAAAGAAATGATAAGGCTGTTTATGAGGCTTGAGGAGTAGCTAGGAATTATATTAAAGGCTGGGACAAGAAGACATTTCCAGTCTTTTCAGTTTGTCTTATTTGCGCTTCCTGTAAATAGAATCTTATGCGTATCGACATAGCCTTTAAGAATTTTTGTAACAGACGGGCTGACAGTGACCACGCCTGAAAATAACCCGTTGAGCCACATGCCCAAAAGGTCTGCTAGTGCTTGCACGCTTGCAAGCCCTGCTGTCAACATTGCTTATATGGGCAGGAGGTTCACACCTTCCTAGGCGCATCTGACCCGGCAGAATTGTCCCTGTGACACAGAGCGTAGCATAATTGCTGTTACAGACCTACACATAGGTCTAGAGCCTACTCGATTATCAGACCTAGTAAGTCCCTAGAAACGCAAAGCACCCTCCTCTTCTTATGAACCTTATTATTCCTGTGACTAGTCTGTTTACTTTGTATAAATGTGCTGCTAATATCGTGGTCCACAGGAAGCACCAGATGAAGAAGCCTGGCGTAGGTTCCAGACTTACACCTTTTACGAATTCTTCTCTATGGCAAAGGAAATATTCAAAAAATTGAAATGGCTAGTAGAATCTATGTCTACGCTTAGACGCAGTATAGACTTAATAGTTCTTCTATGCTAAATCATGACAACAACATAGATTGCTGTGGATAGAAAACACGTACTCTGCCCTACCCCAGATACGCCTGAGGCGCAGATATACCGGGAAGAGGGCGTCTTTACGGAACGGTACGATAGGGAGAGGTGCATGGACAGGCTAGATGAGTATCGGGAGCGAAAGTATCGGGGAATCCGGGAGGCTCAAGGGCACGAGTAGTCGCGAATGGCCCACGATAACTACATTGGCAGTCTGCAGCCAGCGTTTACTAACAAGCAACTATGAGTATCAACGGCGTGCGCTAGAAAAGGGACTTTTCATGGCTGTGAATCCCTTCGGACCGTTCCTACGAGGCGGTCGAGGGACCCATATGGATACGAACACACTGCTTTGACGGTTGGGTCTAAGCAGAGTTCCCTGTAGAGATAAGCACGCAAACACCCCATCTACAGTTCAGCCTGTGGCATCATCTTGTTGCGCGGCTACCAACTCCGTGTGCCTGTATAAATTTAAAGAACAAATCAGCATCGCCAACCATCTCGTAAGTCGTTTATGCCTTGTAAAGACCAAGGAGGGATGTCGTTCGCTCGTCTCACAAGAGCCAGCACATAAGCTGCCCAGGCAAGGCAGATTTAGCCCAGATAACCTCCAAAATCCTTTGAGGACATTGTCAGCGTGAGGCTGCAAGTAGTCAGCATACACGTTCTCCCTTACATATCCAAGTCACGTTGAGGTAATCTGAACGCCACCAAGACACAGGCACCCATGGGGGACAGCATCGAGTCGAGCAAGTGTAGCCGCGAGACCATAAACGCAGACACATGAATAGAGTCGCGTAGAAACATTGCAGGGAAAGATTCAAATTTAAAAATATCAACATGCGCCTCGAACCGACCTTGACATGGAAGCACCGAATGCTCTTGTCGGTTGGATTGACACGCCTTTTCCGCAGTTATAAGCTATGAGCGGGAGAGTCTCAGCTAGCAGGCCCCGCTACCACCGGTGTACGATTCTGGAATGGCGGTGTGCAAAATCTGCCTAACTACGGGACATCACCCGCCTCCAAGATGTCCTAGTAAAGCAGACGTGCGGCGTAGCAGCCGGGAGTGTGAGGTGCTTAGTGTGGGATAAGTGTCTGGTTGATAGGCTGAAAGCCGGAATCGCGGGCCTGAGCCGACACGCTGCAAGTAGGGTTCTCAGGTGTAACAGGCGCAGATGGAAGGGGGTCATTTGTTTCTTTAACAAGGGCATGTTTTCTTGCTTCGGCATGCAGCTGACTGCGCTACGGCGTGTAAGAACCACGAATTAGGGTGCAGGTTGAATCGAAAGGGAACGTTGACCGACGCCAAATCCGTCGAATTTTAGACTCCAACGGCCCAGTGGATGAACTTACCCCACACCGACCCTCCTTAAATTGACAACGCTAGCCAATGAGAGGCACCGTTGTCTGTTAAGCTTCCGCTGATAACCCACGCCAACCCGGGATCCACACCAGCTCTTCGGTCTCAGTTCTGGACGCACCTCGTCTACGTCTTGTGGATACACACTTCCTCCTCTCGTCCTCCAACCTCTGATCGCTTTGCCGTGCGAGGAGTCCATGCTAAGCGACCAACACTAACCACGACCACTCGAGGCTTGGAAACTTGCCGCAGAAAAAGTCGCCGTAAATGGCCTAGCACCAACACTGCACTAATGATGTGGTCAGTTGCACTACCTTCGCCAGTAGGTAGTCGTCACCTTTCAAGGGTGGTATGGGCGTGTGAATGTGCCTGCAGCCCCCCAGCGGGTACGGTACCCGCTCGAAGTACCTTAATGAATGCTTCGATGAGCACCTGGACCTAGGCCTTCGATTGTCACTGCATGGTGTCACACCAGGCACTCGTCGAACTCCAGGCAGAAATTCTCCGGTGAGTTCTCGACCATGGTTGGCACACGTAGCTGACAGCATTCTCGATGTGAAGCAAGTCAGAAACGTTGCACACTTTGCAAATAACCCTTCTTGGGGCATGAGGGTGCCTGTCATATTTGAGATCACTCGTATACGTCGTAACGGTCGTTGTGACCAAGTCTCCATCGCCAGTAGCTTCTTTCTGAAGTGATCCCAATACAAGCCTCACAGGCAGACGCCACATATCGAGCTGTATACTCCTGACTAAAATTCTAGAGGTACAGAACTCAATTAAGAATGCGTGGTGACATGACTTAACTCCGCCAACACTCTGGCAAGGATTCACCGAGGCCATCGAACTACAGCCTAATTGCCCAGCAGTGACTTGTCGTCGATGCATTCCTCAGACAACAGGCTTCCAAGCTCTGCTACGGTTACACGCCCTTTCAAAACTGAACGTCGGTTGTAGATACCATGTTGGTGTTGTTGGCGCCTTCCAATACCGTGAGCTCTTGTGGAAACAGTTCCGTGCAACCTATACACAGCCGTCCGCTCCCACAGAGCAAGGTTTTGCACATCTATGATCCCCTACCTGTGCGGCTTATCGCGACATACGCGCAACTTGGTGGATGATTTGCCTAAAGAAAGTGCAAGTTACGGCATCGCCCGCAGTCATCAATCGTTTCTCCAGAGAGCAAACATTTGCCATCCAGTGCTTGACAAGGAGGCATGCCAGCGATCACACAAGAACCAGCACCTTGCGGACAAGTACTAAGCTTCCGCCAACCCTCGATAAGTCCGTGTGCGGATACGTTGGGCTTCCGCAAGGCCAGGTTTAATTCCAGCCAACAGTCAAGTCCCTCGAGTTGCGAAAAGGCCACAAGGGCTATAGCTGAACTGACGACTACCGACTATCCTGTACTTCGTGAAGGCCCATCGAAGCGGCATTCTGGTCCACTATTTGAAGAGAGTACAAGCCCAGCACCGGCTGCGTCATGACCGCCCAACACGAGGTTGATGCAGAACAACTTGTCTTCGTCGATTGTTCACTTAACCTCAGACTCTCAGCGATGCAATGTGACGACTATGTTAGTATGTATGCCAACCGGTGCATTGCGGGCTGTGGGTATCGTTCTACGATCGAACAAAGATCCGGCGGAGCAAGGAAGAAAAGACTATGGACATTACAAGGTCTCTGTAATTCATCTCAGGGGTGGTGTATGTTGAAGTGCACCTTGCAGTGTCTACCATCATCATCATCATCATCTCCAGTGGGTTGGTTGGAGGTCATCTGACGGCATTCCGAGACTCGGATAACAAACGAAACCTGTCTATGGCCGCCAAATCGTTATATGTTGGATCGGGCACAAACACGAACTCATCAGATTAACCAATGTCAATAAGCGGTAAATGAGGCCTGTTTTAGGTTCTAGCATTTAGGTCAACCCCACGGGCCAAGGTAGATGCAGGCCAGCGCCAATTTCGATACTGCATCCTTCGATGCAAGCGACGTTTCGTCTCCCCAAGAACACCCGACGCCTGTAAACCATCCGCTGCGTAGCATCCTAGGCACTTGTGGTCAAGTGGCACCTGACGTTCAAGACGAAAAAGAATGGCAATGAGATCCGATTGATCAATTCATCAATTGAGTTGTTTTCAATTTTTGACGGTCACGCGCTCTCTAAAAGGAAGGCACGGCACGGTTTAAAGCCGGAATCCGGGCCCAACCGACTGTTTTTCGTGCGGTCCGCTACGGCAGGCCATCCGGAGGGAGACGGGTTCGCGAATGAGGAAACCTCCAGGGTCTGTCAATAAGCTTAATCCTCTCACCGTCCCGTAGGCTCGGGAGATTTCGCAGGTTTTTCTCTCTCTCTCTCTCTCTCTCTCTCTTCGTCTCTTCGACTCTTCTCCTTGGCCATTGGAGCCAATTTGGATTGTGGAAGGATTGGGGACGTTACGTACCTGTTACATGACATACCCGGCCCAGAAACCGAAAAGGGACTTTTGGTCGTTGGCCCAAACCCTGAGCGGGTGCTGTGAGTCACTGAGGCCCGCATGCCGGGCAGCCTCCATCAGACGCAGGAGATACACGCCATGCCGTTTCGTAATCCTCCACGTACCTTCTGTGTTCCCTGGCCGACACGACGTCAAGCTCCACGGGGGACGGCAGAGCAGTCGCTTTCCCACGCAGGATTGAGCTACGACTCATCGGTCATATGCCTTCCCCCCTCTCCTCCATGGCCCATCGACCAGATCTCTTCGAAAAGGGTACCGAGCAGGCCAGCATCACTATGGATTGGAGCCCAGGTGGCGTGCGGCGGCGTCTGCGCATCCGGTCGCTGCAGCCGTTCTCAACGAATGAGGTGGGCAGACGTGATGCACGAGAGACGTCCCGATGCAGCATGAATGGGTGCGATAGTTACCGGGCTCTAGGTTCTGTCCTGCGACCTTTTTTAATTTTTTTTTTTAATTTTTTTTTCCTTTCCAATCGATCAACGTGCCGTGCACAGGTCAATAGGCAGAAAAGACAACCCGGTGAACCAATCTGTACGCGGCATGCACGTCAAACCCCCTCCCTGGCTCACCCACGTCAGGCACAACGTCGCTGGTCAGTCATTGGGCGCGTCCCAAACCGACCTGGGGCTGAAGGCAAAAAAAAAAAGGTCTCAACTCTGTGCCACCCATGTTTTTTCGTCCCAGCTTGCTTGTTGCGCAGAACTGGTCCTAGTGGGAAGTCTGTCAGATTCTTCTTCGTCTCTCCTTGAGGTACCTCGTCGAGTGGAGGTTGGTGCAAGAGTGATCACCCGTTTACCCATTGCCAATGTACACATTTGGCACATGCATAGCGTCCGCCTACGCATGTCCTTACGTACCAACTTCACGAAGCTCTCCGGCAATACGTAGGTCCAAGGACGAAAGCTCTTCGCAATCCTCTAGTCTGACCGGGAGCTCTACCCGCTCATGGACCCCATCCATTTTCTCACTCCCCTAGCCCCCAAGCCAGTACGGGCGCTTCCTCGCAGAGCTTGCGGGTCTCGTCGCGTCTGCCCTGTGGTCACCCGCCGCCGAGCACGGTCAGTCGCTACCAGATCAATGGCACACTCCCGTCTCGCACTCCCCGAACGCTGACGCGCGGAAGGTCATTGCGACCTCCCTTCGACGTCGAGCATCTCTGGCCCTACTGGCCCATCGTATTTCGTTTACCTTCCCGGACGCGGACGGCCGTCACATGGAACCCCTGCCCTGTCCCGGCCAAGGCAGCTCCAAGTGGCCGCGTCCTGGGATGTTTGTCCCGCATCTTAATCGTTGCCGGGAACCACACACCCCTCGCCCATCCCTCACCGACGCGGCGCCCCGTTGCTGTGCCCTGGGCAACCCCATTCCGTCGAGTGCGGGTGTCTTGCGTTTCCTACTGCCATCTCGATTGTTGCTGTCGTCTACCTAGTGTACTCAGCTCTCGTCACCCCCCCTTGTCAACTCTACATCTCACATCTCCTCGTAACCACACCCCCACACCCTACCACAACCCCATCCTGCTTAACCCGGCTTCGTGGACTCCACGACTACTCTTGCCCCGATTGCCAGCCCCTTGATGGCCTACGGCTCTGGTGAACTCCTGGTCTGTACCTGAGGGGGGTCTCTTGCTCCGACCTGGTTTACTCGATATCTTGTCGTGTTGTGCATATTTCATGGTGGTAGTTGCATGCTTCTGCGTCACCACGCGGGGCCAACGGGCAACTGACCGCGCCTGCGTCGCTTCGAGTCTGCCCTGCCCGTTACATGAGGCTGTCTAGGATCGGGCGCCATGGGTCAATGTTTCCGGCATTGTGTAAGTGCCAGTCCTCTAGACATGTCTTCCCAGTAGCAGCCTGGATATTCCGGGTTTCGATATAAAGTGAGGCTTGTCCCTAGCTTGGTGGCAGCTGGACCATGTCAGTATAGACAAGCCAAAACATCATTATACCTCGTCCGCACAATCGTCATTCCAATTAGCTCTTATTTCCCATCTTACGTCTCTTCTTCCTATAGACGTCCTATTAGACAAGGTTAACCAGGCCTAAATCCACTTCCCATTCAAAATTCTCGGTGATATTAGCGGCTAGCGTTGAGTTGTAAGTGCGCCGCTGCTCCGCTCTCTCGAAAGTGCCTCTAACAATCTAGGCTCCTTCAACCTCATGTCTGGAACCGAGTGGTTCAACAACCAAAAGTCTGCCTCACGAAAGTCAAACGACGCCAGTGTTGTCAAGTACTCTTCTGGCAACAGCCAACCAGTCCCGCATCCTTCAAGAGCACGCGAGCATCGTGGTTGAGCTCCGCAACGTGACTGGCAATGTCTTCCAAGGCTTCAAAGCCGTCAGAGTCCAGCTCCAAGAAACAGCACTCCTCGAAATCCAAGGCCAAGGCCAAGACCGACGATTGGGCCGAAATCACGGACCCCGAGGAGCGTCGGCGCATTCAAAACCGCCTGGCCCAACGAAAGTTTAGTACGTTGCCAGAACTGAACCCCAATCCTGACTTCCGGAATTTGCTGACCGACCACACCAGGGAAGAAGAACCAAGACAGCAAGGAAAAGGCCGTCCGCGACGCACACAACGAGGCCAACGCCCACAACACTTACACCGTTGCCTCGCCCTCCACTACGGCGGCGGAGGAAGAAGAGTCCGGCCTGCCGTGGGGAAGCATCAACTTGAATCACGTCATTACCAGAGGCCACGAGCACGAGAGCCGCCGCGGCAGCGGCCGCGACGAGTACGTCCGGGAAGAGCCATATTACACAAACGGCTACGCCTCCAATTACGCGGGAGGGTATCGACAGCCCGCGAGCTACGGTAGCAGTGGGGGAGAGGACTATTACTACGGGGGCGAGTCGCCCTTATTCTACGACTATGACCAGAGCGGTGACGCGAGCCAGGGGCATATCCGACAGTAGGGCACCCCCAGAACGAGATGGCGCACCTAACTAACAGAACATACAGGAGTTAAATCGAGACCTGGTGTACTTGACAACCGTAGGCACTCTGTTTGGGGGCACCGGTGCACTGGTCAGACTTGAGCATGGTTGATTCGCACCGAATACGGGCGCCATGCGAAGCGTTTTCTTATCTCGTTCAGGGCTTGGATCCCGTCGTTTCTCTCCCTCCTTCACTTCTGTACCACCATCTCTTCTCACATTTTCCCTCATACCCTTCTGGACCTGGGCGTTGGGAATAGAACTCAAGGAAAAGCATACGGTGGATTGGCTTTATGGAGTTCTGCAAAGGGACGCCCAACGATTTTATGACGGCATGATAGTAAAGATTACACATGATAATATTTGATGCTCAAAAGAGACTACTATAATTTATTCTCCACATTTGCCGTCTTGTTCCTGTCCATGGATGCTCTTTGGCCTCACTTCGAGGCCATCACAACCCCTGAATCCTGGCACCGGGAAAGGAGCGCAGTTGATCCAGGCATGTATTTGTCGCTAACGCTCAGCTGGTTAAGCGAGGTGAGGGGAAGCCTCGCTGTTCCTACTTGACACCCCTTCTACGGTTGAAACCTGCGATCTAGTGATCTGGCTAAAAGGGATGCAAGAGCAGGGCCTAGGTAAGGCACAGCGATCGGAGTGTACTGTTCTTGGTTAGGGCCCCGGCGTCAAACCATAAGTCGGTACCGAAATCCTCATAGTGTTTCGTCTAAGCGTGGTGTGTGCCTTTGCCTCTTTCATAGGAATCATGCCAAGCTCTCGACCGAGTACTGTACCTGGCGAAGCCTGGCAGCGTGCTACCCTCACGCACCCTGACCGCCTCTAGGTAAATCTGTCGTCTGAACCCAACTGGCGATGCGCGAGAGGATCCCAGCTCGGAGCTATGTGACCGTACATCCATAAATAAACCCCTTGATGCATGGCGGCGCCCTAGACAACAACGTCGACGCACAACGTTTCCCGGCCCAAGCCTGCCTACTGGCTCGTTGATCTCGTGTAAGTCGCGCGTGTGACGTGACGATAAGGCGTGGTACGCGCCTATTCAGCCACTGTGTCCCGCCCCAGGCTGCCTTGGCTGAGGGTGTGTTAGCCTGACCGTCTTAGGAGGCGTTGGGCTAGAGCTGCGGGAGTGAGACCTGTGACATATTGTTCATTTTGAGGCCCGGGTACATGGACCGAAAGCGCTGCCCCCGTTATGAGAGGGCCATACCGGAGATAGAGTATCAAAGTGATGAGTTGATGGCCGCAAATAACATGAAGGAGCAATCTTAGCGAGTCTGGAATCACGAATTGGGCGTTCTTGGTTACGCCAGCTTTGGAGATGGTAGGCAAGAGTTCAGACGGAAGGGAAAAGAGGGGCCGCAGTTCAGCCCTGTCCCGTCCTGTCGGATAAGGAAGGTCAAAGCTTCCAGGGACCTCGGTACGTACCGTTCAATGCCGGACCGCCGCACAGACCAGATACCCCACACTGCAAGGGTTGAGCAGTGATGGGCGTGTTCACCGCCCGGCAGAAAGAGCCCCTTCCCAGATTTTTTTTGGTTTCTTGATCCCCACTGGACGATCAGGGCCCGGCAGAAACAGAAACAGAAATCCAACTACCTGCCAAATCTCCTGCTACGCCTGCTTCCGACCACAATCACTCGAGAGCCCCAGGACACTTGCTACGAGACCAGTTGGTTCGAGATGGCGCCAGGCGGAGACCAGAAGCCCCTCGACCACGAGGAAGGCAAGGGTAAGAGCCGAGTCCGAACCCATGCGCCTTTGCGCGCCGGCACCCATCGACCTCGTTGTTCTGACTGACCAATCCGTCCTTAGAGAAGCGCCAGGCCGCCAAGAAGGATAAGAAGAAGCTCAAGACCCAGGCCAAGCGTGACAGCAAGGCCAGCGCCTCCCGCGCGGCGCAATGGACGGATCCGGCGCACAAGGAGGTGGAGCGCAACGGCAGAAAGGACGAGAAGCGGTTCCAGCGCATGCTCAAGCGCGCCGACAAGCTCGAAGAGCAGGCCAAGAAGCTCATGGCTGAGGCGGCGCGCGCGCGTGCGAAGCATGCGGCCATGGCCGAGCAGAGGGCGGTGAGTTTATTTGAGACCACGACGGGGGATCCAGAGGCAATGGCTGATTTAGGCGGGCTACAGAAGAATGCTGCCGAAGAGAAGAAGTCTGAAACCAAGAAGGAGGCCCTCAAGACCCACGACGACGAGAGCGACTCCGACTCGGATACCTCCTCCGACTCATCCTCATCATCATCATCGTCCGACTCAGACTCGGAGTCAGAGGCGGAGGCCGAGCAGGGCGGCGCGCCCATCGAGGACGAGGATGTCGACATGAAGTCCGAGTCACCAAACCCCAGCGCGCAGCTCCGCGCCGAGAGCGAGGCCAGAGCGGCGAGCTACGAGCAGCAGAAGGAAGTTGACGAGGAGGAGAAGCCCAAGAAGTCTAAGAAGAGCAAGAAGCACGAGGACAAGGTCGAGGAGGCGACGCCCGCCAAGAAGGAGAAGAAGAATAAGAAGAAGTCCAAGGTCGAGGAGCCCGCTGCAGTCGAGGATGTCGCCCAGACCGAAGAGACGCCTGCGAAGAAGGAAAAGAAGGACAAGAAGAAGAGCAAGAAGAACAAGGCACCGGAGCAGGTCGAAGAGGAGGCGCAGTCCACCAAGAAGTCTGATAAGAAGCGCAAGCGCTCAACAGAGGACGACGACGAGTCCGACGGTGGGGCTGCGATCGCCGACGAGACCCCAGTAAGAAGGCCAAGGACGAGAAGAAGAAGAAGCAGAAGAAGGAGGAGACGGAGAAAACCCCCGCCGTCGACGCCGCAGCAGAGCAGTGGGACGTCGAGCACCTCCAGGGTGGTGCGGACCGCCAGCAGAAGTTTATGCGCCTCCTCGGCGGCGGTAAGAAGGCTGCCGCTGCGGCGGGCGCCCAGACAACCGGCTCCAAGGGCAAGCGCGACATTGGCAAGATCACGCAGGAGCTCGAGAAGCAATTCCAGGCCGGCGTGCAAATGAAGTACGAGGGCGGTGGCCAGCGTCGCGGTCTCGGCGCGTAGGATGGTGCTACTTTCGAGACGGAGAGAAGAAGCCGAAGACGGAGCCGGCTATGAATATGTACAAGGGCTCCTTGTTGTAACTTTCATCCACGCTATTTTTTTACGGCAGCTCTGGCGTTCACGAGGGCCAATAAGGGGAGTCACAAGCCAGAGGAAAGGATCCGAAAAGTATTGCTTTGTAGAATGAGAACAAGAAAAAAAAAACCCTTGGAATGCTTTTGAGCTGTTGACTGTAAGTCAAGCTATTTGCGAATAGAGAAAGAAAATGTAATACAATACGCCGACATATGGGGGGTGTCTTTTGCTTTCCCTGAAACAAGAGACACGCGCGGTATTATTTTGTACAGACATGTCTCTGAACTCAGCTTCAAGAGGCCGAGATCTTGGGTGTTGACGGCTGAGATTCGTGTGCCTGAAAGAACCTCCCTTTCCTCCCTCGGGGCGAAGTGAGTTGCGTTTTGTTTGTCCGCAAGCTCCTCCTCCCGACCCCGAGACCCTCCTACGCCAGGATGGGAGTAGGAAGCCCGGCTGCTTGCTGAGCAAGGGCACAAGGCCCCCTTCAGAGATGGAGTCCGCTCTTGTCCCCTGACCCCATGTTCATCCCCTGGATGACCTTTTATGACCGAGTACCAAGTAAGGGCGGATCAATTTAGAAGCCGAACATGCGGGAGAGGACCTCGAAGACGATACCGCCAAAGACGACGAAGGCGAGGAGAGCTGCAGACGAAAGACGTGTTAGCTGTGCTCTCGAGGGCCACGATTGACAAGTCTCAAGGGATTGGCGCGGCGGGAAAAGGGAGCCGAGATGGACTGCGGGACCAGGGGGCTTGGAAAAGGGGAGAGAGCTGCTCACCAAGCCAGATGGGAGAGATGGGCGACTTGACTTTCGCCTCCTTGGTGCGCTTCTTGATCTGATCCTCGGACTTGCCCATGCGGGACTCGTTATCCTTGGCGAACTTTGCGTTTGCACGTCTCTGTTGGGGTGTTTGCGCCTAGAGACAAGAGCGTTAGTACTGCGACAAGAACCCTTCTGTGCAGTCGTAGAACCAATCGAGGACGGAGGAGCATAAAGGGCACAGAAGAACAGAGCCTTGTGGAGCGATCTGCGTACCATTGTGAAAATGTGTGGATTTGTGATGGGGGTTTCGGCGGGAGGTGGTGGGAAAGTGGTGATCTGGTCCTTCTGAATGCGACTCTGTGGATGCTCGAGATTTTTGTCTGCTCGGTGACAAAAACGCCCTTGTTATATATTGCGCGGGAAGAAAGTAAACGTGGTGTTTGGTGGTCGTTGTGAGTGAGTGAGGGTAAGGTTGTCGAAAAGGTGTCGAGAGAAGAAGAGGGAAGCCGATTGAAGGGACAGATTGCGCGAGGGAGCTTTGGCTAAGAGCGGTTGAAGCTAATTACCACGAGGGTAGGTCGGTAAGGCAGTGTGGTAAGGTAGGTACTTCTAAGCGCTCCGCTACCCGGGCCGCCCTGGCGTTTGGTGACGGGAATTGACCCTTTCGCCCTTCCCAGGTCCTCCTCCCCAAAGTGGCGCCTCCACCAGGAGGTACATCCATTCGTGCCTAGGGTCGGTCGTTCGGGACATGTGTCGTCAAATGGGAATTACGGGGGCATGTAACCTGCTCGGCGCCAGGGGGGACACGCGCCGTGCAGTCCGCCCGGATGCACGCTGGACCTTCGGAGGCGAAAGGGGACCTATATGCCTTGAACCCCTGAAGCCAGGACCACCCACTGCACATCAAGCTGTGCCACAGACGGCGAGACCCGCGCTCCGTAGGGCGGTCGGACACGCGCTGCCGGGATGCGCGGGGGATACGCGCACCGCCACAGATCGGCGCGGCGCATCACGGATTGAACCTCTGGTTTGAGCTGCTACCGGGAGCTTCTTTACTTGCGAAAAGACGACAGACGACGACCGGGACGACGAGCTATCCACGAAACGAAACGAAACGCAACGACGGCGGTTCAAATACACACACGACGTAACGGTGTTCGATTGAAAACCAAACACTAGGTGGGCTGAAGAGACGGAGGAAGCCCAAGCACCAACATCGCCAGCATGGCCGCGCGCAACAGCACCGCTGTCCTGAGCAGGGCCCTCCGCGCCCAGCACACACCACAGATCCCCGCGCGGCGTCGCGCTTCTACTCGACATCACCAGACGCCGAGAAGAGGCCGTCGATAGTGGTCGGTGCCGCCTCCACTCCCAATTGCATCCCCAACACAAAGACATCGAGGAGCTCTCCCCCAGCTGACAGAAGGCTCCCTTAGGCAAACTTCTACAAGACCTTTACCCGGCCCGTCCTCAAGACTCTCTTGATGGCGACATTGACGTACCAGATCGCCTACTGGAGCTGGACGAAGCTTGAGCAGGACGAGATCCGCGAGGAGAAGGGCAGAGAGATCGAGGGCCTCGAGGCCAGGGTCGCGGAGCTGCAGGCGGGCAACAAGGGAACGCGGGCGTAAGGAGAGCGTGTGGTGGCGATGACACGCGGAGAAAATCGACCAGAAGCCCAGCGACGGCATGCGAACATCTGAGCGGAACTGGTCCTGTGGCGATGGCTGTCAGCGCTGGGAAAAGGGCGCCATGCGATACCCCATTCGTCATTGTCAGTGGACGGGGTGAGTCAGAGCCGTCGACTGAGGGGGGGGGGGGGGGGAGGGGGGGGGAGGGGCCAAAGCCGGCTTGAGGCGGACAAGGGCTTTCTATGACAGAGTCTCTCCCTTACTCAGGGGTGCCACGGTAGAGTGGGTGTCCCTCACTCGAAGGAGTTGTTCTAGTTACACGTACAATACTGTACCATACCTAGAGCACCACTCGCAATCGACGAGGGAACCCAGCAAAGGTCTGCCAAGAACTCATACAGAGAGGTTTGCGAGATCATCTACACATCTAATTCTTCGTTGCCACATGCTTCCTAGTGCGGCCATCTGAGCCGTCTGTACATGTGAATACATAACTGTTGTCCCACACCCCGAGCCAGACCTCTCTGAACGCCGATGCCATGCAAATAATCCAAAAACCCTCATTAGACTGCCCCGTCATGCCCGTGATCCCCCATTATGCAAGAAGTCGGCCGTCAATCTACTAAAACAAAACAAGATGCCAAGGCCTGTGCGCCGTCATCGTTCTTCAACACTTTTCAGATCATGACTGCGCTGAGCGTACCGAGGACAAGAGCCGATAGCAAACCCCACGACACCGACAGTAGCGAGGACGCTGAAGGATTATGAACCGCTCCTGGGTAGTTGCAGGTCAGGGCACCGTCTACTTGGAGGGCGTAGCTCGAATTAAATACGGCGTCATCCGGCGTCGGACAGTTGAAGCCCAACGACGCCGGGCAGCTCTGCACCAAGTCGTAGCAGAGGTAGGCGCAGGGGAGAATTTCCCGGTACGGACCCGGCTCGATCATCTCGTCGATGAGGGGGTTTCTTGACTGCTGGTTGACCCTAGCACTGAAATTGGCCTGTATGTCGGCGGGGAGCAGAGTGCCATTGGGGAATGACTGCTGTGCGTTCCGGACGAGCGAAAAGTTGGTCGGGCTGGTAAAGTCCTCGCATCGAGGAATCGTTACCGAGCACAGCCACTTCTTGTACGCGATTTCGCAGTCGGAGCAGTCTCGAGCGAGAGAGTACCGCTGGACTGGCGGGGCCTCGCAAGCCACCTGCGCGAGCTGCTTCTGGAAGTTGGCATACATGTCCCTCGCGTAGTTGTCGTAGAACTGCGCGAGCTGGGTGATGTTCATCTTGTTAGAGTTGGCCGGCACGGCATACTCCGTTTCGTTGCAGAATTGCAAGTCAGTGATGATCTTGCAGTTCTCGCCTGATGTCAAGTCAGCCATGGCCACAAACAATGCATTTCCAGTCATATGCATACCGTCTTTGGTCTCGAACGGCGTCGCCTCGAAGACTCGGCCGCCGCCTCCAGTTGAACCCCCATCTTGACGCTTCTTCAACGCCGACGAGTTACTAACCTGAACGAGGATGCCCGTGTAGAGGGCACTCGCATTGAGCCCGTTGAAGAAGAATTGCTGCTTTGGCAGGTTGCCAGGACCTCTCGTAGTCATGACGGTGCTTGCAAGGTTGCCGAACTGGCCGCCCTTCTTCGCTGCAATCTGTGCATAGTTCTCGAGTCCGCACATGGAACGTCGTACACCCTTGGTGGTGGGCTGATCTCGGTTCTCAACGAACATGACAAACGGAGGGCCCTGCTCCATAATCTCCTGGATCAGCGTCTCATTTTGAGAATCCGTCAGGTTTCGAGTGGTCAAGAGAGCGGCGCTGGAATCGCTGTCGACCCAAAGAAGTTCAGAGGGGTTCGTATCGAAGCTGTGATAGTACTCGTCCGTCGACACCGCAACGTCAAAGTTCCAGTCTCCAGTGAACTTTTCGCTATCCTTCTCTGGCGCACCTATTCCGATGAACACGTCCCCTGTCGCATTGACGCTAAATATAGCGGCGCCTTCCTCAAACTTAACGGTCTTTTGTATGGACGCGTTCTGTCCCGGCCCGGGGGTTTGATTGTCCTGGGACGTCGAGATGTACATTGTAATCTGTGGTGGATCTTCCTTTGTGTTGTTCGCCGCGCGCTGCGGCTGTATACATGTGGTGGCCGAAATATACACCATCCTGCCCTGAGCCTGTCTGCGTCGCAAGCCGCGAGTCTCGTTCTCGAGATCTTCATCCTCCGTGGAGACCAGCTCTGGCGAGAAAGAGTCATTGACGCCCTCGCGAGGCTCCACCATAAACGCGTCATCCATTCCATCGAAGAAGTTGGCAAAGATTGCAATCGCCTCGAAGACGAAGTTCTGGGTCGTGTTCCCCGGGACATTGCGGTTGATTTTGACGTTATTCACGAGGCCCGTTACGCCGGCAGGCGCCCTTCCAATGATACTGCGGTCAAAGGCAGCAAATTCTGGCTCGTAGGTTGGTTCGAGGTGACTTCTTTGTTGTAGGGAATCATCGAATTGGAAATCGTCCAATAGTGGCTGAGTCGCACCAGTCACTTCCGCAGCAAGGGCGAATGTGGGCGTGGACAGTAGATAGTAGATGAGAACCAGCAGCAACGAGGCAATCAGCGAGGCCGCCAGTCGCGATTGTAGAGGGCTAAGCTGCATTGTGATATCATGCCCTCCGGGGGCAGGTGCCTATGGGGGTTGTTTTGTCGGAGTGCCGCTGCGGACGTCGAAGTCGGTGGCGTGTGTCGAGGGTTCGGTATCTGAGTGGGATTACCGGATAAGCGCAATGAGTGTCGAGATGTCGTTATCTGTAGTCGTAAACTGGCCGTGTCCACCAGCTCATTCCATCATGGCACGTCAATCGGCGGGAGCGAGTGTAGTCTTGCGGCTTGTTCAGACGGACGCGAAGGCACCAAAAACGGGGCTAGAAGACTCGGATTAAGCCGTAGGGAAGAGACGGGAAACGGAGACAGACGTGCGATCGGGAATGGCGAAATTGGACGTTGGGAGGATTCGGAAGGGAAAAACTGCCTTTGTCGTTTTAGGGAGTTTCACATCCCAGACAGCTGAGAAGGCGAGCATAGGCCACACATTCCCGGGCGCCCCAAGTCTCCTCTGAACAGCCACTGACGCTAGGTAGAGATCCCATAGAGCTGAGGTAACAATAGCCTGAACAGGGTGCGCAACCTGGACGGTGTGGGGGACCCCTTTCCGCGTCTCGGAATACTCGGCCTGTACACTGGGGCTCCCCTCGCCCAAATAGTCCCTGGAAACGCCCAAAGGCCAAGGCACGGAGCGGCGTGTTCGGCATCCTGAGCTTCTCTCCCCTTTCTCTTGGCGACCGCGGCAACCAACTGAAGATAGAGCTGGTCAGTCTTCGCACTACACTGCATTTGAGGCCAGCAGCTTGATAGCAGAGGCCCAGCCAGCATCCCGAACCGCTTTTGTGCCACACAAGAGCAGAAAGGGGACAAGAGACTCACTGCCAGGAACGTTGCAGGTTATCCTTCATTTGTCGGTCGCTGCTGCTTGGAGGGTCGTTACGGTGACGAGCAACAATTCCAACACACAATTCTAGCGTCAATGGGGCAACAAAATGACGGCGGGCAACAGCAACGACTAGCCTGCGGATATGAGAAATGCTCGAATAAAAGTTCCAAATACGATCTCTTCGCACACCTGAACCAGACTTACCCGTGAGAGACTAAGTCGTTTCGTAGCCTACGGGCGAACAGCGTTGGCATGCACTCCGAGTCGGAATCTAGCATCTCAACGCCTGCTTCTTCCCAAGCCGTCTCCCCGCTCTAGTTGCCCATGACAAAGAAACACATCGAATCTCGAGTCTCTCTTTGTCTCGGAGCCACAACTGCTTCAGACCGTCCCAACGCTTGTCACATGTTTTCATTCTGTCACCAAGAAAGCGACTACCAGACAGCGGCAACGCATGTCGCACGACCATATTTTAGCATCGGGTACTGTTTAGTCCATTGCAGAAGTCATTGACTCCTTATCCCGTAACATACAGTAACTCTATCTGGGTAACAGGAGCTTGTTCAGCTGGTCCGTCGTGACCCTCGCGTTCCTTGGGCCCCTTGATCAAACTTGAACAAGCCATTACCGTTGTCGCCTAGGGGTGAAGCTAGCTTCTTGACACCCCATCCCGTTTTCTTTGTGCTCTTGGTCGCCGCATAACGTCCTTTTGACTAGCTGGCGTATGCAAATGGGATGAAGTCGGGCCAGCTGTGTAACTCGTCGTAGGTGGATGTCTCAAGGCAATCAACCTGCTTGATGAGCTAGCGCTGGTGCGCATTTACTCGGCCTTACCAGCCTGGGCGCGGAGGCCAGAGGCGGTCGAGGCACTGTTGAAGTGCTTGGCCAGCATGGGGAAAGGAAGGAGTTGAAGATGATCTCGGCACCACTGATTACAGTCAGCGCCAGCTCTGTCGCGGTTCGGGAGGGACGGAACGTACCGGAAGGTGGGCAGAGCGAGCCACAGCAGGAAGACAAACTTGAAGGTGAAGTAGAAGGGGAACCAGTAGACAACGTTGACAAGGCTCTCAGCAACGCTATTTGGACTTGTTAGCTATGATCGTCCACGAGTCGCAGGACCAGGGGCTACTGACGTGAAAAAGGCAAAGACAACCCAGTACTAGAGACAAGCAAGGTTAGTTAAGTTTGGCACTCCGACAGCTGCGGGGGAGAGGAGAGTCGCAAACGTACGGTCAACCACTGGGTGTCGTCCTGCTTGTTGGCAGTGAACAGGGCGTTCAGGGAGTAGTATCCAGGAATGACGAAGCCGGCGAAGTTGGTAAGAAGCTGGCCGCCAAGGTTGAAGATGATGAGGAAGAAGTAGAGAGAAGCGACTCCGATGACGGCGTACGCCTTGGGAACGTTGGTCGACTTCTCGATGTTGTTAAGGGCGGGGTACTTGGACAGCTATCGCAACCGTCAGCATCATCACGTCGGGGCACCATGTCGTGCAGCCGTTGGCGCGGGCAAAATCACCTCACGGTCGAGCTGGCCGATGTAGTTCTGAACACGATCCTGAGCAGACATGTTGGCGGTTAAATGGGAGCTTGGTTAGGTAGCAAAAGCTGTGCGTTAATGCGCTGTGATAAGGGTTAGGACAAGGCCAGGTTGCAACAAAGAGAGAGAAGGTGACGGAGAAAGAGAGAGCTCTCGAGGGATTCAATGCAGGGGGGGCGGGTACTGACAGTTTGCGATGTGAGCGAGGTGGGTAGTATGCAAGGTCCGCGGGAAGCTGTTGACGATGTCAGAATGCAAAGATTGCAGAGTATGGGGTTGAATGACCTTGAGTCTGCGTTGGAATTAGCAGGTGAAAGGGAAAAGGCCGGATGACGACGTAACGTGTGCAGATCTGGCCAGTAGGAATGGTCTGGGAGCCTTTTGCGTCAAGCTTCGCTCGGGGCTGGCAATGGGGGTTCAGGAGAGGGGAGGGGCACGGGCACGAGAACAGCACACAGGACAGCTCAGAGTCAAGGTGTGCGGAACGGCAAGGTAGCTTCAAGTCAGAACCGACTTTGTGTGCCGGGCGTATTTGCCCTGGGATCCATGTCCATCGTGTTAGCGGGTACTTTTTTCTGCGGTCTCTGGTCAAGGCTCGGATTGGTGTCAGGTTTCATCAGATTCCCGTCCGTCTTCAGTCTTCAGCAGCACCTCGTCCAGCAGCGAGTGCGTGCTTGCTCGTGTTGATAAGATAAGGGGGGGGGGGGGGAGGGAAGCTAGTGTAAGGTGGTCCATCGGTGGAGGGTGCGTGCTGGCTGAGGTGGGGAAGAAGCCTCCCTCGCTCTGGTTGCCTGTGTGCCTGCCTGTTGTGCTGGACTCGCTGTTTTGTGTTGATGCCTGAACACCAAGGCTTCCCTTCCTGTGTTGTTGCTTATGCTCCTCCGTCGACCTGACTGGCCAAAGCTGAAGGTGGCTTCTCCGCGTGTTTGGAACAAAGTAAAAGTAGCGTCGATACGTACCGTCCGGACGCCAGAGACAGAAAGTCAGAAACAGACAAAGTAAGCAAGCTCCACATCACGCATCTCCCACGGTCGCACTGGGCCAATTGGAAAACCCAAACACGACCAAGCTGCAACGGGACTGGCTGCTCCAGGTTGTTTGGGAACCACGGCCTGCGAGATGCCATGCATGTCACGTGAGTCGGACCAGCCACGCAAATCACTCGTCCAAGACCTGAGTGGAGGCGACCAGCCGAGCCTTGGTTGTCAAGTCAACAAAACAGCGGAAAGCCTCCCAAAACATTTCCCACATCCACACTCTGCCTTCTGGTCTTGCTCCCCCGACCACGTCCTTTAAGATCTCGACGCTCACCACAGCGCACCGCGCTCTTCTCGGCTGCAGGGATTCGGATTGCTTTTCCTGACCTCGACGCCTCTGCTTCTCTTGCTCACTTGTTCACCGTCGCCCAGCGCACGTTTACTTCTTTATTGTTTGGAAACGGCGTCTTGCATGATCCGTGTGTTTTCATCGCAGAACAACAACATCGCCCAACCATCGAGCCGACGGACATACGACAATGGATCACGGTACGATACGCGGCCTCTCAAGATGCTTCTCTGCACCGAGACCACTCTTCTTGCTGTGTTTTGTTGGCTGATCATTGGATGTAAACAGACCACCTCGCCCAGGCTCTCAGGGCGAAGAAGCGGCCCCAATCCCGGGCTTCCACCGCCTCTGTTCACAGCATCTCCACGCAGCCCACCATGGAACAACAACAGTCTTTTGCCGACGCGCCCGAACTGTACTCGGCACAATGGGTCAACAATGATCAAAGGCAGCAGAGGAGCCTCGCACCCGCGTCACGCATAACGCCCGAGGAGATGATGCTCCACGCTGCTGCAACCCAGATGCAGAACGCCCGCGAATATTCGATGCCTCCCGGCATGGGCGCCTCGATGAGCCAGTCGAGCGCCCATATGAGCCATTCCATGTCGTTCCAACAGCACGCCATGCCGAGGCATCCTCTGCCATCCGAAAGCTTCGCCAACAACAGCTTCACTGATGATAGCCAGATGATTGATCGCGACGAGGACGGTGACTCTTTGGCGGGAGCGATGGGCATGCAAAAGTCGAGCTCCGCCAGGTCTAGTGCTAACAATGAGTTGGAGATGCGTCACCTCTTCAACGCAAACAAGCACCGTGGCTTGCAGGATGTTGCCAGCGAATTGCACGGCAATGAACGAGGCCCCAACTCCGAACGTACCCGACAAGTCTTCGCCATGCTCTGGATCAACTCGGTATGCACCAAGGGCAAGGGATCTGTGCCGCGAGGCCGTGTATATGCCAACTACGCGTCCCGGTGTGCTACTGAGAGGATCACCGTCTTGAACCCTGCCAGCTTTGGTAAGCTGGTTCGCGTACTCTTCCCAGGTCTCAAGACTAGGCGACTTGGTGTGAGAGGAGAGTCCAAGTACCACTACGTCAACTTTTGCTTGGTTGACGATCAGCCCGACCTCCGCGAGCCCGAGCCTCACATACCCGTGGCTATCTCCGAACCTACCCGTTCCCAAAGCTTCAGCACGGTTCCCGCCAAAACCCAGCCTACCAAAGCCGTACTGCCGTCTCCCGATGTCACCAAGCGGCCAGAGAGCCCAGCCCAGGCCTCGCATGGCCACTCAAGATCGCATAGTTTCTACAGCCATCCGAATGTGACCAGTGCGGATCACCTAAACTCATCCACCTCGAAGACATCGCTCCACTTCTCATTCCCCTCGGAAGCGGATGAAGCCCTTCTCCAATCTAACGAACCTCTTGTGCTACCTCGAATGGAGCCTTTCTTACCCAACGGAACTGACCCAGATGCTGCGAAGAGCTTGTCTGCCCTGTACAGGTCGCATTGCACCTCACTCGTTGAATGCGTTCGCTACTGCAAGGAGAAGACTTTCTTCCATCTCTATACGTCGTTCCAAGGCACGTTGACGATGCCAGTCCAGAAGCTACTGGGCCACCCTAGCCTCGCTCCCTGGATTGAGGAGTGCGACTTTATCCTGTACCAACGCATGCTTAGGATCATCTCCGGGCTTACACTCCAGGTCGTGCCCAAACCGGTTCTGGATACGCTACGCAACATCTCCGAGCGGCTCGTACCCCACATTCGAGAGGCCTTCCAGGGGCAGCCGCACCACGTTATCCGGGCCAAGGAGGCGCCGGCAACCATCTTCGCGGCTCTGCTGGATCGAGCACTGAGAGTCAACCTTACCGCCCACGCGGCGGCCAACATGCTGTCGAACCCGGCCAACCGCGACCAGATGTATCTTGATTGGATCACCATGGTACGCGTGCGTAAGGTGGCTGAGTGCGTACCTACTCGGGGCATGGATGATCTCGTCAGCTTGCTTGTCTCCGAACTTCGAGATCTGCTCAGCCCCATGAACGTACCTTGGGAGGTTGAGTGTTTGACTGTTTACGGCGACATTGCCCTGAGAAATGGCCGCCAACCGGATGCTGAGAGCACGGGAGAGCACAACGGCCAGAATGTCCTGGAACGCTGGGTTGGCTTCCTCAAGTCACTACCAACGCGGTTCCCTTACGCTTCGCACACGGACATTGTCTACTCCGTTCAAAGAGTTGGCACGGCAGTGATGCGGGATCTGACTATGGCCCAGGGCAAGAGCTTCGGTTCATGGTGGGTCACAAAGTGTTGGATCGACGAGATGACTTGCTTCCTTGCCGAGCAAGGCGGATTCCTACAGATGAGAACATCCGGCGCATCGGCAGCTCTCGTCAACACTCAATCGGCTGCTCAGGAGGCGAGTCGCCAAGGGTCCCGGTATAGCACCGGTAGCGAGGAGTTCAACTTTTCCAGTCTCCCGCAAGCGGAACCCGACAAGGCGCCGTTTCCACCATCAACGAGCCAAGGCCAGGTCGATTCTGCGGGGATGACGGCGGGAAGTAACCCGGATGATAGTGGGATTGGCATCCGGACGCCAGAGGAGGACTTTCCCATGGACAAATACACCTTCTCACACTCGGAGGTCAACCAAGCGCTGCTTGCCAATGCCGAGTTGCAACAATGACGAAAGGAGATCGAACCATGGTCGCACCTGGCGAACCAGGTGTCAGGTATCGATAGCCGCCTGTCAGACAGTCTCATGTAGGGGCTCGATGCCAGATGAGGACTGTCGACAACAGTGCGATGACGATGGCACGACTGGACGATTGTATGAGCGCGGAAAATTCTGTGGCCATTTGGCTAAAAGACGTCATTGGCACTGCGCCTGTTTATTTCTAGAACGGGTTTTGGGTTCTTGTTTTTGTCGTTTGGTGTTTGACGTGCTTGGCGATTACGGTCGGCATTTGCATTTGGTTTTCGTGGGTTTGCTATACCAAATGTGTCTGGTTAGGGGCAATGCAAAGGTACTCGAATTATACGTTCATCTAGTGGTAATACATCCCGATAGGGAGAGAGCATTGAGCAAACAACATGCGCCTCTTTTGAATGATCTGCAGGATGTGCATGCAGGGCCTTTCCACGTTGGTCGTCTTGTCAAACAGATGAACATCCCACATCTCTTGATAAGCAGTAGGTAGTAGTACTTGCAGCCGTTGAGCGAGCACAAGGTTGTCCTGAGTTGCAGCGGGAGCATGCCGAAAGAGTGTCAGTTGCGGCTATCAGACTGGGGGCGTGGGAGCCCCGTCCGTCCCTTCGTCATCGGCCGGGTCCTGATTCGCTGCCCCCGCGCGCATGCCGGGATTGGGCAACTAAAAGTTTTCCTTACCGATGGTTTCATAGGCCCTTCACAACACTCGCATGTGGAGTGGCTGGACGGCACAACCACAAAGGCAACGATAGAGGCTCGAAGACCTGAGCGGTATTTCGTCTATCCCCCGTGGGGTTTGGACGTGATAACAAAATAAACGGCCAAACCCCAAAAGAGAGGTCATTGAGCAATAGGTAGCAAGATACGGGGACTGGGCCCGTCTGAGATGAAGAGTCAATCGATGGGTGCATATGAGTCAGGCAAGGAAATTGTTACGGATAGAGGCTGCCACGGGCAGACTACCTGCCCCCCATTCCCTTGCAGAAGCCGCCGGGCAGGGTAGGTCCGCAGCGTGGTAATTGATGTTGGAGTCCTCCTCCTCAAAGAGGAGGCCCAGATGCACTTTTTTCCGACCAGCAGCAGGAGTCTCTTTGAAATCTGACCAATCTGAGGTAGTCGTTGTGTGTGTGACCTTGCGGCATTGAATCGGTAGTCGAACGAGACTTGGTCCGCCTCCGATATTCCGGAAACGCAAAAACTGGTCGCTGCAACTTGCAACAAGCGTCGCCGATTTCGTCGCTCCACACATCCCACTTTCGTCCCATCTCACTATCTTGGTTCCTGTCTAATCCAATCCACCACTACCTTGAAGGCAGCGATTCCACCACATTCGAGCCGTGAATTCTCTCTTCTCACTCTCTGACTATACCAGTCATACAAACATTCTGCCTCTCCGTGCTGCTTCACACATTAGCCGTGCGGCACATCTCACATAAGGCAGTTAGTTGAGGGTTGACGACCCAGTCTAACCGTCGCCATTCTTTTTTCCCGCACCTGTCGAACACAGTGCCCCTCTTCCAGTGTGTCCTTGAGCAGAGTCACACTCACACATACGCAAAACCAACCACTTTTGGTTTCGTGCACAGCCATTGAGGCATCATGAGCAGTCAAACGATAGGGAACACGTCCAGCAATGGCTGGGTGGTGCAAAAATTCGGCGGTACCAGCGTCGGAAAGTTTCCTGACAAGGTTCGTCCACCACTACTCGGGAGTTGTCACTGATGCATGAGGCTGACCGAGGGTATTTGCATAACAGATTGCCACGGATATTGTCCGGTAAGGGCAGAGTCTCGTGAACGACTTGGGGTCTTGACTGACATTTTTATGCGTTAGAGCGAGTCTGTCAAAAAACAAGGTCGTCGTCGTGTGCTCAGCGAGAAGCACGGGTAAGAAGGTCGAGGGCACCACCAGCCGGTGAGTCACCCAGGAGTGCTTTCCATCCCGACATTCGACTGACCCCTCGGGACAGGTTGCTTGGTGTTTTCAACAAGCTCAAGGGCATTGCAGCCCCCACAAGCGCCGAAGAGGTGCAGAATGAGCTCATGAGCCAGGCCAAGGGCCTGATTGACGACATCTGCAAAGACCATGTTTCAGCAGTCAAGACTTTCCTGAGCAACCCAGAACTGCAGGCTTCCTTGGAACAGGAGATCCGCGATGAGTGCCAGGAGCTGGTCGAGTACATTGTGGCGGCGAGAAGGTTCAACCTCGAAGTTAACTCAAGATCAAAGGACCGCTGCATCAGCTTCGGCGAGAAGCTCAGCTGCAGGTTCATGGCCGCGTTGCTGAAGGATCTGGTGCGCAAGAAATACCTCTCTCCATGCCTCGAAAATGACGTTAACCAAGCTCGCAGGGTGTCGCTGCGGAGTATGTGGATCTGAGTGATGCGTTCCATTATGATGCCACTGGCCGTTTGGATCAAAGCTTCTACCAAGAGGCTGCTGCCGTGCTGCGGAAAAAGATCATGGCCTGCGAGGATCGAATCCCGGTGGTTACTGGCTTCTTTGGAAACGTGCCTGGCAGTCTGATCGATGGCGACATTGGTCGAGGCTACACCGATCTCTGCGCGGCGCTGTTGGCTGTCGGTCTCAAGGCTGATGAGCTCCAAGTGTGGAAGGAGGTCGACGGCATCTTCACCGCAGACCCAACAAAGGTCCCCACGGCACGCCTGCTGCACTCCATCACACCGTCCGAAGCGGCAGAGTTGACTTTCTACGGCTCCGAAGTCATTCACCACTTGACCATGGACCAGGTCATCCACGCCTCGCCCCCTATCCCCATCCGCATCAAGAACGTCAAGAACCCCAGAGGAGTTGGCACTATTGTCGTCCCCGATCCTGTCCTCACCGCCGGCCACCAGATCCAGCGGTCGAAGCCTACGGATCCCACATTGACCCAGAAGCCGAAGCGGCCGACGGCGGTTACGATCAAAGACAAGATCTCTGTTATTAATGTGCACTCCAACAAGCGATCCATCTCTCACGGCTTCTTCGCCAAGGTGTTCTCCATCCTCGACAGCAACCAGATCTCCGTCGACCTCATCTCCACGAGTGAGGTCCATGTGTCTATGGCCATCCACGCTGGCAACTCGGAGGGCGGCAGCTTCGACAAGGCGCGGCTCGAGTTGGAGGAGTGCGGCGACGTCAGCGTGCTGCACGACATGGCCATCCTGAGTCTAGTTGGTGCGGAGATGAAGAACATGATTGGAATTGCCGGACGCATGTTCTCCACGCTGGGCGAGCACAACGTCAACTTGGAGATGATTTCACAGGGTATGTTAACTACAAGATTCTGAGAGATGCATGCCTGACTTCGACATAGGTGCCAGTGAGATCAACATCTCCTGCGTCATTGACGCCCGCGACGCCACCCGCGCCATGAACATCCTGCACACAAATCTATTCACCTTCCTCGACTAGAAAATGAAGGTGTTCTGGGTCTGTGCAGCGTTGATTGCGTGTCTGTATACTGCGAGACCTGCTTTTGAACTAGAGTACATATAAGTTTTCATCGATTTGTATGGTCATTACAAACGGAGCATGAGGTTTGCATGGTGGATGAAAAAAGCAAAATATGAAAACGAGGGCATGAAATGAAGAATGCTAAATTCTATTGGTTAAGTTAGACGCATATATCAAATTGACAGAGTTGGGTGCGTCGTTGGCTAGCCCTATTTGAAATGGCATTGGACGTGCAAACGAGAATTCAACCAAAGTTTGTTGATTCAATCAGGAACATTTAATAGACGAAAGAGTTCAACGGCGACTATTATCGGGATACACGTCCATCAGGACTGTCAAGCTACCGCCCTAGTAACCAGACGGTGGGACGTAAATATTTATCAGTCGAGGCCGACGTCGGCAAGGTGAGATACAGTGTTTCGCGAAGCGGTCGCACACGGACTAGCCCCGCCACCCCAAGATCCCTGTAATTTGATAAGATAAGTAGGTCTTGAATGATCCACCCGACAAATGTTCGGCCCTCATTGCATCTGTGCGACGATCGCCTCTCAACTGCATCAATCCAAAACGGCGATTCCTCGCGCAACTCATCGACGTCCGATCTTCGAATCCCATCAACGCACCACAACGACCCTCCCTCCTCCTCGCACCCGAATCGAGCAAACAACACACGGAAACAAGACCTACGCAAATCGCCCACCATGCCGAAAGCAGAAGTCGGCTCGACAAAGCACCTGAGCAACAAGCTCAAAAGCAAAGGCCTGCAGCGGCTGCGGTGGTACTGCCAGGTGTGCGAGAAGCAGTGCCGCGACGAGAACGGCTTCAAGATGCACACGCAGTCCGAGTCGCACGTACGGCAGATCCTCGTCGTGGGCGAGGATCCGAAGAAGTTCCTCAACGAGTACAGCAACCAGTTCCTTCGCGACTTCACACAGCTGCTCCGCACGGGTCACGGCGAGAAGCAGGTGCAGATCAACCACTTTTACCAGGAGTACATCGCCAACAAGGAGCATGTGCACATGAACGCGACGAAATGGCCCAGTCTGACCGAGTTCGCGAAGCACCTGGGCCGCGAGGGCATCTGCCGTGTCGAGGAGAACGAAAAGGGGATTCACATCGCGTGGATCGACAACTCGCCTGAGGCGCTCAAGAGGCAGGAGGCGCTGAGGAGAAAGGAAGCGCAGGATCGGGGAAATGAAGAGGTCGAGCAGATGATGATCCGGGAGCAGATCAAGAGGGCGCAGAAGGCGGCCGAGGCGAGAGGTGAGAAGGCGGACGACGAGCAGGAGAGGGAGAGGGGACTGCAGAGGGCCGAAGGGGAGAAGATCTCGTTGTCATTCGGGGCCAAACCTGCGGCGGCAGCGAAGGAGCCTAGTCCGACGCAGTCAAAGTCTGCGGAGCCCGAGACTTCGACGACGGCGCTCGCAGACGTGGCGGACAAAACAGATAAGCCTGCTGAGAAACAGCCCGAGAAGCCGTCGCTCGGTGGTGGTCTGTCGCTCAAGATGACGGCGAAACCGCAGACGAAGAACGTCTTTGCCCAGGCCAAGAAGAACGCGCTGTCAGGCGGCAGCAAGAAGACGGCCATCGAGCAGCCCAAGAAGATGAGCGAAGCCGAGAGGATTATGAAGGAGGACATGGAGAGGCAGGAGAGGAAGCGGTCGAGAGAAGGGTCCGGGTTTGGAGGGTTCTCGTTCAAGAAGCAGAAGACAGACCAGCGGTGATCTTTGTTCGTCTGGTTCTGATGCGAAGCAGGCAATAACCGGCGTTTAGGTAAAAGGTGTGTTATCACATAAAAACGGCGTTTTGCATGGGCATTGGGTGCGCTTTTTATTTTATAGATACCATTTGAGAATTCATTGAATTCATCTGAAGAGAGAAGTCTTCCCCTGACTCCGTTGCCAGCCTTTCTTTAACACCCCTGAACGCCGATATGTAAAGCATAGCCCAATGTCTTGAGGGTCTCAAGCGTCGACTTCCGTCTCCGTTCCGTCGCGCCTGTTACGGGGTCAGCAAAACTCGTCCCCGTCCGCCACACCCCACTCGTGGAGCATAGGAAACAAAGTCGCAGGAGAAGGGGGGGTTTAACATACGGGATGTAGTGTATCCTATACTCCTCCTCGAGCGTGTTGCGGATCTCGTCGGGCAGCTGGCCCGAGACCTTGATGGCGTAGACGCCGCGGACATAGCCGTCGAGGCGCTGCCACTTGGCGACCCAGGACCGCTTCGGGTTCGCGAGGGTGATGAGGCCCTCGAACACCTGCGAGGTGCAGCTTTCGATCTGGTCTTGGGAGCCGGCCATGTGCAGGAACTCTTCGCAGTTGGGGCAGCCCTCGTCGCGGAAGCGCTGTCGCAAGAGAGCGTGTTAGCCTTTGTACGACTGATATCGAGGGGCATCCGCTGGGGAAGGGAAAGGGCCGCGGGAGAGGTGAAGGGAGGGGGTGGGGGACGTACGGCGTAGGTCATGACGATGGAGCAGACCATGCAGGCGCGGAGGTAGCGCTGCTGGCCGGGTGCGACGAAGTTATCGGCTGACATTTTCCGCGAGTCGATTGGCGAGCTGAGGGTATCTCTTGTAATGATCGGCCGCGGGGGAGTGGTTTGAGGATGTCGTGTCCCGTCGTGCTCGTCGGGTTTCGTTGCGCGAGGCTGCCGTGGGGATTGGGAGGCTGGCTGGAAGTTGCAGCTCAAGGTCAAAGTAATTCTGGGGCGGCGGGCGGTCGAAGGACAGGGTGCGGAACGGGAAGCTTACAGCGTGTAGTTGGCTTTAGGTGGCATATGCAACTATCGGAATGCAGGGTCTTTTCGGTATGGACCCACTGGAGAGCTCTTCAGTCCCGCGCTCGAATCACATTACATGCCGCTCACTCGACTTATTTCCAATCACAGAATTCTCAAAAAACAAAGTCGTTGCGGAAAGAAACACTCACTGTTATCACCGAGTTCAGTCAGAGGCACAACAAGACAATCTACAAGACGGAACGATAGCTCTCGATCCCCAAAACCACATTAACCCATCATGACGACGCAAAACTCGTCCACGGGAGAAACACCCACCGGTACCCCCCGTGGGACGGGCCAAAAGTCCCATGAGCTCCTCACTTGCACCATCAAGACCCCGCTCTTCTCGTACGCCCAGCTCGAACTCGTCACCGACTCGCCGCAAGCATCTGATGCTGCGGCGGGCTTGGATAACCTCCAAGTGCGCTCCTACTGCAACGCCGCGCTGCGCCAGTTCCTCGGCGCCACGGGCTCCGCCATCCCCATCGACATCCTTAAGGTCGACGGCAACCAGTGTTGGCTGCGCGTACCCCGTCCGGACCTCAGCCCCTTCGCCGCCGCCATCACGGCGTGGGCCGGCGTCTCGGAGCAGGGGAGCCGGCGAGTGCTCCGGGTGAAGCAGTGCTCCGACTACCTTGGCGCCATGGTTGGCGCCGACGGCCAAGACAAGCTCTGGTCTTCATGAACAGGGGGCTGTCATTTCTCGGAACCCAAAGAGCAGGATTCGGCCAGACACCCAAACGTCATTTTATTCTAGAGTTGGGGGGGGTAATGGTTGTACGGTCCGCCAGGAACAAAGAACTCCGATTTATCCGCATGGCCAAACCCACGCTGCCACCCAGGCCCCCTATATGCGCCGAACACATGCACCGTGTATGCTTGCGGATGCAAAATATACCATCTCATATCCCCGGGACGACGGGTCCGCGGAACTCGCCAACCTACATCAGAGACGACATGAGAGAACTCTGGGCATACGCCTGGGGAAGTGAGAAACGTCAGCGGCAGGTCGAGGAGAGGAAAGAGGACGGGTCAAGTCTTACCATGGGCTTGATATCCGGGTGAGGAACAGCGTCAAACTGCTTGAAATGCAACTCGTAGTCGGGGCCGATGTTGATGTACGCTCCCCTGTTCTCGGTGGAGTCGCAGTATCTGGGTGCAGAGAAGACTGCGACAGTTAGTCTCGGGTCAAGTAACAAATCAAAGACGACTGGGACTCACCAGTAATGCAACGTCCGTCGTGCTGCACCTCGTAACCATCCATACGGACTTCGTGACTGCGGATGACGGCCTCGAGACCGTTGTTCTCGCAGAACTTCTTGGTGACGTCGGGCCCGAACTGCATACCAACGCCGCGCTTGCTCGGGCCACGGCCGGGCTCGTCCTGTGGATCCGTCCACAGCATCTCCATCATGAGGCCGGCCTGGCCGGGCTGGCGCTGCGCGTGTCTGTCGAGCTTCCGGATGTCGTCCAAAGTAACCTTGTCATCCGAGAACAGACCACCGTGCAACACAAGGTACTTGGTGCCGATCAGAGTCGCAAGCGGCAGAGCCGAGAAACTCTCAGAGAAGAGCTTGAAAATTCTGCGGCTGTTAGTAAGTCTGCTTTCACGAGCGATTGGTCCGTTAACATACCTCTCGTTGTACTTCGCCTTGCACTCGCCCTCGAAACCGTACACGCGGTTCATGTCATCGGTCTCGTGGTTGCCACGGTTCAGGAAGAATCCGTTGGGACGCAGCCACTTGTAGGCGTAGAGCAGCAGGGCGATCTCAGTAGACCATGATCCTCGGTCAACGAAGTCGCCGTTAAACAAATAGTAGTGCTTGTCGTTGGGCGTTCCGTTCAGACGGAACAGCTCCATCAGATCAAAGTACTGGCCTGTCATAGGTGTCAGTGACTTCCTTAGCGCCACCACATCGCCTCTGACTTACCGTGTGTGTCACCGCAGACCGTAAGCTGAGTACCCTCAGGGATCTCCATCTCCACCATCGTCGGCTCATCATGGACAAGCTTCTTGACAGCCAAGATGATCTGGTAGACGTATTTCCTGTGAATCTTCTTGCCAATCTTGAATCGCTCCGTCATATCGTCGATGAACTCCTGGGTCATCTCCTCTCCCAACCTGACGCCATCGTAGTCCTCTTCGACAGTGATAGCGCTGAGATCGAGACCCTCGGCGGCAGAGGGCTCATCGCCGACCTCGATGGCAGCGAAGAAATCCAACTTGCGCACAATCTTTTTGCACTCATCCAGCTTCAACTTGGCATCCTTGTTGTTCGGGTCGAGCCGTAAGCACTCCTTGAAATCGACGAGGGCATCTTTGGGTCTGATGCAAGCAGTTTGGGCAAGGCCCCGGCGGAAGTATGCCTGAATTCGCATCGACGTCAGCATGTCGGGCCAGGCTCCGGCTTTGTTCGACACTACCTACCTTCACAAGCTTGGGATTCAACTCGATCGCCTTGGAACAATCCGCGATAGCATAACCATATGCCTCGGACTTGATGTTTGCCTACTCGGAACCGATACCTCGTTAGTCACGCGAGCAACTTGGCTGTGTAGCTTCGGCGCAGGGAGGGGAAGTGGCGGACCTGAGCGCGGTTGGTGTAGAATGTCGGCTCCTTGTCGTTCAGCTCAATGGCCTTGGTGTACAACTCAATAGCTTTCGGCCAATCGTGGGCAGCAAAGGCCTTGTTGCCATCATTCTTGAAGGCTACCGCCCGCTCTTCCGGCGTAGACATGGTGCAAGCGACGGCGGACTTCTTTTGCAGAACCGAAGTGTGGGGTAGATTATCGCAGGCAGACGATGGAGGGGGAGGGGACCTAATCGTGTCTGTGTCGCCCACGAACCAAGCAAGTGGGAACAGAAGTAATGACTTCTTCTGGCGCGAAACACGATTGAGACGTCCAAAAACCGAAGTGCAAAATGGGACGAGAGAGGACGGGTGGCAGCAGCAAAATTTGCTACAGCATGCGGCAGAAGCTCTTCGAATGTTGGAGTTGCTGGGCCTGGGGGTCAGACTCTAGAAAGCTTCCAGGCCCTTTCGCGACGGTTCGGCCCTTAAACCCTCTTCGGAGCTAACTGGTAAACCTAACAGGAAAACAGTACTGCCGCACGGTGCAGTGTGTTGCGGCCGAGTGGGCACTCAATTGCCACTTCAAGAGCCCGACAGGGGCGCTGAAAGGGCAATACCGCGGCCTGGCCCCTCTCCCTTTTGTTTTGAAGCTCCCACTCGCCACTACATAGTACGGACGGCGTACGTCCTTGTGGAGCACGGCATGAGACACACTGGACTGGCGGGGAAGCCTCCGGAGGAATCAATTCTCCCTAAGCTTTGGTAGTCGCATATCGGGCTTGCCGCGTGGTTTCTTATCGCTTATCGGAACGTCATTTCGTACCCGAACTGGAGCGCAACTCAGATTTCGAGATTGGCCTCACCCATCTTGATAGACCCGCGAGCCCTCAGCGCGGAACCCACCACATGGCCGTGAAGGCACACCAACCACACGCATAAGAGCAACGAACCAGCGTTATTCCTTCCGCAGCCGTCTCCGAATTCCGACGATGGAGTCGCAAGACCGCGCGTCGAATGCGCTTGTGCGCAAACGGACCGACACCGAACTGATGCCGGCACCACCGCCTGTCAAGAAGATCAAGCGCCCGAAAAAGGTCATAGACGAAGACACCTATACTGATGCCCTTTCGCAAATCATCGCACGCGATTTCTTCCCTGGACTTTTGGAAGCCGAGACACAGCAAGAGTACCTCGACGCACTCGAATCGAAAGACAAGGCATGGATATCGAACGCTGGGCAGAGACTACAGCGCGTGATGACACCGGGGAGACAAAGGTTGAAAAGGCCGGCGCCGTTCGAAAATGGAGGACGCACACCGTCAGCATACGGTGCGGACACGCCAGTAACAGTCGTATCGACAGTGGCCGAAGCACCAAAACCGGTTGTAGACACCAATATGAGCCTCGCCAACTTCCAGGCCACCTACACAAGCGAGGATAACGAGAGCTTTTACAAGCTCATGGATAAGCAAAGCCAGAAGAAGGCAGAGAAATACGCGTGGATATGGCGGGGGAACAAGCTGCCGTCGAAACAGATGATCAAACAGGCCGAGGTTGAAGCAAAGTTATTAGGAACAAGGAGTTTGACCGACGATGGATGGAAGAGGGATAGACTGGCCATCAAGGACGTCGATGACCGGCCAGCGAGGCCTGATAGTTGGAATGCCAACCCGAAGAACAACCTGATGTTCGGTCCGGATAGTGTTGAGGATAACTACGAGAGCCCGGCTCAGAAGGCCCAAGCCGAGTCGAGGATGGCACCGAAGTCGATCAATTACCACAACACGAGGATACCGCAGCCAGTAATTGTCGAGCGACCGCCATCCCCAACAGTGTCTGCCGTCAGGGATGCGATCGCAGGTAAGACGCGGAAAGAGGACCAGGCTTCCAGCGCCGTTGGGGGAGGAGAGACACCGAGAGTAAACGGGTATGCATTTGTGGACGACGAAGACGATGAAGAGGTTTTGCCTGCTCCCGTCATCAACCTGGGCCCGGGCGACGCCACGCCAAATCCTTTCAAGCTTCAGGACCAGAGGAAAAGAGAAAGCTTACACCATCGATTGGTTGAGCGGGCAGCGCAGTCCAAGAGAGAATCCACGAAAAACGGACTGACCGGGAAGCCGGAGAGAACCCCAGTGCCCAAGTTTCCGTCCAGTCCGCGAGTCTCGGGTGGCCTGACACCTGCCGCTCAACGATTGTGGAACAAAATTGGAACTCCAAGAGCTGGAAGCCCGGGCCATTCTTCTACGAAGGCAACGCCCATGAGGGCAAGAGGTTCACTCCTGAAGGGCGGGTCCTCAGTGAGACGGGAATAGTCGGCGTCAGATACCGTTATAATGAATAATGATGGACGAGGAGTTATGGATAGACCAAGGATACCTCATAAATAGAAGTCTTTAGACTCCGCAGCTCATGCCGCAATCCATTCAGCATATAAGCTCGAGAAGCGATTCCCTATATGACTTACATAACGATCGCAGTCAGGGATGTAATACAAGAATCGCTTAGCCTATAATCCCGATACTTGTCAGTATATGCATTTACAAAGTTTACTGGAGCCAAATTCACCTTTAGATGCATATACACATCACCCAATTTTCCCTCCATGACGAACTCGACTTAAAGATCCCGGCCGTTCCTGAGTAACACGAGATATCCCTGGATTCCGGAAGGTAAATACCATAACGACAGGCGCTCGGAGTCAACGGAAACCATTTCGTCCCGATGAGGTTCGCCGATTTCGCCGTCGATTTGGCAGCGGTGCTCAGCGCATCGCGCTCCGTCGCATCCAAGCATGTCGCGCTGAGAGGTCGACAGCTTGAAAGCTTCACCAAGGCGTCGAGCTTGACGCGCAAATCCCCAACAGCGCCTCAGTATACGCGAGACAATGCGACAACCCAAACAACCACGGCCACACCTGAGGCAGTGGAAGCTCAGACGCAAGCTACAACAGAAGTGCCTCCCTCGCAAAATGAGCCGACATCGCAGGCAGCTCACATCCCACACACGACTCCGAGCAACTTTCAACCCCCTAAAATCAACAATGCATCCGGGATTCGGCCAGACTCTGGGTCTGTTCTCTCCCAGTTGAGACAATCGAATCCTTCGGGATTTCCCTGGTCAGATGCGTCGCCATTGGAAGCAAAGGACAAAGAGGCCAGTGCCCCTGTAGCTGCTTCTGTGAGCAAGGGGCCGACAGCTTCGTACGGCGCACCTGTTTCCGAGGAGCTCGACGACGACCTCCCGCCTGGTGTCAATGTTAACATCTTCCACAGCACCCGAGCCGCCAAACTCCTGGGTAAAGACGAAGATCAGGCGAAGGATAAGTTTGGGAACCGGAAGAAGCTTAAGCCCGCTGGCCTGCCTGAGTTTGTCGATTTCTCCAAGTTGGCAAAGGACAGTCAGAAGGCTTCCCCTCCGCCAAAGACCAGCTCAAAACCTACACAGGAGGCTTCCGAGACCAACGTAATCGAAGACAGCGCAATCAGCCAACCAAAGTCGATTGCGTCAGAGCCCCGGGAAGCTGCGGCACCTTTCCCTGCCTCTGCTCAATCGGTGTCAAAAGACGAGCCGCCCATTGAGGCTGTTCTGGAAGCCGCGGTCGACCAGCCAGCTACAACGGCATACGCCCTCAGAGAATCAAAGGTGCCGGCTACACGTTTGAGCAGACTTTGGAACTACAGCGGCCTGGCAGCGGGCATGATGGGAGGTGCCATTACCGAAAGTATCGGCCGGGCATTCGGCGGCAAGGGAGAGGGTTCCGTGTTGCTCAGCGCCGGCAACATGGAGAGACTCGTGGCGAAGCTCTCAAGAATGCGCGGCGCCGCCTTGAAGATGGGCCAGATGATGAGTTTCCAGGACACCAAGATGCTTCCCGCGCCGATTCAGGAGGTCCTGCAGAGGGTGCAGGACCGCGCCGACTACATGCCGGCTTGGCAGAGGGACAAGGTGCTCACGACGAACCTGGGCCCGGAGTGGCGCGAGCTATTCGAAGAGTTTGAGGAGAAGCCCATTGCCGCTGCGTCGATCGGCCAGGTTCACCGAGCCACCCTGAAAGATGGCGGCCGCAAGGTTGCCGTCAAGATCCAGTTTCCGGGCGTCGCCGACTCCATCAACTCGGATCTCGACAACCTCGGTATCCTCCTGACGGCGACCAAACTCCTCCCCAAGGGCTTGTACCTGAACAAGACCATCGACAACGCACGGCTCGAGCTCGGCTGGGAATGCGACTACGAGCGCGAGGCGCAGTGCCTGATCAAGTACAAGGAGCTGCTTGCCGACGAACCTGATACCTTCCTCGTGCCCGATGTCCACCTTCAGGCCTGTGGTAAGAACGTTTTGACGATGGACTGGATGGAGGGCGTCGGTGTCACCCGGGTAAAGTCCTTCACTCAGGAGCAGAAGGACTGGATCGGCACGCAGATCCTGCGCCTCTGCCTGCGGGAGATCACCGAGTTCAAGTTCATGCAGACGGATCCCAACTGGACCAACTTCCTCTACAACGCGGAGACCAACAAGCTCGAGCTGCTCGACTTTGGTGCCTCGAGGGAATATCCCGATGAGTTTGTCACGCAGTACGTCGAGCTGCTCGCGGCGGCCTCGAGAACGGACCGCGAGGGTGTGAAGCAGCTCTCGGAGAGCCTGGGTTATCTCACCGGTCACGAGAGCAAGACAATGGTGGATGCCCACGTCATGTCGGTTCTCACCCTGGCTGAGCCCTTCCTCGACTCGGCCCCTGAGGTCTACGACTTCCACAACCAGACCATCACCGAACGGGTCAAGGCCCTCATCCCCGTCATGCTGCGCGAGAGACTCGCGCCGCCGCCCGAGGAGACGTACAGCTTGCACCGCAAGCTGAGTGGTGCCTTTTTGCTCTGTGCAAAGCTTGGCAGCAAGGTCAGATGCCGCGAGATGTTTGCGGCGAGTCTGAAAAAGAACGGATACACTGTTTAGTGTGGACGGACCAGGGCCACTCCAATGTCACTTTGTATCATTTTGTATCATAGCTGTACAATCAACACATGTAGACTCCACCACATCACGGGGATTATAGACAAAATATGTCAAAATTAAGAAGTTAGGGAATCATGTATGTTTTCATGTGACAGCAACTGAATAATGCCCTTCTTACTCCCTCGGTCTCCTCTGCAGCTGGTCGAGCTCCTTCCTCTCCCTGCCAACAACCTTCTTCCTCTTCCGCTCGATCGTCCGGTCGACCTGCTTCTTCTTCATGCCGGCGAACTGGTCCATCAGGAACCTCTTCTTCTGCTCCGACTTCTTGAGGTAGAACGGCTGCTTGCCCTGCTTCACGAGTTCCTTCTCCTTGCGCTTGTGCTCCGATATGACGTCGGCCTCGCGCTGCTTGCGCTCGCGCGTCTTTATTTTGGACTCCATCGACAGCAGCAGCCGCTTCATCTCCTCCTTCTTGTCGGCGTCCTTGGTCTTCTTGATCTCCGCCCGCAGCTCTCGCATCTCGTCCTTGCGGTAGTCGTCCAGGAACGCGTACGCCTTGCGGGCCTTGGCTTCGTCGATTGGCCCACTGAGCGGGTCGAACCTCGGGTCGCGCACCTCCATCTTGGGCACGGCAATGACCTCGCGACGACGCGAGACAGGTTTTTTGCTCGACTGCTCCATGGGCGCGTGCTTGCTCGTGCGCTTGGCGGGGTTGACACCGTATTTGGGTTTCCTGCCGACTTCCTCCGGGCCAGAATCCGAGTCGGGCTCTGAATCTGACGGTTCCGCGCCCTTCTTGCGCCGTTTGTTGGGCGCGGGCATAGAGGCTTGGGCTTTGGCGAGGGCGCCGAAAGAGACTGATGATATGTCGATGTTGGACTTCTTTGGTGGGGGTGATCCGTCGGACTGTGACTCGTCAGTGATGAGCCCTTGTACTGTTAATAAATCAAATATACCTCCTGGTCTTCATCGTCCTGGTCCATCTCATCTTCTTCGCCTTCGCTCAGCTCATCGCCGTCCTCGTCCATCTCCTCAGGCTCACTGCTGACATGCTCATCGACTTCAGGTTCCGCCTCTCTCCGAGGTCTCACCCGGCGCTGAAGGCCAGAAAGGCCTTGTTTTCTCTTTCCTGATAACATTTTGTCTGAGGTAATGTGACGGCGTTTTGAGTAGTGGCCCAGTCAAGGTCGAAGTGAGGGTCAGAACTTCACATGAGAGGTTCTCTCAAAGTCGTCAATCGGGTCCCGCTGAAAAGTTAGGTTGGCCAATCAGCGGTCTTGTCATTCAGACGGGTACTTATCGATAGGATGCAGGCTAAGAAGGGGGAATTTCTCCAGTGCGACAGGAAACACGTCCCTTTTGGACAAATCCCCTCTCCACAATCGCAAGACGAAAAGAACCTGAATACGCTGCGCATTGATTTTGCAAGCGGCGCAGATCTGCATTGAAATCCGACGCCAAATTGTCTTAATTTTTTGCCGAGTCCGACCCAATTGGCATCAAAAGTGCAACGGACCCTTGAGCTCACTCCCCCCTCATGCGCCCCTCCATCGCTAGGATCTTCCCCAGATCTCAACAACTTCTCCAGCGTCGCTTCACCCAAACCGGCGCCGCTGCCGCGCGCCGACGGCCAAACACACAACCCCGCGATCCGGCGCGAAGCCCACGAAGCCACGACATTAAACGGCAGTCTTTATCCTCTCCAGCCAGTGCGACTCTGATTTACGACGCCAACACCGCCAAGATGGACGTGTCCAACATACAGTGGTGGGCGAAGCCGGCCCCGACCATGACCGCCCCTGCGAACCAGCAGCCCAGTAGCAACGGCTTCACAATACCGGGCCTCGGCAACGTCTTCAATGCTCCATCTTCCGCGTCTAACTCCCAGTCGATCCCCCTCCCCGAGCGGCCTGTCGCCGTAGACCAAACCACAACCCGAAAGGGACGCCGCACAGCGTGAGTACAACTCACCTTCCCCCTACCTAACACCCCTGGCGCAAACCTTCCAGACTAACACCTGCACAGAGCTGGCGCCGCATCAACCAGCCGGGATAAGATTCAGCCCCCCAGCGCCGCGTCAGGCGGTGTTCCCAACCCGACCCCCGAATACCTTCGCCGCGCCTCCCTCCCGCCGACCCTCCTCCCCGCCCCGCGTCCCATCCTCGTCGTCATGGACCTCAACGGCACCCTCCTCCACCGCCCAAACCGCCGCCAGGCGACCTCCTTCGTCGAGCGACCCCACGCCAGGCGCTTCCTGCAATACTGCCTCGACACCTTCCACGTCGTCGTCTGGTCCTCGGCCCGCCCGGCCAACGTCCAGTCCATGTGCGACCAGCTCCTCCTGGGCCCCCCCGGCGGGGGCGCCGGCGGCGGTGACCAGGCCGACAGGGGCTCATACCGCCGCCGCGTCCTCGCCGTCTGGGGCCGCGACCGCTTTGGCCTGTCGGACGCCGACTATAAGCTCCGCGTCCAGGTCTATAAGCGCCTGGACATGGTCTGGCGCGAGAAGAACGTGCAGGCGGCGCACCCGGACGCCGCTTACGGCGGCCGCTGGGACCAGTCCAACACTGTGCTCGTCGACGACTCGGTCGAGAAGGCTCGCAGCGAGCCATACAACCTCCTCCAGATCCCCGAGTTCTTTGGCAACGCAGATGAGCCGGGCTATGTGGTGCCCCAGGTCCACGACTACCTCAACACGCTATGCTACCAGTCTGACATCAGCGCTTACATGCGTGAGAACCCGTTCAAGGTGAGAGAGGAATACAGGCTTGTGCCGGCCGAGCAATGACGTGTCTTCATTTCAAGAGACAAATCACTGGACGGCAACCTTAACACGTTCAACGTGGCCCGGATGGAGAACGGCCAACATCGTGGGACACATAGATACACGCTTGGTAGCATTGAGATACCCTTTCATATGAGCTCATAGAGCAAGAAGATCACATGGTTCGACCATCACGTCAAGAGAACACACTAGGTATGGATGGGATATGTACTTTTTTTTGGTTTGATCGGGAACATCCTGCATCTATTGCCTCGTTCCAGCAGCTCAAAACTAGCAACTTGGCAGACAGCCTTTGGCATTACGCGCAAGATATATCTTCTCGGGTCCATAACATCGTCTACACACCCCCTTGCCTAATCGTAAACTCGTGTCATCTCTGCCATAAGCCATAAATGTCGGATCACTCCCTAGAGCGATTCGCTTATTTGAAGACCTTGCCATCGGCAACGGGGTACTCCTTGCCGTTGTGGGTGATAGGCTTCTCCCAGCCCCAGGAGTCAGAGACGAACTGGCGGTCCTCGGGCTTGGAGGGGTCGAGCTTCTCGAAATCGTAGCTCTCGTAGTCGGGAGCGACGTCGAACGCGGGCTTGTAGTCCTGACCGCGGATGACGAAGGCACCCTCGATGACGGAGTCGTTGTTCTGGCCGTAGACGGCAGCGCATCCGAAGATGAACTTGCGGGAAGCCTCGAGGCGGTTGTTGAAGCCACCAATGAGGTTGTTGGACATGAAGGTCATGGTGAGCTCGTCGTTGTACTTGTACTTGACCTTCCAGAGGGAGAACTCCTCGAGGTTGACGTTGTCCCAGAACCACTTCATGGCCTCCTCGTGGTTCTTGATGTTGGAGTACTGACGCTTCCACTCCTCAAGGTCGAAAGAGGCACGGGGGAGCTCAGCGAGGGGGTGCTTGGGCTTGGGGCGGGAGCGGCCTCCTCCTCAGCAGCGGGGGCAGCGGGCTTGGCGGCCTTGGGGGCGGCCTCCTTCTTGGGCTGCTCAGGCTTCTTGGGGCGACGTTGGTGAGCTTGGGGGTCTCGAGGTACTCCTGCTTCTCGGCAACCGCCGTCCAGATGTCCTGGTTGATGATGGTGTCGTACCAGCGGGTGACGCTGGGGTTCTCCTGGCGCCACTGCTTGTCGAAGAAGAACTCGAAACCACGAGCAATGAGGCCGGCGGCGAAGAGGTCAGCGAGGGTGATGCGCTCGCCAACGAGGTAGGTGTTGCTGAGGAGGTGCTCCTCGACGACCTTAATGGCCTTGAGGGCAGCCTTGGAGGCGTCCTCAACAGCCTTCTTGTTGTAGGGGTCCTTGCCCAGGAGGGGCGGTACCAGGCGCCCATGGCGGGGAGGACCTCGGAGTTGAAGAAAGACATCCACTTCAGGATGGAAGCGTAGCTGGAGCGATCGTTAGCCCCACGTTACTTGGTTTTGTTTGAGAATCTTCCGGTGCACTTACTCCTGCTTGGTCTTGCCGAGAAGGGTGGTCTTCTCGTTCTGGGAGGTGACTGTGGGGTCTCGTTAGTTTGATATTCCCCGTGGTGATTTCCAAACACAAGAAAGGAGTCATTGGCAGGATCAGAAATTTAGACTATGTCCACAAGGAAATTCAGACAGGGATAACTGTATTGAAAAATGCTTGATCATCATATCGAGAGGTGGGGGTATGTGTTTGTGCGAGGGCTTTTTTTCCCCAAGCGGGAGGACGAGGCAGAAGGTGACTCAGAACGTACTGTAGATCGCGATGGCGATGCACTCGGACAGAGGGTAGCCATCCTCGCCAAGGAAGGCGGGGACCTTGCCGAGCTTGTTGGCCTTGAGGTGCTCAGCGGAAGGCTTGGTGGTGTCGGCCTCGACGAACTCGAGGTCAACGTTGTTGGCCTTCGCGACGGCACGGATGGCCGTGGTGCGGGGGTTGGCCTGGAGGGGTGGAAGGTCGTGGTTAGCTAGAGTTCTCAGAGCCCAAGAAATTGAGGAAAACCAGAGAAAAACTCCAATTGTATCTTTTACTTACCGGGTAGGTGAAGAGCTTGCCGAACGCCATCTTGATTCAGTTGTTGCTACTGAGGGGGATGGAAGGGTATCAAGAAAGTGTGTGATGTGATGGACAAGAGAGGAGAGAGAGAAAAGTTCGAGTTCCCCGCCAGGGTGACAGTAATTTTTTGAATGAAATTTCGACCGCAGTGCCCCGCCACCCGAAAGCCCCTCGCTCGACGGGCAGCAGCTTCCAACGCCAGGGCAACCAGCTTGGGCTGCGCTACGTTGAGGGGTAACATGCGGTAGAGAAGGGTCCAAGCGTCTGGGGCCATCTGTGGCTGATGGTGCCACATCACGTGATGTCTACCGACGTTCAGCCGCGAGTCCCTGCGTTGTTGAAGCTAGGAAAGATTTCTGTTGGACGTTTGGCGATTTGAGGCTACACTACAGTTCACGACATTCGCGACGGCCACCGCATCGACGAAGGCGTTGATCGAGGTCCCACCACAATGTCCAACCTACGCCATGGACTCCAGCAGACCCTCTGCTTGCGCCAATTGGCAAAGGGCCAGCTTCTGAAGCCGCAATGGCAACGACCGAGCTCCCATGTCGGCACCAAAAGCATCTCGACGAGCAGCCAACCGGAAGCCGACACGAACCTCACCGCGCCCCCCGAGCAACCCTTCCGCGGCATCAAGAATGCCCGGCCACTGCCAGTCTCGCCGTCATACTTTTCGAGAGAACCTCGTTTCAACGATGCCTACATCAAGCTGTCGACCCTGTTGCAGCGATACCAGCACATTCCGACAGCGCCACCCGAGCTGGTCCCGCGACAAGTATGGAAGAACTTGAAGGGATACCGGCAAACCACTGGAGAGCCAGTGAAGGCGATGCCCTACAGTCAGGTCCTGGCCATGGTCAAGCGTTTACACTCCATCTTTCCTAAGATGATGCCCGGCGAGGTCAAGGAGGCCTTGCAAGAGTTCAAGCGCGACATCGACCCTTACAAGAATGTGCCAAAGTTCGCACCCCTTGACAGGTTCGGACGTGCGTTGGGCGTCGGTAGGAGAAAGACGTCGAGCGCGCGCGCCTGGGTTGTCGAGGGCACCGGAGAGGTGCTGGTTAACGGCAAGCCCCTGAACGAGATGTTTGGCAGGATCCACGATCGTGAGAGCGCCATTTGGGCGCTCCGGAGCACCGCAAGGACGGACAAGTACAACGTGTGGGCGCTCGTTGAGGGCGGCGGAGTCACTGGGCAGGCCGAGGCCCTCACGTTGGCTGTTGCCAAGGCCATCATGGTCCACGAGCCAGCTCTGAGGCCGATATTGAGAAAGGGTAAGTGGATCCTGAGCCTCGAGGGGTTGTCGAGTGCGTTGCTGACCTACCCGACTCTACAGCTGGCTGCATCACGCGCGACCCGAGAACTGTGGAGAGAAAGAAGCATGGTCACGTCAAGGCCAGAAAGATGCCTGCTTGGGTCAAGAGATAGAATGTCTCTTGCCTCGAGTAGAGTTGGCGATGATGCCGCCCGTCATTCATACCACCTTTTTGTTGTACTACCACCCCTGTGTATCCATAGAACAGAGGCAGCTCTTACAATGTCAGCCTATGATGTACCTTTGCCTTGCTCTTCAACGCTGCAACAATGTAACCCAGGCAGCCGGTGATAGCCTGGTGGTATGTGAACGCAAACGAGCCCAAGTCATGGCGCCGCTGTCGACCACGAGTAACCCCGCTAATACAGCTTGTGTAAGATGCTTGGGAGAGCTAACGCGATTCGAGAGGCCCTGGAGATATCCCGGTTTCGGTATTACCGGGACTTTTGGTGCTGCTGATATCAACCGATAGCAACCATGCTTTTAATGACAACGGTATTGGGAGGCTTGCTATTCCATCGACCCAAGGTAGACGGTCTGCTTTAGGATCAAGTGCGGCGATCCCATGTCCTGCTTGATGGAATCCCGGCCGTTGCAATCCACGTTGAAGCAACGTGGTGTCTTTAATTACAATAGTCCATGACCTGGACGCGGCCCAGGAACGCAAGATCGGGCACAGGGCAGCGAGGAGATTGGACATCCATGAGGACCGATTCAAGGGCCAGATGCCGAACCATACTCGGAGTCTGAAACATAACAAGCCAGATTCCGTGACTGGCAGTCAACAGCACGAGTCTTCGCAATGTGCTCTTCCTCCTTCTCGCTATCTCTTGTCGAAAGTCTTACTGCCTCCCCCACATGGCATCGGTAAGGGCAACCCGAAGGTGTTCTTTTAGCTGATACAGCTCATTTAACTAGTGGGTGCAATGGCCACTTGCAACCGTTGTACGTACGGAGCGGCCGTGGATGGTTGTTTTCTGGTTTTTGTTGGCGCGCATTGAAACCGGGTCTTGGAAGGGGTGAAGGTAGCCCTCATGTGTCATTATCAGGCCAGAATCATAGGCCACATGTTGGCACCTGTACAGAGCTGCGGGCGGGTTAAAGACGCGAACAATTGCAAAAAGGTCCGTGAGCAAGCGCGTCGACGTCTCTGGCGCTGAGGCTAGTGATGGCGGCCCCTCATGGCCAACGTTGCAGAAATGCGTCCGGCGAGGGCCTTGTTTCAATTTCCCACACAAGGTAACCCCTAAAAGGAGACAACAGCGAGTGCACAGACACTGGAACCGGTCCTCGCCACCGAAGGTTTCTAGAAGCGTGGAATCAATGAATCGAAGGTTCGTAGAGCTAGTTTCATCTATTGTGGCCGTTTGCGGTGACGACTTTGCAGTCCAGTCGGCGGTTTGCTCGGCGGCTGGAGAAGTTGAGAGAGATGTGGTGGTGTACAGCACGAGTCGGCTGGTTTCACCGGATCAGGCAAGGTGGCACATCGAGCAAGTCGACCACCCCGTCAAAATTTTGGTGTGGGCTTGTGACGATCATTAGGGCGAACGAGGGGCGTGTTGATGGGTTTAGGGCACCTTGAGAGGACAGAGGTGTGATTGCTACGAAACCAACCAGCCGACGGACGAGGCGAAATATCGGTGACGATATAGGTTTGGCGACAGAGGCTTGAGACGACAAGAGTGAAGGTGGGGAAACAAGATCGCAACAATGTTATGTGATGCGATAACGAGGCTATTGAGCTGCGTCCACCTGACGTTGTTTGGCGTTACATCCTTTCAAGGCCGTGTATGTGAGTGGATGAGAGGATCAGATTCAAAGTTGGGGAAGGATCTCTGCGCTTGAATTTTTTATTTAGAGAGGGAGGATCTCGTGGCGAGCTACGGGGATCAACCAGGTGTCGGTAGAGATGATCGACGACAGTCGCCTTGTGTGAGGCTGAGATCGTCTAAGAAGAAGAAAATGTCCAACGGTTGTGTGACGGGCTATACCTTGCATGAGAAGGAAGATGGAGGAGGGGCAGCACACCAAACCAGTCGAGGGCGACCTAACCACTTCAAGTTGCGCTTCGGGGTGTAAGTGTAAACCAGAAGCGTGGTAAATGACTGAGATGAAGCCGGAATGGCCTTAGTTCGACCGTTGACGGTCAATCTTCCTTGGCGTAACGCCCATCTCCGCTCGTTCGGGCCTTCCTTCATGTTGAATAGTGATGTGTTAACGGCAGCCGTCGGCAAGCCACGGGCGTTGAGTCGGGGACTTGGAGGATGGACAGGCAGAAGCAGGGTAAGGATATGATGCCGTAGTTTGTGCTTAAGCACCTTAGGCAAAGCGTCGAAGCCGACGGTGTCTCTTCACGTCACCGTGGAAGAGGCACCTACTGACGTAAACAGCATAAGCGCCGTTCCAGACATTATTAGCGCGCTTTGCGCAGTCTTTACTTGCCCGATGCCGTGCCACACAGCCGGAATTAAGGTACTGCGGTAAGGGCATCCGTACCTTGAGTCTCAGGGCCGAGGTGCAGGTTCGGTTGGGCTGGGTTGAGGGCGCAATTAACCCGACTGGAAGACGACCTTGAAGTGGGTTGGAGCATTGCGATACGGCGAGTCTGGTTGGGCAATTGGGGTCGTGCTGCCCAAGGCGTGTGGGCAAGTGCTTCATTGGCACTCGATGCTGTAACCACACCTGTGCTTTGTCTTTGCTCAAGGTTTGTGGCCTTGGCCACCGTCTTGTTGTTGGTCTTATCCTTGGCCTACTTTAGCGGTATCCATCCATAGAGGCATTGGTGAATCTGCGTTGTGGCTCGCGATTTACAAGTCCTCGTGTCATCCATGTATTCAGGTCCGACCTCCTTTGCTTATCACTTAGTCTCCCAGATGATGACAGACACGCTGTCGAAACGAAGACGCGAGAGCAGAGGTACCCGAGCAGATAACCATGACACGCTTTTCTCATCACCCGCGTGTGTAGGTAGCATCGAGCAGTCGACGTCTGATGAGGTGGTGTAGCGCGGTGGAGTAGAGTAGCTCGGTGTGTGGTGGTGTTCGGATGTCGATACTCCAAGGTGACTTTGGTTGCGGTGCCAGTGAGGGAAATTGATGAAAGTTGGAGAAAATCCGCCCCAGTCCCACAGAGAATGCATTAGCCGGGCGCAGCGGTTTTTACTTTGAACAAACCATGAGCCGCTAGACCTAGCGGGGAGCACGAGTTTGAGCTGAACGAAGTACGTACACGGCATGCGGTCCGGATATCTTGCTCATCTCCAGCCGGGCCTTCTTTGTCAAGAAAACCGATGGAAGTGGAGGCAGGCGCGATGGTGCTCTGAGGGAATCATGATGGAACTTGCCCGCCCGAGAGGCTTTACGTTCAAGAGCATAGCTAAGGTACGTAATCAAGGCAGTAAGGCGCCTTCCATCTGCCTTGGCTTAGGTACGTACCTTCCAGATACTGACTGTATGCCCAGCGCGGGCAATGCCTTGGGCTTAGCCAAGACTTCTTTTTGCTCACATCTCACCATACCGGATCACAGTCGTCTTGATGGAAATCTCGTCAGTTGTGGGCCCGCGTACAAATTCGCAGTATTGGCGGCTGGAATGTCCGTACGGGTAGCGGAACTCCTCGCCAGAGACATGGCCAGGGGATCCACAACATCTCAACGCCTCGCTCCATCTGCACATCGTAAGTACGATTCCCCCTGCGTCGTCTGGCCCCGGAATTGACGCGAACACGTCCGGGTCAACCTACGCCCGTACCGTGCATTCAAGTCCCATCCCTCACCTTACAAACGTACCTGAAAGACCCCGTGAACAATACAACCAGACGCACATCATGCTTCGCCAAGGGGAGGCAGAGAACCTTACCGGGAGGACTTGGTGGATAAGGTAAGGTCAGGTCGCTTTTTCGTCCAGGGAGCGTTCCGGCTAATGCAATCTCAAATGACAGAGGGCGCTTCGTATGCAGGTGCTCATCACCTCAGCTTACTAGGCACGAGACTGGGAGTTTGGAGCCCGCAGATTCTCGAAGTAGTTGCAGAAGCTTTTTACACCATCTTTCTCCCTCCCTCTGACCAAGTTCTGCACATGGTCAGTGAGTGTACCTAAACTGATGATGAGTCCAGAATACCTATACCGGGCGAACCCCACCATCTTGCGCTCTGTAACATCGTAATAGAGCATCGGCAGCCATTCACAGGCCTGTCCCCCCATGTGTGAAATAATGCGTTCAGGCACAATCCCTGGAATACTACTGCCACCTATCTTCTTCCAAAAGGACCCCAAAGCAAGATGAGGGGTGGGGGGGCTGCGACCCTGCAGCTGCAGATGCAGCTTCACTAGCGTACTATAACAGCTGGAAGCAACCATCTCGACATGTACAGATACCTCGCCCGCGTTCCGCACCCTCCGAACCACTCAGGCAAGGCACCGGCACTCATTAAGGAACCCACAGAGCCCAGGTTTTTAACCCTGGTCGCTCGGCAGGGATGCTGCATCGGCTTCTTCAACCTCACTCGCTCCCTGTCCACTCCTTTTCCAGTGCTTCCCAACTGGACCCCCGGCAGCTTCGATATTCGGGCAAGGTTCATGGTTTATGTCTTTCATCAACACCAACACGCGTCCACCAGCTCTAGAAGTACCAGTACTTGGACAGAAACCCGTCGCCTCTATGCAGCAAATCCTCATCTTATACAGCAAACGAGAGTGGCCTCAAGCAAGACAACTTGCACAGCACTGCACACTGAAGCACAGCTGAAGCACCGACTAAGCCTCTGCATAATAGCCTTCTTGATTGTGCCGCTTCCACTTCCCCATCCGTCTCTCGAAAAGAACGCTCAGATGCTGCTGGAGAATTTGGCACTCGGCGACTGTGGTAAAGTGAGGCTTCGATCACCTCCAACCCATTGGGCATCGGCGAGTCTCACTAGCTGCGCCGAACCCGGCCTGGTCAGGTTGTCAATACCGAACAATGTTTCTTCTCGCACACCAGCAGAAAGGGGGTTCAGATCCTCGTCTGTATCGACTCGGCCGGGCCCCTTTTCAGTATTCCAAATGGCGGCCTGTCGTTTTCGTTCCTTACATTCCATTGGTTTCGACTGGTCTGTCAAAGGAAGGCTCGCAGG